AACCAATCTTTTACCAAATGTGTTGGGATGTGGTAGGAGAGAGTGTCATACGGTTTGCTCTGGACTTCTTCTCAACAGGTCAGCTTCCAGCGGGAACTAATGATGCATTAGTAGTACTTATTGCAAAAGTGCTTAAGCCGAAGAGGATTATGCAATTCCGACCTATCAGTTTATGTAACGTTTTATTTAAAACGATTACTAAAACAATGGTCATGAGGTTGAAACGAGTGATGCCGAAACTAATAGGTCCGACTCAAGCGAGCTTTATCCCAGGAAGGCTAAGCACAGACAACATCGTTGTTGTTCAGGAGGTGGTGCACTCGATGAGACGGAAGAAGGGCTGGAAAGGGTGGATGTTGCTCAAGTTAGACCTCGAGAAAGCCTATGATCGCATAAGATGGGATTTTCTGGAAAATACACTCAGAGCAGCTAAGCTCCCGGAAGAATGGGTGGGATGGATTATGCAAAGCGTCACAGGAGCATCAATGAGTTTACTGTGGAATGGGGAGAGGACTGCACATTTTAAACCAGCTCGAGGGCTCCGGCAAGGTGATTCCCTGTCATCCTACTTATTCGTATTGTGCATTGAGCGACTGTGCCACTTGATTGAATGCTCAATAGCTGCTAAGGAGTGGAAACCAATAAGTATATCAAGGGGAGGACCGAAACTCTCACACATATGTTTCGCGGATGATCTCATACTCTTTGCAGAGGCATCAATGGCTCAAGTTAGAGTGATAAGGAAGGTTCTAGAGCGGTTCTGCACTGCCTCAGGGCAGAAGGTGAGCCTTGAGAAGTCGAAGATATTCTTTTCAGAGAATGTTTCCCGAAGTTTGGGGGATTTGATTAGTGCAGAAAGCGGTATTCAGGCAACTAAGAATCTCGGTAAGTACTTAGGAATGCCAATACTACAAAGACGTATCAATAAGGATACTTTTGGGGAGGTACTCGAGAGAGTATCTGCGAGACTAGCGGGCTGGAAGGGGAGGTTATTAAGCTTTGCGGGTCGAGCTACTCTTACTAAAGCTGTACTATCATCCATTCCAGTACATACGATGAGTACAGTCGCTATACCAAAAGGAACTCTGAAGGAGTTAGACAGAGTTTCCAGATCTTTTCTCTGAGGAGAAACAACAGAGCAACGCCGACAACACCTCGTGGCTTGGAAGAGGGTGTGTAGACCAAAAAGAGAAGGGGGGGCTGGGGATTAGAAAATCCCATGACATGAATAAAGCTTTACTCTCGAAGTTAAGTTGGCGGGTCTTACATGACAAAGAAAGTCTTTGGGCTAAGGTGATTCGAAGCAAATACAAAGTAGCAGAAGTAAGAGACACAACGTGGACAGTAGCAAAGAGTAACTGGTCTCCTCTTTGGCGCAGTATAATACAAAGTCTGAGAGAAGTGGTGCACGTGGGTTTGAATTGGGTTCTCGGGAATGGTAGAAAGATCCTCTTTTGGAAGGATAAGTGGCTACTCAGGATCCCATTAATAGAGTTGACAGTGGCGAATATTCCAGAGGAACTAGTCAACATGAGGGTAAGAGAGCTCTGGAATGACAATGGGGGATGGCGTTTTGATCTCATTGATTCTTATATCTCAGAACATGTGAAGTTACAGTTAATATCGGTGGTGGTAGATAATATTACTGGAGCACAAGACAGAATTGGTTGGGGAGAATGTCACGATGGAGTCTTCACGGTCAAAAGTGCGTACGACCTCCTTACTCGGCATACCGAAGCACGCCCGATATGCAGAACTTGTATAACAGAGTATGGCATGTCATAGCATCAGAGAGAGTCAGAGTTTTCATATGGCTTGTGGTTCAACAGGTTATTATGACTAATACAGAGCGGCAGAGGAGGCATCTTAGTGACTCCAGAACTTGCCAGATATGCAGAGGGGCGGAGGAAACAATCGTACATGTCCTCAGGGACTGCCCGGCGATGGAGGGAATCTGGAATAGGATTGTCCCCATGAGAAAAAGATAGAGGTTCTTTGAAGGAACAGTAGTGGAGTGGATGTATGAAAATCTAGGAGACCAGTCGGAAGTTGTGGGTTGTCAGTGGTCTACGGTCTTTGCAGTTGTAGTATGGTGGGCGTGGAAATGGAGGTGTGGGAATATATTTGGTACCAATATGAAGTGTCGAGACAGGGTGAAATTTGTGAAAGAGATGGCTAAGGAAGTAGAGCTGGCACATACTGCTGTGAGAAGTGTGAATCTAGTGACAGAGCGAGTTGATCGTCAAATTGCTTGGACCCCGTCGGCGATGGGATGGTTTAAACTCAACACTGATGGGGCTTCCCGTGGCAATCCGGGGTTGGCTACGGCTGGGGGAGTTGTGCGTGATGAAGAAGGAAACTGGGTTACGGGGTTTACGCTGAAAATTGGGATATGCTCAGCCCCTTTGGCAGAGCTATGGGGAGTCTATTATGGGCTTTACTTGGCATGGGAAAAGAAAGTTACGCGGCTGGAATTGGAGATTGACTCGAAGGTAGTAGTAGGTTTTCTGACAGCAGGGATTGGTGATACACACCCCCTGTCCTTCCTGGTACACTTGTGCCATGGCTTTTTATCAAAAGATTGGCTTGTCTGAATCTCTCATGGGTATAGAGAAGCAAACCGGCTCGCAGACGGACTAGCGAGCTATGCTTTCTCCCTTCCCTTAGGTATTGTTATGTTATCGAACCTTCCTGATGATGTTGCTGCTTTGTTTTCGGATGATGTTCATGGAGTGTCAATGATACGATCTGTACGTTTGTAGTTGCTTTTCCTGAGTTCTTTAATAAATTGGAGGAGACAATGTTTTCTTTTTCCAACCAAAAAAAATGATCTGTATAAGATAAGGTAAATATTTAATGATTAATTATGAGGAAAAAATGTTAGTTGGATTTGGCGCCAAGTACCAGCCCACTATTTTTCCTTTTCTCATTTACAAACAACTACGAATTGGGTAAAGATAAATTAAAGTTTGTAGAATTTTGTGTTGGTGTAGAATATTTGAGTTAAAAATGACATTCACGTGTAAGCGATATAACTTCTAATTATTAATTTAGAAACACCATTAATATATACTTGAACCGATAGTCATAACTTTTAGAACCAGATTAGAAAAGTGTGTATTCGAGCTCTGAAACCATGTTGAAAATTTTAGAGTAAATAAATTGGTCCAAATCTTTTATATACTTTACATATTTCCTCAAGTTTTCTCTCAACTTGTATGTGGAATATATCTCACGCATTTTCTCAAGATTATGACGACAACTTTCTGAAACTAACTTGAGAATGCATTCACATTTTAACGTGGACATTGCTAAAGCCGTACCCATGCCATCTGGATAAGTAATGGATAGAAAAATGCATATTCTGTAAAAATCTAAAATTTCATCCAACTCTAAACTAGGCCAGTTAAAAAGTGTGAGCAGCAAGATTTGGAACTCGCGTGGTCAAATGATTTCAAGTCATGTCCTATAACCACTCCGGCATGCCTACGAAGACATTGCTAAGCTTGTTTGACAATTAATAAAAGTTAGTTTTGTAACGAATTGCAATCATGCAAAATTACAAAGAAAGCCCTTCAAGCATCGAGAGGCCAAAAGAAAGATGGAAAGTTTGAACTTAATTTCTTTTTGGTTAAAATAAGAGAATGTGGTCTCTTCTGACTATTATGAAGCATCAGAACAAAGGGAATAAAAAAGAAGACATTCAACAAGTCTTCTTGTGATGTAACAGTGCACATTCTGGATCTTGATTGATCAAAGTCAGAGACTTCCCCATTTGATATTCTCCCGAGTTGAACAATCACTCAAGTTCATCAATGGGTAACATCTTTAGAAACGAACCATATATTTACAAAAGAATAATAAAAAAAAAAGAATAATCGATTCTGAACACAACACAATCAAGAACAAGTCATACGTAAAGGTTAGGCTCACCATAGGGAAGATAATATATTCCTGATCAGAACATTGATATTCCGAAAAAGCTGGTCAATAGATCTAAAAGTGTGCTGATGGATCCAAGAAATTATAACAGCTACGTTAAATAGTCGCTACACTTAAAATAATCGTATAAGTACGTTAAAGAGAATTTCATAAAAATATATATGTATGATTAGTACAAAAAAAAAAATTAATGATTACAGTATAGGTCACAAGGGAGCCAGATGTTGAGTTTTTAGTCCCGACTCTATGCCACCGTCATTGATCAAGTCCCCGTCATGGAGTTTCAGCATCAAGCTCGGAAAAACCGAAACGACACCAGGCATGGCTATAAGTCAATTTAAAGCAGAGAGGAACCAAAAGAACAAGAAGAAAAAACCATTAGTTATATAAACACAAACTAAAACTTTCTCTAAGACAGATTGTCCTTTTCAAATTTTCGGGTAACAAGTTACGTTCTGTAAAGTTAAACTCAAACAAATCTCGTAACCTAGCCATTTGAATAATTTAAGTTTGGTTATTAGTACAGTATAGAAGAATATTCAATTAAAAAAAATGGTTCGATTCGGTGTGGCAAGATTTTAGTCAAATTAGGTTTGGTTGGCTTTTGGTTCACGTAAATTCTCGTTTTAGGTGAGCAGAAAAGTAATTCGGTTAATAATATTTAGGGTATGTTGTTGACCAAAATACAATATTTAATTAGTTTTTTTTGTCAACATTTAATTAGTTAAATAACAATAGAATCTGTTTTAATAAGTAATTAAATAAAACTATATTTTAACAAAAAAACAAAGAAGTTATATTTTACATAAAATATGGGTTATTCGGTAAATTCGATCCGATTGAACATAATTTGGGTTTAATTCAGTTTTAGTTTGATGTATTAAGCGTAGGTTCGGTTTGGTGATTTTGGTTCAACTAATATGCGTAGTCCTAAGAAACAATATGTCACAGTGACTTAAGCATTTTTTTTTGTTTTTAGTCCGTATCAAACAATATATGTCTGTGATTCTTCTTTGATCATGCTTGGCTTTTTAAAAAAGTTTGGAGTACTTTTTACCTGAAAGCTTCTTGCTTTCCTCTTCAGTGAGCCATGCGGCGAACCCGTCAAAGGCCAACCCATAGTTGGTGATGATTAGGCTCGGTGTGTAACTGATTAGTAAATATACACATCAATCACATTGTGTGTAGCAAAAATAAAGAAGATATACAAATGATGAATAATTTATGATTTCTATATTTTTTAAAAAATTGGTGTATATAGATATAAATCCAGGGCCGTTCGATTTATCGATAGAGGTTGACTCTAAACCGGGAGTAAGATATGAAATACTTTACCCTTTTCCAATGACACTACGAAGCAATGAAAAATGTTGACGTTTGATAGAGACGTAGTCGCTGTTTGACGACAATGCCCCCATGTAAACGATGTAGACCTGCATTATCCACCCTTAATTACCATCTTAAAATGTTTTATTATGAATTTGTAAATTCATAGCAAAAATAAGAAATTAATCTATATGTAATGTAATGTATCCCGACCATACCTTTCTTCCAGCATTGGCTTGCGAGGAGGTGACCATCAAGATCATAAACAAACACACGAACATAGTAATCTTAGTCATTGTTTTTGTTTTTTATATATATATTTTTAATTTTGTTAAGTAATTTTTTGGGTTTAAAAAAATTTTTTGATGTTTTTTGTGTGTCTTTTTTTTCCCGTAGATATAGACAAAGTGCACTTAAATAGGAGAAACGAAAACGTAAGCAACGGATTGTATTTATGTATTGGCGTTTGGCTAATGAATATAAAATAAGTAGTTACTTTAGAATATAATCAATATAAACCTTCACAACGTATATAAGCTTCAGAAACACAGTTTTTCTTGAGATAGTTATGATACTAAAATTTAAGTCAAGTAACTAGATGTTTTCAGAAAAATGAAAAATTGTCCTCTTTTAAATTACTTTTTCAAAACCATTCCGCTTCTTGCCTTCCGCGGAGAACCATAATGTGATATATCTTGTGTTGTCGATCGTCCCTTTTTTAAGCTTTATCATTCATGCGACCAATTTTGAGATTTGAAGGCATTCAGGTTATGTTTGGCTTTTTATTAAACACTATCTTTACTGTTTCGTATACCGTAAAGGCAAACACACACACACACAAATAATCTTTCTTTAATTGGCCACATCAGATCAGCTCAAAGCATAAACAATTATGGGGCTTCTCACATTATTACTTCCATCTGACCAAATTAGATTTGCAGACGCAGGTTGCTCTGTTCCGAGACTATCGCCTGAAACAGTCACCGTAAAAGACTGCTTCTCATTCAGAGACTTCATAGACAGAACACTAGGCGACACTTCGATGGAGAGTTTAGATCCAGGACTTGTGACAACCTTTGATTTGTACGTAGAGTTTGGTGCACCGACATTAGTCACAGTTCTTCTGAAAGTTATATTGAACGATCCCGTTCCGGACACTTTAGCCGACATAGTTGGATAGTTGAGGTTTCTTGGTAAAGTCTTGGAAAGCTCTTCCGTGCATTTAACATTGTCTCCAGAGATTAATCTTATGTTCTTTCTGGTGTAGTTTAAACCGCAGAGAAGGGCAATGTGATCAGCTTCGACAGTTTCATAGACGAGTCCAGGATTAATAGCAGCTACTGGGTCCACATGACCAGCTCCATAAGCAAACTCGGTTGATACAAATCCAGTACCAGAAGCATTCATCGGCGAAGCTGCACAAATTAAGTGATCATCGATGGGTTTCTTGCGGTTGAAGTAAGTTTGTTTTCCTTGGTAAAAGTTTTTCTTACCGGTTGTCATGATGGCAGATTGGATCATCGAAGGAGACCAATCAGGATGAAAACTCTTGACATAGGCGGCGACGCCTGCAACGTGTGGACAAGACATTGAAGTTCCAGACAAAACAGAGAACTTTACACGTCTAGTGTCAAACTGGGTTTCAGTTGGTGAACTGTCAGGTGAATAGGAAGCGAGGATCTCCACTCCTGGCGCTGTAATATCCGGCTGCATTTTCAATCCGTAATTGTGTCTCAGAGTTAGACATAAAAAAGACTAGTAAATACAGTACCAAGATCAACAAATTACCTTGAGAATATCGGAGACGATGGTGCTTGGACCACGAGAAGAGAAAGAAACAACGAGAGGAGCTCTCTGATTAGAAATTTCCTCACTTTTCAGAATAGTCGCTTTTGGTTCTCTGCGCATGCATACACGAAAAATCCAATAAAGATTTGAGAGTTTGAAGTATGTAGCGTATATATAGAACATAGATTTAAACCGTTACTTTGTCGAGTTCATGTAAGAGAGAACCAATTCGTAGTCATCATCGGATAAAAAGGAGACCGGGAAAGAGCGGACAAAAGCGTGGTCTGGTTCAGGGTTCTTAACAATGGATCCAACAGCTCCCAATTTTTGAGCTTCTATTGGACCATCGGAAGATTCACACAGCACAATCTTTCCTTTCACGACTTTTTTGTTCAAACACTTTGGCTCGCATAACCTGGAAGAAGAAACAAAATAAAATCTCAACACAAATTAAAAGTTCGCTTCCCAAAAAAAAAAAACTTAGGGTTTCTTGGACTGGAAGTTACTTAGCCTTATCCTCTGTACATGTACTCAAAGCAGCAGACTTTCCGTAAACCAGAGGATATTTTGTTCCATTAAGATCGTATGTATTCACTGATCTTCCCTGTTTCACAAGAACATAAGAGCCAATTAGTTAAACAGACGAAGGTACTATAAAAATAGAGAGATTATACTGTTTCTTAATACGCACGACAAGGGTTTTGCCGTCTTCAAGAACAACTTTAGCCATAAACGCACGGTTCGTGATGCTGGCCGCAACGCTAAAAACCCACGGTGCGGTGCTAGTGACCGTGCTGGCTTTCGGACCTTCGTTACCGGCTGAGTTAACAGTGAGAATTCCTTTAGCCAGAGCGTGAAATGCTCCAATCGCTATAGGATCCTGGTTGAACGGTGGAATGTTATCGAGCACAATGGAGATAGTTATAATATCCACACCGTCAGCGGCTGCGTCATCAAACGCAGACATAATTGCTTCTCCGCTGCAACCTTCACCGTCGCAGGCTTTGTAAACGGCGATTCGTGCGGCTGGGACGCCACCTCTCGCAGTTCCATTTCCGAGCCCGTAGAAGTTTGTGTCTGCGATAGGGTTCCCGGCGGCCGTTGACGCCGTGTGTGTGCCGTGTCCCGTGTAATCTCTAGCCGTCTTTTTTCGTTTAGATTCGGCTGTATAGTCTCTTGCCCCAATGATTTTGCTGAAATTATTGATATTTGAGAAATTGGTGGTGTGAAGATTAAAAAGTGCACATAAGTTTGTTGGACGAAAGGTGTAAAAGTGAGTTTACTTGTTGCAGGTGAAGTTTTTTCCTCCCGCACATCTGCCCTTCCACTTCTTAGGAGAAGGACCAAAGCCATGGTCGGAGAAGCTGTCCGACTCGGGCCAGATCCCACTGTCGATGACTCCGATGATGGTATCGCTCTCAATGCTAGGGTTCCGCTTCGTCTCGCTGCCTTCTTTAAGACCAATGAAGCTCCAAGACGACGTCGTCTGGAGTTTCATTTTTTTGCTTGGGAACACAGACACAACTCCCTCCATTCCTAAGACGAATATTACATAAACGCGCAAATAACTATCTTCTTAATTAATTATGAATCTTTTATACAGAAATCATATTATTTTCATAACTATCCCTATTCTTGTTGTTTTGTGGTTGAAAACCAAACGCATCCCGATCTAGTACTTTCTCTTTTCTTCATTTTTAAAATATATCTGAATTCTATAGAGATATATACCTATGTATTAATGTATATGAAAGCACTCACCGGCTATTCTTTTTCGTTCGGACTCGGTGAGTCGTGCTGCAAACCCGTTGAAACTCCTTCTGTAGCTTCTCACCAAGTGTTTCTCGATCGAACTAGAATATAAATATCACTTTTTAGAACTATCATAAAGTTTAATCTATATATTTCGACCAAAAAAAAAATCTATATATAATATGAGAACAATAGCTCAATAAGACCTTTCTCCGGCGACTTCCTGAAGAATACTCATGTGATCGGACATCGGTGTGTAATCCTGTCGGGAAGGAAGTGCTCCCAAGTATACGATATATACCTTCATGGATTATCATCACCATCAGTATGATGGAATATGGATCGTCACATATGGATCTCACAGTGAGAAACGAGGTATCATGAAAAGTACAGATTCTGATAATCAATGATTACAGTAATAATAATACCTGTCGATCTTCCTCATCCTCCTTGGTTGCTGAGACTGTACTCATAAACAAGACAAGGAGACATGGGAAGAGGCAATAGAATGTTGTACCTTTCGCCATTTCGAATCAACTAGATTAAAGGCACTCTGATTTTTTTTTGTCTTTAAAGAATTTGCAAGACATGAATATAGAGATATGGAGGTGATCAGATAAATCCGAGATTCAAACAAGTCAATCAATCTCCTCTGATTGTCAGTATAGTTAAACTAGGCATTGCCACGTTTGAATAGAAAAAATAATCTAATGATTAGCTTATTATGTCAATTAATTTTGATAGATACTATTCATTAGATTCAAACATCTACTATAATGCAATATGTCAATTTTTGGAAGTATGTTATCAGTTTTTTGGTTAAGAACAATGCCAAGAGATTATATTTTCCTTTGAAATATTTTAAATTTTTGTTGAATTTTTAAAAATGTTTTTGTGTTATTTATTTTTAAGATATTATTTGAAAATATCTTATTTTTAGTTTTTCCTTCTTTATTTTGAATGATTATATATATGTAAATAAATATACATTAAATGTACGAGTCTAGTCAAAGATGAAGAATTTTCCAACTTTAGAAAATTTATGGTCAAAAATATTAAAGAAAATAATAATCATTTCTTTATTTTATACAATATATCACATTGTTATTAATTTATTACTGATGCCAATAGGTTTTTAATTAATTTATCAGTCTCTATAATTATTAGATAATAAATATGATTATTTATGTTAGACGGAACAGCCCCAGTTAGTAGATACGGGAGGAAGAAAAAAGATTGGTCAAATAACCACTTTAATTGCTTTTTTAATGCTGTAAAAAAAATTACTTTTTAATATATATGTACCCGCTAAAAATTGTTTGTTATTATTTTATTCTTTTAACATCTATTGTTTGTTAATTAGTCTACATATATTTCAAATTTCAATTTAACTCAGATATTTATTTTCAATTGTTCATAGTTTATACTTTTTGCTTTGCTGGTTTGTACTGAATTACATTTTAAAGCATATAAAATCTAATTTCATGTAGAAGCAAATATTAAAAAAGGTGTACTGAAACTAAAATTTTGGAGAATTTGAATTTTTTTGAATTTTAATAAAATTTTAGATGATTTTATGTGGATTATGAAAGTTGATATGATTTGATATTAAAATTATATAAAATTATACCTAAAACAATGAAATTTGGTTTTCTATATCTTTAAGTAACAAACCCCATCAAATCATTTAAAAATATTCAATATTTTGTAAAATCCACAATTTAAAATATTTCTAATAATAGTGGATTTGATTTAATTTTTACAAGTTCTTGATTGAATAACATAGATGTTGAAGTGATTTTAATTAGTTTTATATAAACTAGGTATTTACCCGCGCTACGCTGCGGGATATTTTTCTAAATTTTGTATATATTTTTAATATAACAAAACTATTTTGATTATGTAAATGAGTATTATATTTTTTATTAGCTTAAATTATGTATTTATATTTTTTAATTTAAATAAACATTGTATACCTTTAATTTTTTTTTTATTTTTTAAATTATAATTTACTATTAAATTGTTTAACTAACTAATTATTTATACATGTAAAAATAAAGCAATATAATATTTAGACTTTCATGCTAATGGTAAATATAATCTATTTTTCCAATAAATTGTCACTTGATCGTCTTTTGTAATTATATAAAGCAAAATACCATTTTTAAAAAAAGATTTATTAATTAAAATGATTATCTTGAATTATAAAATTTATTTATTTATCAAATATTTATTATAAACATATGTTTCTAAAACTATCAAACTATAATCAATAACATTCATATCAAAACTATTGCTATTGTTTTAGAACTAAATATAAAATTTTGTTTGAACTGTTGAAATATTTAGTTGAAGTTAAATAATTAAATTTTGGTTACTGTAAACATATTTTAACTTGGAAATTTAGCACAGAGAAATTTCATCTTCTTACAAAAATCGAGAAAACGCATTTTCCATCAAAACTAAAAAGCTTCATTTTTTCATGAAATTGAGAAAGCGCATATTCCCGCCAAAACCAAAATATTCATTTTCTCGTCAAATCTAAAACCTAAAATTTCATTTTTCCGCGACAACCTGGGTTTTCTCATCAAAACCGAAAATTACGTTTTTTCACTAAAACCAAAACATCTTATCTTCCTACAAAAACCTAAAAATCGTATTTTTCCGTCAAAACCAAGAATATATTTTCTTGCAAAAACCGAGAAATATTCTATTCCCGCCAAAACCAATAATTCATTTTCTCGTCAAACCAAGAATCATGCTTCCCTACCAAAACAATAAACTACAATTTCTCGCGAAAATCAAAAAGTGCATTATTTCTTGAGAAATTATGTTTTCCCGTGAAACCTAAGTAATTGTTTTTTTCGCAAAAACAAAAAAAATCACATTATTCATCAAAAACTGAAAAATTGCATTTCCTATCTAAACCAAGAAATTGCTTATTCCCGCCAAAATCGAAAAATTTTCTTTTCCCGTCAAACCGAGAAATTGCATTTCCCGCCAAAATCATCAAATTCCAATTTTTCGCGAAAACTAATAAATCACATTTTCAGGTGAAAATCAAGAAATCGCATTATTTGTCAAAAGCCGAAATTTGCATTTCCTATTAAAATTGAGAAATCGCATTTTTGTCAAAATTGAAAAATTGTATTTCTCATCAAAACCGAGCATTTTTCCGTCAAAACTAAGATATTTTGTTTTCTCGTCAAAATTTTTTTTTTTGTTTTCTCACCAAAACCAAAATTCACATTTTCTTGCCAAATCTGAGAATTCGTTTTTTCTGCCATAACCGAGAAATTATGTTTTGCTATCAAAACTGAAAATCACATTTTTCTACTGAAACCAAGAAATCTCCTATTTCCGGCAAAACAGAGAAATTCTCTATTCACGCCATAGTCAAGAAAAATTGTTATCTCGCGTGTTTTCTTAACAAAACTGAAAAATTGTATTTTTCCGCCAAAATCGTTAAATTGTATTTTTCAGCAAAAACTGTGAAATTGTATTTTCATACGAAAACCAAGAAATCGCATTATCCATCAAAAACAGAAAATTGAGTTGCCAATCGAAAACAAAGATTTAATTTTTTATTTGTTGTTATTTATAATTTGGGTTTGAGTTTGACAAAAAATAAAATAAATATTTTTTATTTATTGTTATTAATAATTTGGGTTTGAGTTTGGTAAAAAATAAAAATAAAATTAATAGAAAATATATTTGAGTTTTTAATGGATTTAAATTTAAAAATTAAAATAAGTAGATGAGTTGTATTAATAAAATGTTTTTATTGGTGAATATTTTTGCTGAGGTGTCATACTCAGAAAGCTCCAAAATGCTGATATGTCATCTCTAAGAGATACATTGATGTTATTGTTGTATTGATTATTTGATAAGATATTTAGAAATTATTAGTTGAATAACATTAAATAACATAGAATATTATAAAGTTTTCTAAAATTTCAGTTTCAATACACCTCTAATTGTTGGGAGTGATTTTTGGTTTTTAAATATGGCGGCGACGTGGAGAAGTAATCGGAAATAAATGCTCCATGGAAAAGACAACAATAATTCTTCATTCTTCCGAAAGGTGAATGATGATAAATTGGTTCAAAATGGAAAGATGTGAACTAAAGGACCCTTATCAGTAAGCACCATCAGTATAAACAACAATGGGGCTCCTCACATTATGGGTGCCATCACACCAAATCAGATTCGAAGACGAAGGCAGCTTTGGGTCGAGATTGCTGCCTGAAACAGTCACCGTGAAAGACTGCTTCTCATATACCGTCTTAAAAGAGAGCACACTAGGCGAGACCTTGACACTGAGCTTAGATCCGTTATTTGAGACCACATTTGATTTGTATGTTGAGTTGGGCGTACCGACATTAGTTACGGTTCTTTCGAAAGTCACCGTGAAGGAGCTACTAGATCCCGGCAATTTAGCCGACATGGATGGATAGTTGAGGTTTCTTGGTGCGGTTTTGTTTTCTTTAGTGCAAGAAATTATTTCACCAGATAGGTATTTAAGGAATTTCGCAGTGTAGTTCAAGCCGCAGAGAAAACTGAAGTGGTCCGCTTTGTTAAATTCATAGACAAGTCCAGGATGTAAAGCGGCTATTGGGTCGATATGGCCAGCTCCGTAAGAAAACTCCGTTGATGCGTCGTCAGTTTCAGCAGCATTCATTGGCCAAGCTACGAGGTTAGGAGATCAAGGAAAACAAAGACTTGCATAAGCCAGCGAATGGTTTCTTGCTGGAGAAGAAATTCCCAACTCTATTTGAATGGGTATAGTTCTGCTTACCGGTCGTCATGATGGCAGATTGGATCATGGAAGGAGACCATTCGGGATGAAAACTCTTAACGTACGCGGCCGCGCCTGCAGCATGTGGAGCAGACATGGAAGTTCCAGAGATAACAGAGTATTTCACACGTCTGATGTCACTCTTGCTTTCAGATGGTGAAATCTCCGGTGAATAAGCAGCGAGAATCTCCACTCCTGGTGCTGTTATATCCGGCTACAAGTCATACACCATGGTCTCAAACCTCAGACCCGGAAGAAAAAGAGAACCAATATCATAAATTGTTTTATGTATATACCTTGAGAAGATCAACAGCTATAGTGTTTGGACCACGAGAAGAGAAGGAAGCCACTTTAGGAGCTGTCTGATTAAAGACTGCTTCAGTTTTTAGAATAGTCGCTTTCGGGGAACTGAGAAAACAAACGTAGAGATAAAGAGAATCTAGGGCACATGTAAAGAGGAATTAAGAAACAGAGAGAAGGCCGTTTCTTACTTTGTAGAGTTAATGTAAGAGACGAGAGAGTCAAAGTCATCTTGTAGAAGAGCAGAGAGGGGCAAAGGGCTGACCCAGGCATAGTAAATTTTAGGGCTCATAAGAATGACTGCAACAGCTCCATTTGATTGAAGTTCGTCTACATTAAAGTATTCCTGTTGACGACACAATACGATTTTCCCCTTCACGAGGGATTGATCTAGACACCCTTCCCTACATTCCCTGATATACAAGTCCCATCACCAACGATAAGTTACAAAGTTCCATGCTGTTCGCACCATAAATGGTGTTTCTTGGGAAGGAAGGAACGTACTTGGCGTGTTCCTCATCGCAAGTAGAGAAACCAGCTGATTTTCCATACACCAGAGGATATTCATTTCCTTTCAGATCGAAAGTGTTCACTGATTTTCCCTGTAAAGAAGTACCTTCATTGGTAACTAAAGTGACAAAAGATTACTATGATCATAGAAATAAGAACGTTTCTTGACACTTACGACAAGTGTCTTGCCGTCTCCGAGAACAACTTTGGTGAAAAACCCACGGTTTGTAATGCTGGCTGCAACGGTTAACATCCACGGCGCTACGGATGAGATTGTACCCGGTTTTGGACCACTATTACCGGCTCCATTCACGGTGAGAATCCCTTTAGCCATAGCGTGAAAAGCTCCAATTGCGATCGGGTCATGTTTGTACAGCAGTGGGGTATCAAACCCGAGAGAGATGGTGATGAGATCCACACCATCGGCGATTGCGTCATCAAACGCAGACATTACATTGACCCCATGACATATTTCGAATTGGCAGACTTTGTAAGCAGCGATTCTAGAGGCTGGAACGCCGCCTCTTACCGTTCCATTGCCGAGTCCAAAGAAGCTTATGTCCGCAACTGCGTTTCCAGCCGCCGTGGACGCTGTGTGTGTACCGTGGCCAGCATAATCCCTAGCACCTTCTCCTGTGTAGTCTCTTGCCCCAATCAACTTGCTGAAAAATAATAGAGAGCAATTTCTACCTAAAATAAGTTTTTTTAAGAGAGAATATATGATTGAGATTATTTCAAACTTATCTTTCCTCATTCGAAAAAAGTAGCAAGAAAAATAAAGAATTCAAGTATTTTTTTCTATAGAAAACTTTTCTGGTTTTTATTTATATATTTATTTTCTAAAAGTGTAAAGGCAAACAGGATTTCTTTTTCCGTTGTGGTTAACAAGTGACAATTAAAAAAAAACATTTCTAGTTGTGGGTCTATTTGTCAATATAAACATCAAATATAAACGTACACGCAAACACAGACACAAACAAACAAATATAAGACAAAGAGATTTACTTGTTGCAAGAGAAGTTTTTGCCTCCAGAACAAACACCTTTCCATTTCTTTGGAGGAGGACCAAAGCTTTTGTCGGAGAAGCTTTCGGATTCCGGTGTGATCCCACCGTCGATGACCCCAATAATGGTATCACTCTCCACGGCCGGGTTCCTCTTCGTCTTCTTTCCTTCCTTTAGCCCCATGAAGTCCCAAGACGTCGTCGTTTGGAGTTTTAGTTTCTTGTTCGGGAACACGGACACAACTCCCTCCATTTCTAAGTATCAATGGAACCATGCATGAGGGTATATAAGTCCCTAAAGTTCTAGAAATAATTGGTTTATCTATATGTTCAATCGATTGTCACTAACTACTGAACATGCATACAAGCTTCCCTGGCATATAGATGTATATATGATGTCACAAATCCATTTCAACCAAAACAATTCATCTCATTGTATATTTGTACCATAAGATTAATCAGGTCGAAGAACACTCACTGGCTACTCTTTCTCGTTCTGCTCCGGTGAGTCTGGCGGCGAACCCGTTGAAACTCCTCTTATAACTTCTCACCAATCGATCCTCAATCGAACTGGAATACATAACGAGCGAGCCATTATTGCAAGTGTTAGAATATTTCTAACGATTTCTTACATTAATTATAACGACTTGACATGGTTAGAAGATAATTTAGATTATATCATACTTCTTTCCAGTTACTTCTTGAAGAATATTCACGTGAACAGACATTGGTGAGTAGTCTCCACTAGACGGAAGTGATCCCATGTAGACGACATATACCTTTTATAAATTATCAACATCATGAATGATGGATCAATGGTCATTGATATATATATACAAGGAGGCAAGAGAAAACTACAATAAATCACCTGTTCGTCTTGAGGATCATTTGTGACTCCTGAGATCGAATTCAAGAACAACGCAAGGAGGCAAGAGAAAACTACTCGTTTACCCATTTTTCTATATTATCTAAAGTCAATGATCTAATTTCGATGGAGATCGATATGAAAGGTACATATTGAACTGTGCAAACATTCTTCTGATTAGTTTGGTCAAAAATTCTATATAGAAACAAATCTAGTATTGCAAGAATGAAAAATATCTAGTTTAGTAATATATTAATGATACCACTTTATTTTTATATTTGTAGGAAACATATCAAGGATTTGCATACAAAAAAATGGAAACATATCAAGGTTCTTTTTTTTTTTGGGATAAGAATAATATTCCAAACTAATTAATCTCCTTTTATATACAGTACCAATAATTCTGCCAAGTGCCATCCAGAGACCAGATTAGATTTGGAGACGAGCCAGATAATTAGTCTACCACATAAAATTCTCATTCATTTTTATAAATAACAATGGGGCTTCTTACATTATGAATGCCATCAGACCAGATTAGATTTGCAGACGAAAGCAGTTTTGAGTTGAGACTGCCTCTAACAGTTACCGTGAAAGTCTGCTTGTCGTTCACTTTCTTAAAATACAAGACGCTAGGCAAAACCTTGGCCTTGAGATTAGATCCCTGATTTAAGACAACTTTTGATTTGTATGTAGAGTTTGGGGTACCCACGTTGGTGACGGTTCTGTGAAAAATCACGTTGAAGAAGCTTTTAGATCCCGAAATTTTTGCCGACATTGAAGGATAGTTAAGGTTCATAGGTAAGGTCTTTCCAGCGCACGTGACGGCTTCGCCGGATATGAGTTTCACGGTAGTTGCATTGTAATTCATACCGCAGAGGAAGTCAATGTAGTCTGCTGTAGTCGAGTCGTATACGAGTCCAGGATTAGTTGCAGATATCGGGTCGACATGGCCAGCTCCATAAGCAAATTCGGTTGATGCAAATCCAGTTTTAGAAGCATTCATCGGCCAAGCTGCGAGTTTGAGACCAAAGAAGAACAGAGTGTGAAAACAAAATTTGATGGGTTTCTTGAGGGACAAGAAAATATGCATGCTTTACTCATGTTTTGACTTTTTGCTTACCGGTTGTCATAATGGCAGATTTGATCATGGAAGGAGACCATTTAGGATGAAAAGTCTTGATATACGTGGCCACGCCTGTAACGTGTGGACAAGCCATTGAAGTTCCGGAGAGAACAGAGTACTTGACACGTCTTGTGTCAAACACACTTGAGGACGGTGAAGCCTCAGGTGAAAATGAAGCAAGGATCTCAACTCCTGGTGCGGTTATATCCGGCTGCAAGTCATTTAGCATTGTCTCTCAGACCAGCAAATAAAAGAGAATAATAAGGAGAAGCAATACTATGTATATACAGACCTTGAGAATATCAGTTGCGATGCTGTTTGGACCGCGAGACGAGAAGGAAGCGATGACCGGAGCTGTCTGACTAAAAATTGCCTCAGTTCTTAGAATAGTAGCTACCGGAGAACTGAGGAAATAGACGCAGACTTGTCAGTATAAAACTTATATCTTGTTTGTGTTTTATAAATGATCCCAGAAGAACTTAAAGAATTTTTAACAAAATTCATTTGTTATGTTATAAATATAGATGTGAAACGCAAAAGAAAAGAAAAACTCTTCGTCTGAATTTAACTTTGCAATAATATTTTGTGAAAAACGAAAACATGTTTAATATTTCAAGATTCTGTAATTTAGAAAGAAAAGATTTTCTTTCTCCTGTGGAGAGAATTCAAAGCACATAACTTGAAAACAGAGAACAGGATGTTACCTTTCGGACTTAATGTAAGAAAGGAGAGAGTTAAAGTCTTCTTGTGATAAAGTAGAGAGAGGGAAAGAGGTGACGAGGGCGGTGTCTTGTACAATTAGGTTAATAGAAATTCCTCCAACAGCTCCATGTCCTTCGTATGAATCCGTGGAATTGCACACCACCACTTTTCCTTTTACGAGGGATTCTTGAAGACACCCTTCTTCACATCGCCTAGAAAAAAAAAGTCTCAATTATCTCGAATTTTAGCATATGAATCTATATCTAGGTCATATGCATGAACAAGATATTTCTTGTTGAGGACGTTACTCTGCCGATTCCACGCTGCAAGCAGACGAATTGACAGCAGATTTTCCGTATACTAGAGGATACATTGTTCCATTCAAACGAAACGTATTCACTGATCTTCCCTGTTTCATGTAAGTAAATTGTAAAGAAGAGATAAAAGACAAGATGATAGAGAACAAAATATAGTTTTTCTTGATACGTACGACAAGTGTTTTGCCGTCACCCAGAACAATTTTGGTGAGAAATGCACGGTTGGTGTTGCTGGCGGCAACCGTCAAGATCCATGGAGCTACGCTCTCTACCGTTTCTGCTTCCGGACCGCTGTTACCAGCTGCTTGGACAGTGAGTATCCCTTTGGCCGTAGCGTGAAAAGCCCCGATAGCGATCGGGTCTTCTTCTAAAGAGTCGGGTCCTCCCAAGGAGATGTTGATGATGTCAACACCGTCCGCAATCGCATCATCAAACGCAGACAAAATCGCATCGGAGCTACACCCTAACAAAGTGCAAACGTTGTAACTGACAATTCTTGAGGCCGGAACACCACCTCTCACGGTTCCTCTGCCAAGTCCATAAAAGCTTGTATCCGCGACAGCGTTTCCAGCCACCGTGGACGCTGTATGTGTGCCATGGCCAGTAGAGTCCCTAGATCCTTCGCCTGTGTAGTCCCTTGCACCAATCAACTTGCTGCAAATATAACAATTAACAAAATAGACAATTTCTAGAGTGTATATATATGTAAATTCTGTAATGGCAAATGAACAAAGAACGGAATCTAGGGAGATGACAGTGACTCGATCATTTGGTTCATTAAAAAGGTTACTTGTTGCAGGTGAAGTTCTTGCCGCCGGAGCAAAGACCTTTCCATTTCTTTGGAGGAGGACCAAAGCCTTTGTCGGAAAAGCTTTCGGATTCCGGCGTGATCCCAGTGTCGATGACTCCGATGATAGTATCACTCTCCACGGCCAGGTTCCGATTCGTCTTACTTCCTTCCTTTAACCCCATGAAGTCCCAAGAGTTCGTCGTAAGGAGCTGTAGATTCTTGTTAGGGAATACTGACACAACTCCTTCCATGTCTAAGAAAAACATGAAGGGTTTTAATTAACCTTATAAAATATAGCATTTCAAGTGTAAAGAGCTTAGAACTTGATCCGAGAACTGGTCGGATCGTGGGTTTTTTTCCGGGCCGTGTGTTTTACCAGGTTGAAACGGGTCAAATAAGTCAGGGTTCTTAAAGTATATTACTGGACCAGATTATGGACCGGGCAGCGGATTTACCGGTCCCGGCCTAGTTCGAAAACACTGCTTTAGAGTTTGATCTATCTCGTAGAATTATACTCACTGGCTATTCTTTCTCGTTCTGACTGAGTGAGTCGGGCCGCGAATCCATTGAAACTCCTCGTGTAACTTCTTACCAAACGACCTTCGTTGGAACTACAGATATTAGATGTATCACTTGTTAGCGTATTCATACCGTTGGATAGCTCTATTTGACTATTTCATTATAACTATGACTAGAGAATGATGTAACTAATATATACCTCTCTCCGGTGATTCCTTGAAGAATATTCATGTGATCGGACATTGGTGTGTAGGCCTCGCTAGACGGAAGTGCACCCATGTAGACGACATACACCTTCATGGATTATGATGATCATCATATATATGGCAAGAAACAAGATATAATAAGAACTGTTATTTGTAAACCTGTTGGTCTTGAGTATCATCTATGACTGCTGAGACTGGACACAAGAACAAGACAATGAGACAGGGCAAGAGGCAGAAGAAAGCTGGTCGATTCGCCATTTTCTAAAAAAAACAATAAAAAGTCAATGTAAGACTTAAGTAGACAAAAAAAAAATTGATGAAAAAATTTACAGTAGGCTCTAACAAAAAAAAACGAGGCTTTCAACGTCATTTTTTCTAATGGATTAACAAACGGTTTTTTGCGTATATAACTTATTAAGAGTTAAAATAAAGAATAATCATAATGTATGAATAATTTACAAACTAACAATGGCCTACTATCAATTGTCAAAAATATCCTTATACTATACTATAATAGCTATTATACTATATTTCAATTTTATAAAATAGTTTTGTTTGATATAGTATTTGCAAAAAAATAGAAGAGGAGAAAAGAAAAAAGATGGAAGAGAATAGAAGATAAAAGGAGGAGAAGAGAGGGAAAGAAAGGAGAAGAGAAGAGAAAAGAGGGGAAGAGGTGGGGGAGATGAGAAAAGGGGAGGGGAAAATGAATGATATTTTTGTATATATTATATAATATATAAAGAATATTATAGCACCTAGTTGATGAATTTAACTTATTAATACGGTTATACGATAAACAAAACCTTTCAACCAAAAAAATAAACAAATAAACAGAACAGAACCTGGCAATTTGCTAACAGTTATCTAACAATTAAAAAGGGGAGGTCTTCTAACGGATCTCGTGTAGTGTGTGTAATCTCTATTAAAGAATAATCATTATAACCAATAAAAAAAAGAAAGAAAGAATAATCATTTGCCGGAGAGATATTAAAATGGTGGAGCTGCGGAAGAATCATGAGAGACCAATACCTTGATTTAAGGGATTTTCGAATGTTTTGAGAAAATTTTGGTACTGAATCAAGAAGAAAGTTTAGTATGCGTGCACCCAATTTCTAGTTGACGTGTTTTTATTTATAGTGCATTCATTTTGGTCGCGGTGCTAACGTTTAGTATGCGTGCATCCAATTTCTAGTTGACGTGTTTTTTGTATAGTGCATTCATTTTCAAAACCATATCTTATCTAGTTATGAGCTGTTGTACCAATGCGCACCCTCGTTATCGTTGTATTATTTCTCACTACGTAGGATAAGGTCTATCTTTGATTTGAGACATCCACATTGTTAAAACTTCTACCAAGTTTAGACTAATCCTAATCTTTATCGGATAACTTGTAAACTATATATAGATATATTTTCTGTAATTACTTAGATTTCTTTATAAAATGAAAAATGTGGTATAATTAAGGGTTCTAGGATTTGCGTATATTAGCCTCGCATTACATATTTCTCTCTTTTAAGTATGAAGAATCATGAATTTTCAACTCAAAAGCAAATTTATAATAAGCGAAGAGGACTGCCTATCTTTTATATACCAAGTAAAAGTCCAACTAGACAGCCTTAATATAGTAATTTGTAAACCTTAAATCGTGATCGTTTTTTTTTGTAGTAATTTGTAATCGTATTCATCGTTTCATTCACTTATATATATATATATATATATATATACCGTTTTGAATTGATACTTTAAAGAACTCAGGTTGATTTGAACAAAAAGTAAAGAAAAGAACACAATTAATATATCTGGATTATCTCATTTGCATGTCCTTAATACATCAACATACATACCAAGCCAAGACAAGACATCATAGAGCATAAGAAAACTAAAGCATGGAATAAAGAAACATAAAAACAAAATACAACAAAGACTTATTTATGATGATGACGATGGTGAACTGAAGATGTGCCTCATTAGTAACCATCAGTGTAAACAACAATGGGACTTCTGACGTTATGAGTCCCATCAGACCAGATTAGATTCGCAGACGAAGGCAGTTCAGAGTCGAGATCGCTGCCTGTAACAGTTACCTTGAACGATTGCTTCTCGTTGACCGTCTGAAAAGACAAAACACTAGGCGTGACCTTGACGCTGAACACTAGGATTTGCACACAAAAAAAGGAAACATATCGAGGTTCTTTTTTTTTGGGATAAAAATAATATTCCAAACTAATTAATTAATGAATCTCATTTTATATACAGTACCAATAATTCTGTCAAGTGCCATCCAGAGACCAGATTAGATTTGGAGACGAGCCAGATAATTAGTCTACCACATGAAATTCTCATTCGTTTTTATAAATAACAATGGGGCTTCTCACATTATGAACGCCATCAGACCAGATTAGATTTGCAGACGAAAGCAGTTTTGAGTTGAGACTGCCTCTAACAGTTACCGTGAAAGTCTGCTTATCGTTCACTTTCTTAAAAAACAAGACGCTAGGCAATACCTTGGCCTTGAGATTAGATCCCTGATTCAAGACGACTTTTGATTTGTATGTAGAGTTTGGGGTACCCACGTTGGTGACGGTTCTGCGAAAAATCACGTTAAAGAAGCTTTTAGAACCCGAAATTTTTGCCGACATTGAAGGATAGTTAAGGTTCATAGGTAAGGTCTTTCCAGCGCAAGTGACGGCTTCGCCGGATATGAGTTTCACGGTAGTTGCATTGTAATTCATGCCGCAGAGGAAGTCAATGTAGTCTGCTGTAGTCGAGTCATATACGAGTCCAGGATTAGTTGCAGATATCGGGTCGACATGGCCAGCTCCATAAGCAAATTCGGTTGATGCAAATCCAGTTTTAGAAGCATTCATCGGCCAAGCTGCGAGTTTGAGACCAAAGAAGAACAGAGTGTGAAAACAAAATTTGATGGGTTTCTTGAGGGACAAGAAAATATGCATGCTTTACTCATGTTTTGACTTTTTGCTTACCGGTTGTCATAATGGCAGATTTGATCATGGAAGGAGACCATTTAGGATGAAAAGTCTTGATATACGTGGCCACGCCTGTAACGTGTGGACAAGCCATTGAAGTTCCGGAGAGAACAGAGTACTTGACACGTCTTGTGTCAAACACACTTGAGGACGGTGAAGCCTCAGGTGAAAATGAAGCAAGGATCTCAACTCCTGCTGCTGTTACATCCGGCTGCAAGTCATTTAGCATTGTCTCTCAGACCAGGAAATTAAAGAGAATAATAAGGAGAAGCAAGACTATATATGTATATACAGACCTTGAGAATATCAGTTGCGATAATGTTTGGACCGCGAGCAGAGAAGGAAGCGACCACCGGAGATGTCTGACTAAAGATTGCCTCAGTTCTTAGTATAGTAGCTACCGGAGAACTGAGCAAATAGAGGCAGAGTTATCAGTGTAAAACTTATATCTTGTTTGTGTTTATAAATTATCCCAGAACTTAAAGAATTTAATTTTAACAAAATTCATTGGTTATGATGTAAATATAGATGTGAAACGCAAAAGAAAAGAAAAACTCTTCGTCTGAATTTAACTTTGCAAAAAAAATTTGTGAGAAACTAAAACATGTTTAATATTTCAAGAAACTGTAATTTAGAGAAAAAAAAAATCTTTCTCCTGCAAACGTAAATGGAGACATTGTATTTGAAACAACTGAATCCTGAATAAGGAAGATGCAAAGCACATAACTTGAGAACAGAGAACAGGGTGTTACCTTTCGGACTTAATGTAAGAAAGGAGAGAGTTAAAGACTTCTTGTGATAAAGTAGAGAGAGGCAAAGAGGTGACGAGGGCAGTGTCTTGTGTAATTAGGTTAATAGAAATTCCTGCAACAGCTCCATTTACTAGAGCTTCGTGTGAATCCGCGGAATTGCACACCACCACTTTTCCTTTCACGAGGGATTCTTGAAGACACCCTTCTTCACATCGCCTAGAAAAAAAAGTCTCAATTATCACCATTTTTTAACATATGAATCTATATCTAGGTCATATGCATGAACATGATGTTTCTTGTTGAGGACGTTACTCTGCCGATTCCACGCTGCAAGCAGACGAATTGGCAGCAGATTTTCCGTATACTAGAGGATACTTTTTTCCATTCAAATCAAACGTATTCACTGATCTTCCCTGTTTCATGTAAGTAAAATGTAAAGAAGAGATAAAAGACAAGATGATAGAGAACAAAAAAAACAGTTTTCTTGATACGTACGACAAGTGTTTTGCCGTCACCCAGAACAATTTTGGTGAGAAATGCACGGTTGGTGTTGCTGGCGGCAACCGTCAAGATCCATGGAGCTACGCTCTCTAGCGTTTGCGCTTCCGGACCGCTATTACCGGCTGATTGCACAGTGAGTATCCCTTTGGCCGTAGCGTGAAAAGCCCCGATAGCGATCGGGTCTTCTTCAAAAGGAGAGGCGTATCCTATTCCCACGGAGATGCTGATCATGTCAACACCATCCGCAATCGCATCATCAAACGCAGCCAAAATCGAATCGGAGCTACACCCTAACAAAGTGCAAACTTTGTAAGTGACAATTCTTGAGGCCGGAACTCCACCTATCACGGTTCCATTGCCAAGTCCATAAAAGCTTGTATCCGCGACAGCGTTTCCAGCCACCGTGGACGCTGTATGTGTACCATGGCCAGTAGAGTCCCTAGATCCTTCGCCTGTGTAGTCCCTTGCACCAATCAACTTGCTGCAAATATAACAATTAACAAAATAGTTCAATTTCTAGAGCTTATATATATATGTAAATCCTGTAATGGTAAATGAACAAAGAACGGATTCTAGGGCGATGAGAGTGACTCAATCATTAAAGAGGTTACTTGTTGCAGGTGAAGTTCTTGCCGCCGGAGCAAAGACCTTTCCATTTCTTTGGAGGAGGACCAAAGCCTTTATCGGAAAAGCTTTTGGATTCCGGCGTGATCCCACTGTCGATGACTCCGATGATAGTATCACTCTCCATGGCCAGGTTCCGATTCGTCTTATTTCCTCCCTTTAACCCCATGAAGTCCCAAGAGTTCGTCGTTTGGAGCTGTAGATTCTTGTTAGGGAATACAGACACAACTCCTTCCATATCTAAGAAAAACATAAAGGGTTTTAATCTTAACTATTATTTGAAAAGAATGTTTAATGAAAAATATGATGTGTCATCACCTTAGCAAAAGTTAGTGTAAACTAATGGTGACATAAAATTATAACATGGAAATGTGAGATGGCAAATTTCTTAAAATAAACGAAATATTTTGATTGATTGAATTATAATTAAATAAATTATAAAATTATTACATAAATACACTAGGTTATAATAATAAAAATAATAAATTTAAATAAACAGAAAATAATAGTTATTATGATTTCAATTTTTCTTTACATATATTCATAATATATTGCGTAAAATATGATTACAAAAATTTTACAACCAATATATATTTTAAATTTTTAAATAAAATAATAATAATAGATTATCCAATAAGATAGTATATTTGCTATATATTAATAATGTTGGGAGTATGATATATTATTATTTGTATATAACTTTTAACATTTTTGGAGAAAATTTAAGAAAAACTAACCAACACTTAAATATTATAATTTACTTATTTATAACTCATACCTACATGCATAATATACATATTTTTTTATTAAAAAATCAATCATACATTATAAGAATATATATTACAAAACATATATTTTATTATTTTCTTTTAACACATAAAATTCATACTTCAATTTTTTCACAAATATACAGGTTGATACAAATATTAATTGTTCAAAAATCAAAGTCGCATGCAAATTTGTCTTGCGTACATTTTTTTAACCCTTCGATTGCAGTCTAATTTTAATTTTAGTTATTAGTCAATTTGTATTTATTAAAAATATCTCTATATGTCATAAGAGCACTGAGGTAGTTGGTACGCACGAATGTGCGGACCAACCATCTACCCGCTTTTAGGATAAGTAGTAATGGTAAAACCTATTTTGGTTTACTTAGCAATAATTCAAAAAAAATGTATACTTAAATTATATATATATATTGACAAGATTATATTGTGCAAAGGGAAAAATAAATATAATATAGATAATATTCAAAACATATTATGAGAATTTAATTATTATTTAATATAACTTTTACATTTATAATTATATGTTACTCTAAATGTTAGAAAAAACATAAAGTTTTCAAAAGACACAATGATATGAAATGTTTGTGTGATTATTGTTAAACGCTAAAACTGTATATGTATAAAAACATAATGCTTACATATGTATAAGAAATTAATCAATACTTAAATATTTCAACTAATTATATCTATAAAAAAATATATTTGCACATGCGTGAGGGCCAACCATAAAAATTAAATAAATGATTATATATTTTAATATTGTCAGTTTATTTAGTTATCATATTTATATTTTTTTTATCTATAGGAGTATTTTAAAAATCTGGGTTAATGTTTTTTTATCTTCAATTTCTATTAAAATCTATAACATTTTTTCGTTTGATTTATTATTATTTCTAATTATTAAATGTTTAAATAATGCCATTATTAATACATTATTAATCATATACAAATAAAACATATTTAATATATAAAATTATATTTAGTATATAATAGCTATCATACATTTAATATATAAAATATTTTATAACCCGCACACAGTGCGGACATATCACCTAGTTAACCTTAGAAAATAAAGCATTTTATATCTTCTTTTAATTACAAATAAAAATAGACAAACTGTTGTAATTTTTATCTTTAGAACTATGTTTTGAAAACCGGAACGTAAGGAAAACTAGGAAATTTCTATAGTATCAATAGATTTTATAGCATTTCAAGTGTAAAGAGCTTAGAACTTGATCCGAGAACTGGTCGGATCGTGGGTTTTTTTCCGGGCCGTGTGTTTTACCAGGTTGAAACGGGTCAAATAAGTCAGGGTTCTTAAAGTATATTACTGGACCAGATTATGGACCGGGCAGCGGATTTACCGGTCCCGGCCTAGTTCGAAAACACTGCTTTAGAGTTTGATCTATCTCGTAGAATTATACTCACTGGCTATTCTTTCTCGTTCTGACTGAGTGAGTCGGGCCGCGAATCCACTGAAACTCCTCGTGTAACTTCTTACCAAACGACCTTCGTTGGAACTACAGATATTAGATGTATCACTTGTTAGCGTATTCATACCGTTGGATAGCTCTATTTAATCATGACTATGACTAGAGAATGATGTAACTAATATATACCTCTCTCCGGTGATTCCTTGAAGAATGTTCATGTGATCGGACATTGGTGTGTAGACCTCGCTAGACGGCAGTGCACCCATGTAGACGACATACACCTTCATGGATTATGATGGTCATCATCTTTATCGTGATAAATATGATGGTTTGATCATCATATGGCAAGAAACAATATATAATAAGAACTGTGTTTATACCTGTTGGTCTTGATTATCATCTCTGACTGCTGAGACTGAGCATAAAAGCAAGACAATGAGACAGGGCAAGAGGCAAAAGAAAGCTGGTGGATTCGCCATTTTCTAGAAAAACAATTAAAAGTCATTGTAAAGACTTACAATTTTTATGTTGATATTTATCATTACGATAATTTATATACAGTGGATCATGCATAAACCATGCCAAAAAAAGTAAACAAAAAAAAATCTTAAAAAAAAACGTCATTTGGCCAAGCAAGAAAAAATGGAAACAAAATTAACAACTTGACCATTTAATAAATATTATCAACAACAGTTCTTCAGATTTATAAAATCTTCACCAAAAAAAAAAAAAAAAAATTCTTCAGATCCCCTTTCTGCCCAAGAAATTAAAAAATCATTGATATCTCACGTTCCTTGACCTACGTCACCTACCGCAAAATTTGTGCCACACCACCCCACACGACGAGGCAACAGAGGAAATTAACTATTTTGCTATGTCTGTAAAATTCCACTAATTTATATGGGACAGATCTATGGTTGTCAATTAGAAAATACAATGACTGCTTTTTTGTTGTTAAAAAGTAATACTAATATGACTGCATAATTCAATTGTAAATAACTTTTTCAGCGTAGCATGTTTACTCTTTATATATAGTCTAGTTTCTAAAAGTTAGCTAAGATACGATTTTTTATTTTTCTTTTTGACAACATAAATGCAAAACTGTAAATTATATACTACCAAGATCATCTTCATTGATGAGAAATTTACAGGAGGCTCTAACCAAAAAAAAAAAAACGAGGCTTTCAACATCACTTTTTCTATGGGTTAATGTTAACGTCATTAACAAACAGAACCTTTCAGCAAAAAAAAAAAAAAAACAAACAAACAAACAGAACCTAGCTATATGAAGGATATTTTTGTATATATTATATAATATATAAAAAATATCATAGCACCTATTTTATTATGGTTAATTGATGAATTTAATTTATTAATCAAAACTTTTCAACCAAAAAAAACCAAATAAACAGAACAGAACCTGGCAATTTGCTAACAGTTATCTAACAATTAAAAAGGGGACGTCTTCTAAAGGATCTCGTGTAGAGTGTAATCTCTATTAAAGAATAATCATTATAACCAATAAAAATAAAAATAAAAAGAATAATCATGTGCCGGAGAGATATTAAAATGGTGGAGCTCCGGAAGAATCTTGAGAGATCAATACCTTGATTTAAGGGATTTTGAGTGCTTTGAGAAAAATTTGGTACTGAATCAAGAAGAAAGTTTAGAATGTGTGCATCCAATTTTGAGTGTTTTTTTTATTTATAGTGCATTCATTTTGGTCGCGGTGCTAACGTATAGGTTTTCAAAACCAAATCTTATCTAGCTATATATGACCTGTTGTACCCAATGCGCATCCTCGTTATCGTTGTATTTCTCGCTACTTAAATATAGGAAGCGCAATCCATGTCACGTTGTAAACCTAAGTGGCTGAAGTTGTATTTTTTTAAAAACCTTAAATAGTGATCGTCTTTTTTTTTTTAGAAATTTGTAATCGTATTCATCGTTTCATTCACTTGTATATGTACCGTTTTGATTTGATATTTCAAAGAACTCAGGTTGATTTTAAAAAGTAAAGAAAAGAACACAATTAATATCTGGATTATCTCATTTGCATGTCCTTAACACATCAACATACATACCAAGCCAAGACATCATAGAGCACTATATAAAAGAAATCTAAAACATAGAATAAAGAAACATAAAAACAAACAACAGCAAAGACTTATTATGACGACGATGGTGAACTGATGATGTGCCTCATTAGTAACTATTAGTAACCATCAGTGTAAACAACAATGGGACTTCTGACGTTATGAGTCCCATCAGACCAGATTAGATTCGCAGACGAAGGCAGTTCAGAGTCGAGATCGCTGCCTGTAACAGTTACCTTGAACGACTGCTTCTCGTTGACCGTCTTAAAAGACAAAACACTAGGCGTGACCTTGACGCTGAGCTTAGATCCGTGACCCGCCGCTACCTTTGATATGTATTTAGAGTTTGGTGTACCAACATTGGTGACGGTTCTGTTGAAAGTTACGGTGAAGGAATTGTTAGATCCTGACAATTGAGCCGTCATTGAAGGGTAGTTGAGGTTTCTTGGTAAGATTTCTTTTTCTTCGGAACAAGCGACACTTTCACCGGAGATGATTTTAAGGATATTTGAAGTGTAGTTCAAGCCGCAAAGAAAGGCGATGTGGTCTGCTTTGTCCAGTTCATAGACGAGTCCGGGATTTAAAGCGGCTATTGGGTTGACATGTCCAGCTCCATATGAAAACTCAGTAGATGCAATGCCAGTTCCAGTAGCATTTACCGGCCAAGCTGCAAAGATTAGTTAAGAAACCATAAAAGAACAGAACAGAGTGTCAACAACGGTTACTTGTGGGATAAGAAAGGTTAAAAATGGGATATAGGTTTTCCTTACCGGTTGTCATGATGGCAGATTGAATCATGGAAGGAGACCATTTAGGGTAAAAAGTTTTGACATACGCAGCGACACCTGCAACGTGCGGACAAGACATGGAAGTTCCAGAGAGAACAGAGTACTTCACATGTCTAGTGTCATTTTGAGACGGTTCACCTTCAGGTGAATATGCAGCGAGGATCTCCACTCCCGGTGCTGTTATATCCGGCTGAAATTCATCAAAACCATAGTCTCTCAAAACGGAGAAATAATCAGAGCCAAAATCATATTTGTTTTGTATATTTACCTTGAGAATGTCAGCAACGATGGTGTTTGGACCTCGAGAAGAGAAGGAACCAATAAGAGGAGATGTTCGATTGAAGATTGTTTCAGTTTTTAGAACAGCCGCTTGTGGAGAACTGAGAAAAACAAAGACACAGAGATTTCAGGATAAATAGTATAAAGCGTAGACAAGATGGTTGTTTACTCTGAGGACTCAATTTAAGATAGAAGAGAATCTTGGAGCATAGAGAAGATGGTTGTTTACTCTGAGGACTCAATGTAAGAGACGAGAGATTCAAAGTCTTTTTCTTGTAAACCAGAAGCAGGTAAAGGGTGAACGAAGGCCACGTCTGGCTTAGGGGATTTGTAAATGATTGCAATTGCTCCAACTGATTTAACTATTTTCAAACCACCCGGACTACCACACACTAAGATCTTTCCCTTCACAAGTGATTCTTCTAGACAATCTGGCTGACAAAGCCTGTAAAAAGTAAATAGATCTTATCACATTAGAAATATGAAAGAAACAAAAATATCTAGGTCATCACAATTACTATAGTGTTTCTTGAGGAGGAAGTTACTCTGCGGTTTCTGCGTCGCAAGCAGACGAAGTAGCAGATTTTCCGTACACCAATGGGTACTTCTTTCCTTTCATGTCGAAAGCATTCACTGTTTTCCCCTGTTAAGAACATTCATTGGTAATTAAAAGGGACAAAGATGCTCTGACGACAGAAATGAGAGTGTTACTTGGTACTTACGACAAGTGTCTTGCCGTTTCCGAGAACAACTTTGGTGACAAATCCACGGTTCGTGGTACTGGCTGCGACGGTTAAAAGCCACGGCGCTACAGAGGAGACTGTTCTATCTTTCGGACCGTTGTTACCAGCAGCAACAACAGTGAGAATCCCTTTCATCATAGCGTGGAAAGCACCGATCGCGATGGGATCAGTTTCGAACATGGGAGCCGTTTTATCCCCAATAGAGATGGTGATGAGGTCCACACCATCAGCGATAGCGTCATCGAACGCAGACAAGAGAGCTTGCGAGGAACACCCTTCCTCGGTGCAGACTTTGTAAGCGGCGATTCTAGAAGCCGGAACGCCTCCTCTTACGGTTCCATTGCCGAGTCCAAAGAAGCTTCTGTCCGCGACTGCGTTTCCAGCCGCAGTGGACGCCGTGTGTGTACCATGCCCTTTAGTGTCCCTAGCACCTTCGCTTGTGTAGTCTCTTGCACCAATCAACTTACTGGAAAATAATATAAACAGATTAACATTATTAACAATACTAATCTTTTAAGAAAAAGTTTAGTTTTTAGAGACTGACTTGTTACAGGTGAAGTTTTCGCCACCAGAACAAACACCTTTCCATTTCTTTGGAGGAGGACCAAAGCCTACGTCGGAGAAGCTCTGAGATTCCGGCGTGATCCCACTGTCTATGACTCCGATAATGGTATCACTTTCCACGGTCGGGTTCCTCTTCGTCCCCTTGCCTTCCTTTAAACCCATGAAGTCCCAAGACACAGTCGTTTGGAGTTGTAACTTCTTATTCGGGAACACAGATACAACTCCTTCCATTTCTAAGCAAAACATAAAAAAAAAAAAAAAAAGAAGGTCAAGTTATTTGACCTTAATTTTAAATCATTCCAGTATAAATTTGTCTCAATCGAAGAACACTCACTCGCTATTCGTTCTCGTTCTGATGCAGTGAGTCGAGCAGCAAAACCGTTGAAACTCCTCTTGTAGCTTCTCACCATACGACCCTCGATCGAACTAATATATATATATATATATATATATATATATATATCAGGTTAAATAATTTATAACAGTTATATTTATATTGATTATATATAACTAATCATGATTAGATAATGAATTAATTAAAGAGAAATCACACCTTTCTCCAGTGACCTCTTGAAGAATACTCAAGTGATCAGACATTGGTGTATACTCCGCTCGAGAGGGAAGTGAACCCATGTAGACGATATACATCTTCATCGAGACAATCACCATTTTCATCATGGGTTAGGGTAAAGGACGGTCATATGGAGAAACAAGAGATCGTGATAATAATACCTGTCTATGATCATCTGTGACTGCTGAAACGGAACTCAAAAACAGGACAAGGAGACAGAAGAGGAGGCAAGAGGAAGCTGCTCGTGATTTCGCCATTTTCTTATAAAATATATTAAAGGTTACTGCAACTTTCTTCTAATTTCTATGGAGATTTACATGAAAAGATGATATATAAATGAAAGATCTTACATGCATCTAGTCAAATTAAAAGAATCTAAATTCAATTCCTCTGATTCTATGTCTTTATTGTTTATAAATAAAATCAACTTTTGCCATACTTAATTCCATTGGTATCTGAATCAATTAAATTGTGACATTAAGAGTAGTTCACATTTTTTGGATATGGATTTACCAGCTAATTGAACTCAATTAAAGAGAATTAAAAAAGTTGAACAAAATTCTCTTTGGTTTTCGAATTTCTTTTGTGAAAAAAAAGGTATATTAAACGGAGAAAGATATAGAAAAAAATATTAATGCAACTTTTTTTTCTCGTTTTATCTAAATTACTGAATACGATGTATTATGAGACTGTGCATAATATGTTGGAGTTTATTCATTTAAGGAATGCAGTTTAATTAGCTAACACGGTGAATGAAACGTTACATATCGTCACATGAAAGTTATTTGATTTATTACGTTTTATTTCAGTCAATGAATGAACCTTGTTTCAGGGGTAGGTAATTAATGTAATGAATCTGCCTAAGGTTTTCCGAATTTGACATAGGATGTTATAACAACAATAATAATGGCTCATTATGGCCATGGTAATCATGCCACCGGCTATGGTGATAATGATGGGAAGATACCAGCATAAATAACAATGGGACTTCTCACATTATGAGTCCCATCAGACCAGATTAGATTTGCGGACAAAGGCAGCTTTAGGTCGAGACCGCTACCTGAAACAGTCACCGTGAAAGACTGCTTTTCGTTCACAGACTTCATAGATAGAACACTAGGCGACACCTTGACGTTGAGTTTAGATCCGTGATTCAAGACAACTTTTGAATTGTATGTAGAGTTGGGGCCACCGACGTTAGTGACGGTTCTGTTGAATGTGACGGTGAAGGAGCTATTAGATACCGACAATTTAGCTGAGATTGATGGATAGTTGAGGTTTCTAGGTAAGACTTTTTCAGTGCAAGTGACGGCTTCACCAGAGATGAGTTTCACAGTAGTCGCATTGTAGTTCATGCCGCAGAGGAAGGCAATGTAGTCTGCTTTGGTAATATCATAGACGAGTCCAGGATTAGTAGCAGCTATTGGGTCGACATGGCCAGCTCCGTAAGCAAACTCGGTTGATGCATAGCCAGTTTGAGAAGCATTTATTGACCACGCTGCGAGTTTGATTAAAAACCAAAAGAAGAACAGAGAGCATGAACAAAATAGTTGATGGGTTTCTTGTGGGTCAAGGAAGGTGTTTTCTATTTAAGAGTTAATTTTCTTTACCTGTTGTCATAATGGCAGATTTGATCATGGAAGGGGACCAATTAGGATGAAACGTCTTGACGTAGGCGGCTACACCTGCAGCGTGTGGGCAAGACATTGACGTTCCGGATTCAACAGAGTATTTCACATGTGTTGTGTCATAAAGCGGTGACGCCTTAAGTGAATTTGCAGCCAAAATCTCCAGTCCTGGTGCTGTTATATCCGGCTGCATTTTCATACACCACTTTCTCAGATTGGATAGCAAAAACAGATTAATCTTAGCATAAGTAAGTAATATATATAAATCATGTATACCTTGAGAATATCAGCAACGACGATGTTTGGGCCACGAGAAGAGAAGGAAAGAACTTTTGGAGCTGTCTGATTGAAGATCACCTCACTTTTAAGGACAGTCGCTTCTGGGGAACTAAAGAATCAAACCCACGAAAATGAGAATAAAGAGAAGCATGTACACAACAAAGCGTATGAATATTCAACAGAGAGAAGATGACTTTTTTACTTTGCGGAGTCGATGTAAGATAGGACAGACTCAAAGTCATCTTCTTGTAAGCCAGATGAAGGTATCCCCTCCATTTGGGACCAGTCTGAATCATCTTCAAGAATAGCTGCAACGGCTCCCTTTTTATAGGCTACGTAGGGCAAAGATCTCTTGCACACCAAAATCTTTCCCTTCACCAGGGATGCGTCAATACAATCTGGCGTGCAATCCCTGAAAAGATTTAGAAAGAAACAAATCTCATTATCAGCAATCAGGATTTCAAAAGTACTTCTAGGTCATACGCTTGGTGTTTCTTGTGGAGGAAGTTACTCTGCGCATTTGGCTTGTGAGGCAGATAAAGCAGCAGATTTTCCGTACACCAGAGGGAACTTCTTTCCTTTCAGATCGAAACCGTTCACTGATTTTCCCTGTTAGGACCAAAAAAAAAAGAAGTTTAAAGGACAAGGTTACTATAATGACAGAAATGAGTATGTTACTTGATACGTACGACAAGTGTCTTGCCATCGCCGAGAACCACTTTGGTCACAAACATACGGTTCGTGGTGCTGGCTGCAACCGTTAACATCCACGGTGCTAAGCTCGTGACCGAGGCCACATTGGGACCAGTGTTACCAGCCGCGTTTACAGTGAGGATCCCATTGGACATCGCGTGAAAAGCTCCAATTGCGATCGTGTCTTTCTCGAGCGAGACCACATCAATACTACCTATAGAGATGGTGATGATGTCAACACCGTCGGCAATGGCGTCATCAAACGCAGACAGTATTTTATCATCTCTACACTCTCCAGCGCAGACTCTGTAAGCAGCGATTCTGGAGGCTGGAACGGCACCTCTCACCGTTCCATTGCCGAGGCCAAAGAAGCTGGCGTTCGCGACTGCGTTTCCAGCCGCAATAGACGCCGTGTGTGTACCATGGCCACTAGAGTCCCTAGCGTCTCCGGGTGAGTAGTGTCTTGCCCCAATCAGCTTGCTGTAAAAAGACAAACAAATCAATCTCTGCCCAAAAAGAAAAGGCAATTTTTGATTCAAAGCCTCTGACTCACATAGAGTCTTAGGTCTTACCTAGACTTAACATAGGTCTCGAAGCGTAATTTTTACATTTACGTTCCCATGTGAATACAGAAATTCAGAAAATATAAAATTTCTGAAATATCAAATATCTTTCATGATGTCAGAAAATATGTTTTCCTTTCCTTTGCATATGGCATATTTTACGTCAAACAAATTTTTTTTTTCTCAATATGTTTAAAATTATGATCTCATTGGAAACATGTGCACCAAATATAAAACTTGTAAACGCAAAACAAGGTGGATTATTTGTTTTGATCAACTTCCAAGTTCCAGCATCAACAGAATTTAAAGAGAGAGAGAGAGATAGAGAGAGAGAGAGAGAGAGAGAGAAAAAAAAAATGTATTTACTTATTGCAGGTGAAGTTTTCACCGCCGGCACAAGTGCCCTTCCATTTCTTCGGAGGAGGGCCAAAGCCTTTGTCGGAAAAGCTTTCGGATTCCGGCCAGATTCCACCGTCCAAGACTCCGATAATTGTATCACTCTCCACAGACGGATTTCGCTTTGTCCCTTTTCCCTCCTTTAGCCCCATAAAGTCCCAAGACGCCGTCGTTTGGAGCTTTAATATCTTGCTTGGAAATACAGACACAACTCCCTCCATTCCTAACATATAGCACAAAGGGTTTTAGGCTTGACTGTGTCAATATTTTGGTTCACGTTTACATATGGAAACCAAATTAAAAAAAAAAAAAAAAAAAAAGATAACATATATATTTTTCACATATAAAAGAGTTTCAGTTTTTCATAAAATAGTTTTGCAAGACGCAAATGCAAACACTTGCTTAGTATTATGGCATTTACGTTATAGATCAACATATAAATTTGTTCAGATGGTAAAGGTTATATGGATCATTTAAAAAAGATACACACTAAATGTAAACACAACCCTTAAATAAACAAGGATCGAAGCCTTAGTTATTTTATTTTTTTTAATCAAAACTAAAGAGAAATTGAAGAACAAATCACTTGACTGTGTGACCTTAGATACTATTCGGGTCTCGAAGAACACTCACTGGCTACTCGTTCTCGTTCTGACTCTGTGAGTCGGGCTGCAAACCCGTTGAAACTCCTCTTGTAACTTCTCACCAAACGACCTTCCATTAAACTAGAGTAATTATATATGTCGTTGTTAGAATCCTCATAATTTAAAGGAATAATGATTAGAGAGTGAGATCAAATCACACCTCTCTCCGGCGACCTCCTGAAGAATACTCATGTGATGGGACATTGGTGTGTAGTCCGGTCGAGAAGGAAGCGAACCCATGTAGACAATATACACCTTAATTTAACAATAGTCACCATATATCAGCATAATCATGTATAATGGATGAGCATGTGTAACTAGAAACAAGAGATTTTGATCATTTATACAAAATAACATACCTGTTTATCTTGATGATCATGTGTGGCTACTAAGACTGAACTCAAGAACAGCAAGACGAGGAGACATGAGAGGAGGCTAGAGAAAGCTCCTCGTTTCGCCATCTATAGGAATTGGTTATAGTTGGCTTATAATTCCTATGGGAGTCAAGATGGGATACTTATATAGATGATATCATACATGAATCAAGTCAAGAAAAAATCTAAAATTAAATAAATTCATCTGATTATGTTTCTTAACTTGTTATCATAAAATCTTCTAAGTCTATAAAACAAAGTAATGAGATATAAAAAAAAAATTGAAACTATACAAATATAAATATAAATAGTTTTAAAACTTTAGTTTTATCATTTATGACTCTTTAAATTGAGAAGCCATACAAATTTAATTTCTACAACACGATTTTAAAATTTAGCATCAACTTAAGCCTTTTCAATGTACTTAGTTGAGTTATATTTACCTTACATATGAAACCTTTTCAAGTGTCATTTTGGAAGTATATTTTGTTGTTTCAACATTTAAATTTTAATCATGAACACAAATCATATAGCTTACCCCTAATCAAATTTAATTATGGAAACCAAGGTGTGACATAAGGATTGATGTTTGTGGCATGTGAAGGGTCATTAGGATTGAGAGAGGAGTGGTCCGATAGTTTGGAGCCACGATAGTTTGGAGCCAATGTGGAGGCAGAAGCAACAGCATCGTCTTGGAAAATGTGCCTAGACAACCTTGGTTTTGAGAATGTGATGTTTGAAAGTGATGCAAGTGTTCTGACTCGGGCAGTTCAAGATGAAGCAAGCTGGGCCCTGTCTGCACGTGAGGCATCTGCAAGGGCCAAAATACATTTTCGACCCTCGTTTTTTTGTTTGCAGAAGGCAACGAGCCTTCATGTGTGTTGTTTACTTTGCTAAAACTGCACTTTCGTCTGTAATATCACGCCGGTTTAGATAAGTGTACTCCCGTTTGTCTTTCACCAATCGTTGCGATGTTTAGATAAGTGCACAATTTGTATTCTGACATATCAACGCACGTAACATAATCGATCCTAAACCTAAACACGGTCGAGGCAAACACTTGTTTGCAAACAAAAGAGTAATTTTTCAAGTGGTTTCGGCACCAAACCAATAATTATTAAAACATAAGATATGTTGCCTATTACAAAGCTTGCTAAGCTGTTTGAATATAAGCAACTTAGTAACGCCACAAGAAGTTTGATGTTGCACACAAGAGTCAAAAACTAAAAGCTAAGAAAAGAAGTAAACGACTTTGTTTCCCTGGGAGCTATTCAATGGTTCTTCATGAACACAATGCAGACTTTTTTTTTTATCAAATAAACTTATGAATCAACACAAGTGCTCCAGGGATTTACATATTATGTCTAGACCTAAACGAAACTATACTGTTCAGAATAAGATTCAGCAGCGTTTTCATTTCAACTCTTCAAGTGTGAAGATAGTTAGCAGCCATCATCAGCTCCAGAGTCAGTTCAGGCTCGATTTGGAACTCGGTCTCTTTGCCTCTGTAAAAGAAAGGACAAGTATAATAAGCAGGATTTTCTTTACAAAAAATGTACTTTCCCTAGTACCTCAAGTCTGCAACCACACCAGACACCTAATGATGAAATTTTCCTGAGAATTGAATCGATATGCGAGAGTGTAAAGATCTTGCCATGTTCTCTAGAGGTTGTTTATCCTACGAGAGGCTGCAATGAAATGGAACTATTTCTCTAGAGGTTGTTTATCCTCACCGAACTAACCACTAAGTGAAACTTAAATAGCTACAAATGGTTATTAGATTCTGAGAATTGTTAAACAGACTACGAGATGCTATACAATGCCAAGTTCTAGGGATCGATTAGCGTAAGCGAGACAATAGATAACGGACCTGGAGTATTGAAGAGACCAATAGAAGTATTGGCAGATCTTCTCTAGGATCGTGGTGCTGATATCAGGGAAAGTCACAACGCCATCTTTTGATTCCGAAAAGCCACCTGCAACATAACAACAACAGTTTTTTCTTCCTCAGATCTTTATAAACTGAATGCAATTCTGCAAGATCGTTTCTTTTTCCCCGCCCTAACACTCGTAGTTTATCAAGGATTCACCAGGTGAACTTGAGAATGATCTCATGAAAAAACGAAAGACCCTATGACTTTGGATTTGCTTCCTCGTTAAAATCGTTAAGATTCAATTACGTAATTGAATTTCTGATTGAGCATAATCTCTCTAGAAAAATCGAGAACTGATGAAGATTCATAGCCAATTCAGATGAATTTGATAGAAGATTACATCAAAATCAAGTAAGATCACAAGAACGGAATCGGGATTACGATCACTAACCGCATAAAAGAGAGAAAGGAAATCAGAGAAAAAGAGGAGAAACCTGGAGAAGTGAGCATGCTTCGGATAGTCTGAGAAACCATGGCGGCTTCCCTGTCGATGACGAACTCGAAACCCTCCATGCTTATCAACTTCACCGTCTCTCTCATCTTCCTCGTCTCTCTCTCTCTCTCTCTCTCTCTCTCTCTCTCTCTCTCTCTCTCTCTCTCTCTCTCTCTCTTTCTCTCCCTGCGTCGGCTTTGGCTTCCTCTGTTTTCTCTACCGCGCGTGATGTACTACTACTATCGGCGGAGTTAAGAAGGAGGCCCATTATGATTGTAGTTTTGTTATTGGCCCACTAAAGTTACCCAATTCCTTTTTGCTTCTCTGCAACAAATATTATAAAAATAAAATTAAAATATCAATTAATGTAAATGTTCTGGCTTTAAAAATTAAATCAACCTACTTTGGCTAAAATAAACAAAAATAATTAAACCAACGTAGACTATACGATTTTAATGAAATTAGTTTTTTTATTTTATTTTTTCAACCATAACAAGCTTGCGTGATTTCGTGATTATAACTTCTTGTAGATTAGGATGAATGAAAGAGGTGATATTATATTTTGTCTACTAACTCTAATGCAGGCTCTAATGATGGAATGGTCAATCAACAGAGCATCACCAACACATGACAGAATGTAAAATTTGTAAATTATAGAAAAATCCGGAAAGATAAATCTTTTTCAAAACACTTTGCATACGTATCTTTATAGTAATTTGGCTTATAAAAACCATGTAACATGACAGTCATTCATTACCGTGTGGGATAGTTACTTAAGGCATCTTCTTACTTTTGTCAGCCTTGCTACTGAATCCTAAGCTGCCACCTCAGCCCTTTTTGTCATTTTCTTTAAATACGTCGTCGTTTTATCGTAACCCTACATACGTGGTATATCTTTTGTAAGAAGGGAAGAATTTTGAAAAAAGGAAAACATACGAACCCAAAAACAATTAAACAGTTCCACCGAAATTCCTCAATTGGTTGAAAAAATTTCATAATCGGAGAGTGTTTCCTTCAACAGAAATTTCATCCTTAAGCAGATCTGAATAGGGTGAAATTCGCTTTTCACGATCCATCCGCCTTAATTTTTCACAGGGAAATAAAAAAGGGTATGTTTCATTTTGTTTCTGATTTGCTTGGGCTCGGGTTAATTTCGATTGATCCGTCGACTTTTTCTACGATGATATCGATGTGGGTTTTGTCACTTGTTGATTTATGGGGTTTTTATATGTAGGTTTGTTTTGTTTGTGAGATCGAAAGAGATGGCGCATAGAGTAGAACAGGATTACGATTATCTGTTCAAGATCGTGCTGATCGGCGATTCTGGTGTCGGGAAATCAAACATCTTGTCTAGATTCACGAGGAATGAGTTTTGCTTGGAATCCAAGTCCACCATCGGCGTTGAATTCGCCACAAGAACTCTTCAGGTGATTCCAGTTTCTTCTCTTTTGTCCTGCTTGTTTATTTATGTTTTTAAAGCGGAATCAACACAATGATGAGTCACAGGTTATGGTTGAACCAAGTCTTGTTTCTGGGTGCGCCTGTGGTCTTGCCATGTGTCTATTCAACCTATATTTTCATTTTTCACGTGATCCCTGTGTGGTTTTTGTGTTAGAATCTGCGATTTGTGGTGGTTTTTTAGTCTTCTCTGTCTCTGTTTCCAACTAGTTTTAGCCCTAAACTGTGAGGTCTTTACTTCTTCGTCACTTGTGCCTTTCGGTTTGCTATCAGCTTCATAATCTCATCATTAGGTTGTAGAAATTTAGGTCAAAATTGATGCGGTTGTGATCTAATTTTACTCTGTTTGCCTTTTCGAATCTTTTTCAAGTTGCATCGTTAACATATCCTTCTTGATCAGTCTAAACAAAAATGCTGCGTTTTTGGGTAAGACATAAGTGGTGGTTACTTAAGATTTGTATAGTTTAATGTTTGGGACTACTTGGTGCATTATTCTCTCATTTGTTTGAGGTTTGGTTTTGATTTTTCTTGACTGAGAGAGTTTTATATATCAAGAGAAGAATCTTACATGTGCTGGCCATGAGTCATCATGACAATGGACAAAAAGCTTCCCTCAACTTGTCCCCAAAATAATTATATTCCTTAATAAGTCAACCCTCCATCCCTCACAAAGTCAACCGATATATAGAATATTAGTTTCTAGAAAGAGTTATGATGTAATAGTTTCATACAAAAGCTTGAAACAAGACTGAATTAATAAACTATCTCTCTAAGTGCAGGGATGCTTCATTCTTCTGAGATCTAACGTGTGTCTTTTGTGGTTCCCATTTGGTTTGTAACAGGTCGAAGGAAAGACTGTTAAGGCTCAGATCTGGGACACTGCAGGTCAAGAGCGGTACAGAGCCATCACAAGCGCTTATTACAGAGGCGCAGTTGGTGCACTTCTTGTCTATGACATCACCAAAAGACAGACCTTTGACAATGTCCTGAGGTGGCTACGCGAGCTTAGAGACCATGCCGATTCCAACATTGTGATCATGATGGCCGGGAACAAATCCGATCTAAACCACTTGAGATCAGTCGCTGAGGATGACGGTCAGAATCTAGCTGAGACGGAAGGTCTCTCTTTCTTGGAGACATCCGCTCTTGAAGCCACCAATGTCGAGAAAGCATTTCAAACAGTGTTAACAGAGATTTACCAAATCATAAGCAAAAAAGCTTTGGCTGCTCAAGAAGCAGCTGCTGCTAATTCGGCGATTCCAGGGCAAGGAACAACGATCAACGTTGATGACACATCTGGAGCCGGCAAAAGAGGTTGCTGCTCTACTTGATTTAAACGTTTCGATCTTTTTTCCTCCTCTTTAAAGCTTTTAAGCTTTCGTTTTCTTTTGACTTAATCTTCTTCCCTCTTTTCTTTTCGATTTTTTTTTTTTTTTGGCTGATGAAATACAAGGATGCAAGACAATGTAGAATACTTCTCTTCATTTAGTCTTGTCTAACCATATTCGATTGGCTTGTGTTCAGAAAGAAAAAAAAAACTTACAAAAAAAAAAGAACAGGGGAAGAAAAGCTTGTTTGTATACTTCTCTTCTTTGTGTTTCTCTCTTGAATTGGTATGTTCAGGTTCAGGTTAGTTCTGGTTTACAATTTGTTCATTTTTTTTCCAATTAGAAACGAGTGTTTTGAGTGACATTGTTTAAAATTGTAGTTACCTTACGAATATTTGGGGAGAAAACAATAAGATGGAAGTAGAAAATGACTACACACGATAAAAAAAGGAAGAAGAACGAAGCATAGAGTGGTCTGTATTAATAATTTGATTTAGTTCTTTTTTGGCTACTATCTTTTAAATTATCAAAATTATAATATATTTATAGAAATTTAATTTTTATATAAAAAAATTAAAACATAATATGTAGTTTTACCTAATTTTTTATTATTAAATTATAAATATTATTAAGTAAAATCATAGTAATAACATCTAACAGATTATCCAACTTCGACGTGTATACGTTTGATTTAGAGAATAATTCTCTTACTAATTTTTTGGTGTTTTGTTTTGTGTTCTTAGGATATCTATAGTTCTTCTTTTTAAGGTTTATATGTTCAAATATTTAGTTTTGAATTAAATTTCTCACTCATGTTATGTACTTATGTATATATAATATATGATTCATGCTGATTTGAATTTACTTTTGTTAGGATGCTATAATAATCATGTAAAGATGCTTCTTGCTTTTCTACCAGATCTTCTATGAATTTTAGGTTATATCTCTATTCAGTTTATAAGATCTATTTTATTTGCAATCAACTATTTGATAGTTTTTGTTTTTAAACATGTAAAATGGTGTGGAGTCTTCACATTATCACTGTTTTTACATTTTGTGTGGTTTATTCATGTTTTGATTCGAATAGTTTATCTAGATATATTTCAATTTGAATTTGATTCATAACTTTGTCATACTTTATTATTTAAAGGAAATTTTAGAAGATGTTACTTATGCGCTGTTCATGTTGGCTAAGTTATAAGTAGTAACTATGTATAAATTAATTGTTATATTTCGGATGTAAACTTACTTGTGTAGTATTTTTTTGTTAGTTATTAAACCAAACGCAGCCAAGGTATTAGTCATTGTAAATTTAAATAATATGCTTGCTTTAGAAACTTGTATAACCTACTGTAACTTTATATGATTATTCATATTCAATATGAATTTTTTAGAACTAAATTTTAAACTAATTTTCTTCGTAGATTTTGTTTTTTTTTTGTTATTTTAGATATTTTTATGATAATTTTATATTTTATTTTTATTTATCTTGTTTTGTGCATGTTTGTTATATTTAAAACATATATATTTTTAATTAATCTCTTTGTTATTGATTTTCTAAATAGATAGCATATATCAATTTAATCTCTTTAATATTTGTTTTTTACATTAATTTTATTTTAATTATAATGCTATTTTGACATGCTATAACTGGACATTCTAAATTTTGTGTGGACTTCTCTCAAAATCTTATACCATCATTTGTTTTTTTTTAGTTAATTTATTTATGATAATTTTCCAAAATATTAGTCCAAATATCAAGCTAGGTTTTCTTTATACAACTTTTTCCTTTGCTAATTTACCTCTCTTGATATTTATTTATATTTTATTTTAATATATAATTATTTTAAAAATATTGATATTTTTGAAGACATAAATTCATTTTTTGTTTTTTTGTTAGTTAAATATTTTTATATTGATTTCATAAGTAGTTAGTTTGATATCAAGTCAATTTCTTTTTATGTGATTTTTTTAATTTAGCATTTTTTATAACTTAATTTTCATTTTATTTTTCTTTGTTAATTAATTTCATAATATTGATTTCTTAAATCATTAGCTTAAATATTTAACTTCTTTCTGTTAGTAAAGTTTTTTACTATTGCTTAAGTTTTTGTATTTTCTTACTTATTTTATTTATATTGATTTTGTTAAATAAAAAATAGCATAGATATCAAGTTAATGTCTTTTTTTTGGTTAATTTAACTTTTTGATATGAATTTTTATTTTAATTGTATTGACAGGTTGCAAAAAATAATTTGATATTTTCTAAGAGATAGGTTATCAAAATTTTTAGAAAATAATTTTATTTAACAAAATAATTTTTTTCGAAAAATAATTTCAAATTTGATATTTTCTAAGAGATAGGTTATCAAAATTTGAACATGTCAATATAATATAGTTTACAATATAATAAATCCAAGTTTATAATATTAATATTTTTTTTTCCAATAAATGAACCATTTTAAGTTTATTACTTACATTTGTATTAAATTTTCCTTTTTACTATATTGATGAAGTTGATATATACTGTTTTCGATACTAAAATATTGATAAATAGTTTTTCCTTTCCATTATTAAAAAATATATTACTATTGATATTGTTCTTTATTAATATTATAACTAATTAATTTAATAGATAGATAATTAATTATCAATGCTGATGTGTACCAATAGAATTGAAATTTTAAATCCTATGTGGACATCCTTAGATGCATTTAGCATCAACTTTTATTAGTAATAAAAAATAATTTCATATTTGATATTTTCTAAGAGATAGGTTATCAAAAAAATTTTGAACATGGCAATATAAGGGCCGTGCCTACCCTATGGCAAAAGAGGCATTTGCCTACAGCCCCATTTGGGAAAAAACAATTAGTAGGTTTTAGTTATTTTTCATAAGTAATCCCAAATAAATATGGTAAAAAACTTAAATAAATATTACATTTATCTTTAAACAAAAAACAATTATAGTAAAATAATTAATATAAATAGAAACAAATTAAGAAAGAAAGCGAGTGATGATAGTTTGATGGCGTCTTGTACCAAACTTGAATAATCTTTAACCCATAGAGAGCATTCAGACATTATCAATAATGAGATAAGCTTTACCCAAAAAAGTAAAAAAGTCTATTGAAATGTTAGATTTTTTGAAGAGCAGCAAGACTTTTTATTCTAACTCATGGATCGCTTATCAAGTATTGTTGACGATTCTAGTCTCTGTTGTATCTACTGAAAGAAGTTTTTCAAAGTTAAAATTGATAAAATTATATCTTCTCCCGAGTATATCACAAAAAAAAGATTGAGTGATTTGATGATTTTATCTATCGAAAGAGAGTTGGTTAGAGAAATTGATTTTGAAAGATTGGTTAATGATTTTGTGGGAAAATGGAAGAAGAATTCTGTTTTTAATTATTATCGTGTTTGGTTTTTTATTTATTATATAATAATATTTATTATATTAGACATTTTTAATTAATTTTTATTATTATATATTTTTATTTTTTATAAATTAATGTTTTGTATATTAAAAAAAAATTTGTTATCGCCTACGACATCAAATTACCTTGACACGATTATATAATAAATCCAAGTTTATAATATTGATATTTTCCTTTCCATTAAAAGAACCTTTTTAAGTTTATTACTTACATTTGTATCAAATTTTACTCTTTACTATATTGATGATGTTGATATATACTATTTTCCATATTAACATATTAATAAATAGTTTTTTCTTTCCATTATTAAAAAATATATTACTATTGATATTTTCTTTTATTAATATTATAACTAATTAATTTTAGTAAATAGATAATTAATTATTAATGTTGATGTGTACCAATATAATTGAATCTTTAAATCCTATGTGGACACCCTTAGAGGCATTTAGCATCAACTTTTATTAGTAATAGATTACCTTACGAATATTTGGGGAGAAAACAATAAGATGGAAGTAGAAAATGACTATACACGATAAAAAGGAAGAAGAACGAAGCATAGAGTGGTCTAGAATATAAACCTCTAGAAAATAAAATGATGCATCATAACTAATTGAAGAGATCATCGAAAGTGAACATGTAAGTGTAGACATGAACTCCAAAAGTTATGAAGAAGTTCACTTGGTCATCATGTTCCTATCTTTTCCAAAAAAAAAAAAAAAAATTTACAGTGGAGTGTTTTCTGTTTTAAAAATAATTACAAAACCGCATTATTTTGAGGAATTTTTCCAAAAATATCTAATAATTAATAATTGTAATTACGATCAGGAGAAAACGACACAAGCTATTTCCAACTACTGTATGCTGAATGCTAATAATGAACTAAGGTAGAACGTGCGTCGTATCTAAAGTTCGTTACCATTTATGTGAAGTTAAAAAGCCTAAACACGGACCATACCAACAACTCTCTTCCCCAAACATCTAAATTAGTTACAGTACTATAAAGTTAAACATGTGATGTAATAACGATTTCTATTTTTGCGCCAAACTTTCTCGTCTAATTTTAGCTAAATATGTGTTGAATTATCCAAAGACTGGCTTCTTAGTTCTTATCGTCTTAATTATATGCAAGGCAATGATCTTAAGCGGATAAAAGATTCAGCTAATCCACTCTGCTTCTCTCTTTTTTTCAAATTTAGAATGAATCAATTGTTGATAAACTTCTTCTAAAATTGAAGACATTAACACAATAACATCTTGCATGCCACTTTTAATAGACCGATCCGTTCTGAATGAAGTTGCGTGTCACTTTTTTATAGACCGATCCAACTGTCAAAAAGGTTAGTAGATATAACTGACGAAAGATCAACAATATTATCAGATGACAAAAAAAAAGAAAAAAAAAACGGACGAAAAATCATCTAAAGATTCTAAACGATTTTAAAATTGTTGAAAATTAGTGAGCAAAAATTGTTATTAGCGTCGGTTCATGTTTAAGTCGAATGAGAGATTTTGTTTTTAATACTCATTTGTTTAAAGGTATATGTAAGGTTTCTGGATTTCCTTCATATTTTTTTATCAAATGTATGCACATCTTATTTAATGTATGTTTTAAAATCATTTTTATGAACTACCAATCCGTAGAGCATTTTCCCTTTGTAATCTAGTTTCAAGCTCTAACAAAAAAGGCAAATATAATTTCAAATTGAAATTGGATTTAAAATACATGTATCAAATTACATAAATAAGATTTTAATCATACTCTGAAGCTAAAAATCACTGAAATTTAATTTAAATCACCAATTTTCGGTCAATGTTATGGAACAAAACTATATTTTAACTTAAAAATTCAAAATAATCATATATACATATATGATCATCAAATTTCAAAATAAATCCAAAGTCTTAATATATGAAACTCATGAGATCATTTCACTCAATGTATTCTGAAAAAATAAGAATGAATTGGCAAAGAAAATTTGGTCATTTAAAATCAAACATTGATCATAACAATACATCAACAATCATAAAAGAAAAGACTAGCATGTATATCAAAATAATTACTTAGAGAAAAGAGAATACTACTATTAAAATAATAATAATCATAAGTGATATGCTAATAGTGGGGACCAGCAAATCCATCCAAAATGGAAGAACACGGAGAGATGATGAGTATACATAACATTATGCAGAGAGTTGCATTAGGCTATTATTATTGGACAATTATTTAATTTTTCAAAATTATAAAAATAGGAATGGACAATAAAATAAATAAATAACCAAAGGAAGAGAAACCCACTAACCTTCGATAAACTCACCCATCACAGAAATTCGTTGGAAAAAAATTAAAAAAAAAAAAAAAGTTTGGGGAAACAAAAGGCGAAAACTTTTCGGTCCAAAGATCGAGAGAAAGAGTTTCGAAATAAATTCTTGGTTTTCTGGGCGATCGATTATTGTCCGAAAGATTGAAACTTTTTGTAGACAAAACCGATTAGGTGTTGTTGTTCGATCGTGGGTCTTGTTGAATGGCGCAACAAGGGCAGGGAAGCATGGACCCTGCCGTTCTCGATGACATCATTCGTCGTTTGTTGGATTACAGAAACCCTAAGCCTGGAACGAAGCAGGTGATGCTCAACGAGTCTGAGATCCGACAGCTTTGCATCGTCTCCAGAGAGATTTTCCTTCAACAGCCCAACCTCCTTGAGCTCGAAGCTCCAATCAAGATCTGCGGTAATCAATCTCCTTTCCGATTCCCAAGTTTCCTTTTTGATTCCTGGGTTGTTTCGTTTTGGGGATCTGAAGTATATATCAATCATGATTGTCTTTGTAGCTCTAGCTTTGTTCGCGTTTTTCTTAGATCAGCTCCCAAAAAAATTGGATTTTTGTTGTTTTTCTTGTCTTGAGTAAGTTTTGTGAAACGTGAATTGGTTTAGGCAGAGATGTGTTTGGTCAAGTTAGCTTAAGAGAGATAGAGATGTTTTAATCCATCATCTGATTGCAGCAGCTGATCTCGAAACAAAGAGAAGTTAAAGGACACATAAAGATCATTGGATTGCTCTTAAGTTTGGGTGAGACCTCGTGAAAGGTTACAACAATCAGCTAAACGATCTTAACGTTTTGTATTACAAAGATTAGCTGAATGTCGTAGCGATTTAATGCAACCTTAGGATGGATTTGTTTGCTTGGATGAAATCTATTTTTTGGATGTTCGATCTATGTGTCTCACTTGTGTCTAAAATTCACACGGATTCGTAATGGTTTTGTTCGGTTTTTTTTTTCCAGGTGATATTCATGGACAGTACTCAGATCTGTTGAGGCTGTTTGAATATGGAGGCCTCCCTCCAACAGCTAACTATTTATTCCTAGGAGATTACGTTGACCGCGGGAAGCAGAGCTTGGAGACGATCTGTCTTCTTCTTGCCTACAAAATCAAATACCCAGAGAACTTCTTTCTTCTAAGAGGAAACCACGAGTGTGCTTCGATCAACAGAATCTACGGTTTCTACGATGAATGCAAACGCCGGTTCAGTGTGAGGCTCTGGAAAGTGTTCACAGATTCTTTCAACTGTCTCCCCGTGGCTGCTGTCATAGACGATAAGATATTGTGCATGCACGGCGGTCTTTCTCCGGATTTGACCAATGTAGAACAGATCAAGAACATTAAGCGACCTACCGATGTTCCAGACTCTGGTTTGCTCTGTGACCTGCTTTGGTCTGATCCAAGCAAAGATGTCAAAGGTTGGGGGATGAACGACCGTGGAGTCTCTTACACGTTTGGGCCTGACAAAGTCGCAGAGTTTCTAATAAAGAACGATATGGATCTCATCTGTCGTGCCCACCAGGTTGGTCTATACAATGGTTCTTGTTTCTCCTTTACCCAAAATAAGAAAAAAGGTTGCGGAAGTTCTAATGGATTTTGTTTCTTGACTTCGCAGGTTGTAGAGGATGGATATGAGTTCTTTGCCGATAGACAGCTTGTTACTATATTTTCTGCTCCGAACTACTGTGGTGAATTCGACAATGCTGGTGCGATGATGAGTGTTGATGAAAGTTTAATGTGCTCTTTCCAAATTCTTAAGCCTGCGGATCGGAGGCCCCGGTTCTTATGAAGAAATGAGGTTAGTTCAAAGTACGTTTAAAACTGTTTCACTTCTTGATTCGTTGTTTCAGATTCCCAGGTTCATCTCTTATACTAACTGATGTTCATTTCTTTCCAATTTGCTTAGCTTTTGACACTAGCTCTCATCTTTTGCATGCATAAATTGAAACGATACTGGTTTTCGTCTGTGTGCTAATGTTTTTAAGTTTATGGACATGAGTTCTGAGCTTAGATGTCAGATTCAGTCACTTACAAAAGGATTCTTTTCTTTTAAATTTTGCAGTTGGAACCTCGCGGGAAAGAAGAGGAACATGAAAATGGGAGAGACATTTGAAGCTCCCTGAGTATTTGTCCGGAGGCCTTGCAAAAAGGCCAAAACAACATAAAACCACATTTTACATGTTATATCATCTTATTTTGAACTCTTGCCATTTCTTTTCTTAAAACTTTATGTTCTTATGATCTTCTTCTCTGACTCATATTAGACAGTAAAAAAAAGTCTGCAAATTTTAATTCTTTCATCAACCGAATCCTCAGTGGTAAATACACCACTATATTCTCTCACACATATATACACTCAGGGGATCTTTGCAGTCATGGATTCTACACCATTCAAAGCCTAACTGAAAAAGCAGAAAACTCTGCATAGTAGTGCTTGTAGCTGCAAATTTCTGGACTGTTTGTGAAAATGCAAATACAAGTTAATTGTTTGATTGCCCTAAAACTTAAAACCCACTCTTGAGAAACCCTGGTTTCAAATAGGTTTCTCTAGATCCATTTTTTAAACTGTCAAACTTTGTTGATGAATAGATTTAAGTGCTTCTCTATCACCAAAGTGTCAATACAAATTAATAGCTGAAACATTAAATATACGAACTAATAAAGCAGCTCAAATTAAATTACTTTCCGATCAGGAGCATAATGACTCACTTACAGTAGTGTATACCAAAGCAAGAAATCATGGGAGCATAATGACTCACTTACAGTAGTGTATACCAAAGCAAGAAATCATCGGAACATAATGATTCACTTAAAGTAGTGTATACCAAAGCAAGAAATCATCTGAGCATAAAGCACATGCAAGAAATACAGCAAATCCAGCAGGTATCGAAATGATTTCATCAAGCATAAAGCACACTACTTAGGAATGGACAACAGTATTAACAGATAAATAACAGATATAACTAAAAATCTTCTCAAATTTAGTTGGAGCATTATTAGAGCAAAATAACAAATGATTTAAACTTATGAAACGCTAACACCAAAAATATCAGCGTGTATAAACATATATATTTTTTTTTTTATTGTTGCGTTCTGTCATCTCATCTTGTTGTTATGTATTGGTTTTCTGATATCTATATATTAATACACAATTATACTTTAAAATGTGTGTTTCAGAGATATTTCTTATTTCATTTTTTTACTCTAAATTTCAATAGATAGTAAAGATGTGTCTGTATACATAAGAAACTAGTTGTTTATGTATCTTAAAACCCTACTCTTGAGAAACTCTGGTTTCAAATAGGTTTCTCTAGGTCCATTTTTGAAACTGTCAAACTTTGCTGATGAATGGATTTAAATGCTTCTCTGTCACTAAAGTGTCAATACAAATTAATAGCTTGGTTGACTTAGAAGTTAAAACATTAAACCCTCTGACTATGAGAAAGGTCCATTTTGAAACTGCCAACTTGTGCTGATGAATTGAAAGCTTCTCTGTCACTTATCTTCCTGGATTTAGGGTTTTAAAACCAGCTGTGAGCTTTATAATGCAATGTGGCAATATCACTGCAATGTGTTGTAGTGGAGTCTTGAGTCCTCTGTTCAGTTTAAAACCTCCGTTTGTTTTTGTTCTTTGCAATTCACAACAAGACCACCAAAAAAATGGAGTCTTTAGCAGTTACATTAGCTCTGGTGTTGTTAGTAACACAAGGAAGCATTGTTCGTTTCTCTTTGGCCTCTCCTTCTTCTCCTAACACTTTATGTAAATGGTTTGGCTGCCCTTGGAAGAAGCCTCCGTTTAAATGGCGACCATTTCCCAAATTTCCTTACTCGCCACCTTCACCACCGCCGACCAAAACGTATCCTCCGCCGGTGAAGTATCCACATCCACCGACCATAAAATATCCTCCGCCGGTGAAGTATCCACATCCACCGACCATAACATATCCTCCTCCGGTGAAGTATCCTCATCCGCCGTACAAGACTTATCCTCACCCGCCTTACAAGGCTTTCCCTCCTCCGCCGCACAAGACTTACCCTCATCCGCCGTACAAGACTTACCCTCCTTCACTGGTGGAGTATCCGCCGCCGACTCACAAGACTTACTCTCATCCGCCGCACAAGACTTACGCTCCTCCACCAGTGAAGTATCCACCGCCGCCAACCAAAACGTATCCTCCGCCGATTCTGTATCCATCGCCGCCGAATTATCTACCGCCGTCACGCTACCTAACATCTCCACCTTACGGCGGATATCCTCCGGTTGATCCATAGTTAGTTATTCAGAATTAAAGAAAGACTTTGTTCGTCTCTATAAGTAGTATCTATGTCTCAATTAAAAACTGTTCTGTTCTGTATCAAATAAAGAACAAACTGTTCTGTTTTTTTTTTTTTGTTGAAATGGTTTCATTACAGCAACACAAACATAACAAAATTCATAGTAAATATTCGAATTGGCAATGGAGGGAGTGCATAGTGCAACAACCGCCAGTTTTTTTAGAGTGTTAAAAAAAATTAATTTGTTAGGGAATAATTTCCACCAAAGTAATATATATTCAGCAGGGAAAAAAGGAAAAACAAAAAAGGAAATACTTAATTTCAATCTGGGCCGTTCATCCTATTCAGAATCCGACGGTTAACAGAGATCTCCCTTTGGTCAGGTTTTATTTAACAAGCGCCTAGATTAGTTTTCCGGTCAAACTGATTTTTTCTCAATAAGAAAATTAACTTAGCCTCAGAGTCAGAGCGCGAGAGCGAGAGCGAAAGAGAGAGCGAAAGATGTTCTTCCACATAGTTTTGGAGCGAAACATGCAGTTGCATCCAAGATTCTTTGGTCGAAACCTTCGTGAGAATCTCGTCTCTAAGCTCATGAAGGATGTCGAGGGCACTTGCAGGTTTCTTACCCCTTTTTCTTCACTGCTCCTTTAAATCAACAATTCGGGATGCTTCTCTTTTTTTTGTTGAATGATTTATGAAAGTAGAAATCGAAAACCCTTTTCCTCAATCCTCCATCTTGTTTCTAGGTCTCAGCTTCGGTTTCTTACACAAACCTTCGATTGCAATTGCCGAAAACCCTAGTTCCGTCTCGTTCAATTGGTTGGATTTATTTTTATTTTAATTTGGAGTTAATCGTCTGTTCGAGTATAATCAATTCTTAGAAAAATCGTTTCTTTACTTCAATTGGAGTCTTGTATGCTGCTTGTTTGTTCAAAGTCTGTTCTTTTTTTGTTTATCACCTAGTTGTGTAAACAGAGACATCCTCGGAACTTGTTTAAAGGATTTTTTTTTTTTTTTTTTTTGAGGTCCCAAGTTAGTCTCTTTCTTAGGATTAAGACTCACTTAGATGCCTGCTTTGCAGTCTCACCGACATTCCATCAATTGGATGTAGTATGTTAGTGTAGAACGAAACAATCACTAAGTTTGTGTTTTAGCAACTATAGTTATATTTGAATCTAGCCCTTGCTTCGGATTTAAGATGTGCATTGCAATGTAATACTGATGCTAACTGCAACTCTTTTTTTGCCTTTTTCGTTGTGTTGGTTTGGACAGTGGCCGTCATGGGTTTGTAGTGGCGATAACCGGAATAGAAAGCATAGGGTCAGGATTGATCCGAGATGGGACTGGCTTCGTCACCTTCCCGGTTAAGTACCAATGCGTCGTTTTCAGACCTTTCAAAGGCGAGATTTTGGAAGCTGTTGTCACATTGGTCAATAAGGTATATCATTTATAGATCAATGTGACCGTCTTTAGTGACAAATCAGTCTATATAAAGTTATCGAATTCTCCTTATCTATCACAGATGGGATTCTTCGCCGAAGCTGGCCCTGTTCAGATCTTTGTGTCCAACCATGTAAGCTTATGATCTTACATAACATCATGATTTTGACTTCTGTCTCTTTGTTTTTTTTGGTTCTATGTGTTAATGATATTTACTCTTCTTCTTCTTCTTGCCACAGTTGATTCCAGATGATATGGAGTTTCAGGCTGGAGACATGCCTAACTATACGACATCAGATAGCTCAGTGTGTTTCTTTTCTCTGTTTCTTGTTTTTTTTTCTTTCTCACCAGTGTCATCTTTCTTCAAGAAACCTAATATTCCAATGCTTGCTGCAGGTTAAGATCCAGAAGGAGTGTGAAGTGAGACTAAAGATTATTGGAACAAGAGTGGATGCTACTGAGATCGTACGTATCATCTCTATTACTCTTAACTTCACAATGCAAACTTATTGTGGTTGGGTTTTAATATCTTTTTGTCTTTTGAAATTGCAGTTTTGTGTGGGTACCATCAAAGACGATTTTTTGGGAGTCATAAACGATCCAGCTGCAGCCGCATAGAAGTTTCAGGCTGGTTTCGATTTTGGTCTTGTTTCTCTCTTTACAGAGAATGTCCTGTGATAAAGCTGTATTATTTTATAGTCCCATAAAAGTACAATTAGAACTGAATCGGAGAACAAATGCTTTGTGGGCTTTAAACTAATTCGAGTTTAGTCAACTTTGTTCATGTTAGTAACATTTTTATAAAAGAAATTTTACATCTGTTTGATATTTGAAAAGCAATTCTCTAATAATAAAACAATACGAGGGATATTTTGAACTGAAGAAGGAAAAGAAGTGAATCATAGGCGAATTCTATTCTACATGAGTTTTCTCTGTGACCGCTAGCAAACACTTGAGTTAGAAAAACTAGACCATGACTAAGTTTAGAAGGCTTATATTTTATACATTGATACAAACTTTATGGTGTACACTTGATAGATTCTTGGAAAATACATTTAAAACCAAAAAAAAAAATCATCAATTGCTTCTCCCATCCATTATGACTTTTCCTAATAGGATTTGTTTTTTTGGGTCAAGACCTCTTTGACTGTTGAGGTCATATCATCAACCAGGGAAGATTCTGAAGTCTAATGTATATGACCTCTATATGTGTGAAATATTGACCAAATTGACTAATTAAGTATAATTCCAATTTGAAAGTTTTTGTTTCAAATTTTAATGAACTAAGATGTATATGAATTAGGAAAATATATTTTTTTGTTTTTGTTATTTGACTGGATTTAAACAAACCTCTAAACCTCTAACTTTCATATTGTTCATGACAGTGAAGATATGGTGATTATAAAATCTGTAACACATTCCTCCTCTCAATGACAATCCTCAGTTTGACTCTCTCTTATTTAGAGTTTCACAAAAATGGCTAAGTTTTTTACATCTCTTTTCTTAATCTGTTCATCATTCATGTTCACCAGAGATGTTTTTGCAGATGAGAATAGACAGGCAAGTTCCAAATTTCTGCTCTGTTTTTGTGAGATTCCCATATGAACAAAACACCTTATACTAACTCTCTCCCGCTCTCCATAAAACAGGTGTATATTGTGTATTTGGGAATACTTCCTGAGAATGGATACTCACCTCCATCTCGCCATCACAAAATACTCCAAAAACTTGTTGGCAAGAAGTAAGATTCAACCTCATTTCGTTCTACACTTGTAATAGTTTACATATGTGATTGATGTTACGTAATAAATATCATTATAAAGATCTCTTTGTTTCTGGTTCTTCCTTCAGTTCTGCTACGAGTTTGTTGATTAGAAGCTACGGAAGGAGCTTCGATGGCTTCGCTGCCAATCTAACTCAATCAGAGAGTCAACAACTGGAAGGTGAGTACTTCATAAATCTTAAACTTTGGAAAATTCTTCCGTAATAGCCATAATTAAGCTTTGCTGCGATTCATTATTGTGCAGAGATGGAAGAGGTGGCTTCCGTGTTTTTAAGCAAGACTTATCAACTGACGACAACAAGATCATGGGACTTTGTCGGATTTAGTGAGAGTGCGAAACGAGAACATGTGCAAGAAAGTGATGTTATTGTAGGAGTGTTTGACAGCGGAATCTGGCCGGAATCTGAGAGTTTCGACGACAAGGGTTTTGGTCCGCCTCCGAGTAAATGGAAAGGTTCTTGTAGTGGTGGTCAGAAATTCACTTGCAACAAGTAAATATTATATATTTTAACCTACATGAGCTTTTTATAATGATAATCATATAACTACATGTGTGATTTTTGTTATCTACTAACGTTGGTGTTATCTTTCTTGCGCCATAAGCAAACTCATCGGAGCTAGGTTTTACAGCAAATATTCCGTGTCAGCAAGAGACGACGAAGGCCATGGGACCCACACGGCGTCAACGGCTGTCGGTAACGTGGTTCAAGGGGCCAGTTTTTACGGCCTGGCTCAAGGCACGGCTCGTGGTGGAGCTCCCTCGGCGAGAATTGCCGCCTATAAAGTCTGCGTGAAGGGCTCCGGCTGCAGCGACGTAGATATCCTCGCCGCGTTTGATGATGCCATCGCAGACGGAGTTGACGTCATCTCCATCTCGATCTCAACCTATTCTGTCTCCAGTCTTCTGAGCAATTCTAAAGACATTGGTTCGTTCCACGCAATGTCTAGAGGGATTATCACGGTGGGTTCCGCCGGTAACGATGGTCCCGACCAAGGTACGGTGGCAAATGTATCGCCGTGGATGATAACCGTCGCGGCCAGCGCTACGGACCGACGTTTCGTCGACAGAGTCGTTCTTGGTAACGGAAAAGCTTTAACGGTAAGTTACGTTTCTACGAATTTTCACATGTCACACCATATTATGTTTTAGTAGTGACAAAGTACAAGAGGAGTCGTTAATACACTTTCTTAAACAGGGTTTGTCAGTTAATCCGGTAAATTTCAACGGGACAAAGTTTCCGATCGTTTACGGCCAAAACGTTTCAAGAAATTGTCCCGAGCTCCAAGCCGGGTGAGTAAGAAATTTCTTCTTTATAAGAAATTTCTTCTTTCCACGATCAAATCTGAATCTTGAATCGAAACACATTGATGCTGATAATGATCATTGGTCATTGACAGTTTCTGCAGTAGTGCGTGTGTGGACAGAGACCTGGTCAAAGGGAAGATCGTCCTCTGCGACGACTTCCAAGGAAACAAAGAGGCTTACTTAGCCGGAGCCACTGGAGCCATTGTTCAGAACACAGTGGTTCAAGATGTCGCCTTTGTGCTACCATTTCCTTCCTCCTCTCTAAGCTTGGAGGACTGTGAATCTATCAAATCATACATCAAGTCTGCAGAGTAAGTAATGGTCAGACTGAACCGGAACGGTTTTTTGTTGTTACGGTCTTGATATGTTAAAAAGAGTGAATCTGCAGGAACCCTCAAGCGGAGATACTGAGAACCGAAGAGATAGTTGACAGAGAAGCTCCTTATGTTCCGTCGTTCTCTTCTCGCGGGCCAAGTTACATTATCCAGAACCTCCTAAAGGTAATGGAACCGGAACAAATATCACATTAAGCTAGCGTTTGTTAACACATGAAATGTTGATTTTGCAGCCTGACGTAAGTGCACCTGGTGTAGAGATTTTGTCTGCATTTTCTCCGGTAGCTTCTCCTTCAGGCCACCCTGGGGACAAGAGAAGTGTCAAGTTCAGTGTAATGAGTGGCACATCCATGGCTTGCCCTCATGTAGCAGGTGTAGTGGCTTACGTCAAGTCGTTTCACGCCGACTGGTCTTCCTCGGCAATCAAATCCGCAATTATGACGACCGGTAATGTTCAGAAACCAAATTCTTGCTTCTGATTTTTCTTACTTTTGGAGGATTACAAAAACAGAGTATTGTCATGGAATATTTGCAGCTACGCCCATGAACCTTACGAAGAATCCCGAGCAAGAATTTGCATATGGTTCGGGCCATATAAACCCGACCAAAGCCAGCGACCCGGGACTTGTGTATGAATTAGAGACAGAGGATTACCTCAAAATGCTATGTGCAGAGGGTTTGAAATCAGGGCTGCTCACAAGAATCTCCGGACAGAACGTCAATTGTTCAGATAGAACAGAAGCCAAGGATCTGAATTACCCAACAATGACTTCGTTTGTCTCTGCTCTTGTTCCATTCAATATCACGTTTAGCAGAACCGTTACCAACGTTGGATTCCCAAACTCTACGTACAAGGCGAGTGTGGTTCCTCTTCGACCGGAGATTCAGGTTAGCGTAGAACCGGAACTTCTGAGTTTCGGTTCCCTGAAGGAGAAGAAATCCTTTGTTGTGAACATCTCTGGTAAAGGACTGAAGGATGGAAGTGTTGTAAGCTCGTCTTTGGTTTGGTCTGATGGGAGTCACAGTGTCAGAAGTCCAATCGTAGCTTACTCAATCAAGATTTATGACTAGTTTTCCTCTCTTTTTTTTTTTTTTTTTTTTTATGTTTAATCACCATTCATCAAAAACAGAGAGAAGAAGAGACAAATTTTTTGTGGAACTACGGCATACTTACCTGAGAACAATATGTATCTGTCACTACAAATCATTGATATCCAGCAAACCCACTAATTCATTCTCATTGCATCTAAGAATCCGATTCAGTTCTTGTAATCTCTGATAAATTGCTTCTTTCTCCGGATGTGCTGTATCACTCACATGGAACTCCTGTATCTTGTTGTCCACTTCGATGGTACTGCAACCTGGTTCCTTGTCAATGCCTGATTCTCTCATGCTTCCTCTGATTTCATCAGATTCTTTCCATTTCCCTGATGAAGCATATATATTCGATAACAGAACATACGTCCCAGAATCAGGATTCTCAGATTCGAGGAGTCTCATGGCGATCTTTTCACCGAGATCCATGTTCCCATGGATCTTACAAGCACTCAAAAGAGCTCCCAGTATGATATGATCCGGTTCTATCGGCATGCTTTCTATGAACCTGTACGCTTCCTCTAGTCTCCCGACTCGACCAAGAAGGTCGACAACACATCCGTAATGCTCAATCCGCGGTTCAACGCCGAAAACTCTGTGCATAGAAGTGAAAACCTCAAGCCCTATATCCAACAAACCTCCGTGGCTACAAGCGTTTAAAAGCGCAACCAAAGTCACCTGATTCGGCCTAAATCCTCTGTTCACCATATCCCGAAACTCCTTGATGGCTTCGAAGCTTTCCCCGTGCATCGCTAATCCAGATATCATCGTGTTGTACGAAACCACATCCCTGCCTCGCATCGCCCTGAAAACCCGCTTTGCCTCATCGATATCACCGCACCTTGCGTACATATTGATCAGAGCATTGCCTAGGAAACTACCAAGCTCCATCTTTTCGGTCTCAGCAAACGAATGTACCCATCGCCCGAGCTCCAACGCACCCGAATCTGAGCACGCAGATAATACACAAACAGCTGTGAACTCATTGGGAGTAACTCTCTCCATCTGCATCTCCCTGAAAAGCTCCAACGCTTTGTTCATCTCCCTGTTTCTCACCAACCCATCAATCATCGCAGTCCAACAAACAGTGTCTTTGATCTTGACATCTCGGAACAGCTCTAACGCCTCGTTAATCAAACCGCACTCAGAATAACAGTTTATCATGACTGTTGCCGCAACCTCATCTCTCTCAGGCATTTCGTCGAACACCTTCCTTGCGTCAGCCAATTCCTCAGATTTCCCGTAGATTTCCATCAGTTTTAGCCCCACTGATCTGCTAGACCCGAGCCCTAGTTTCAAAACATGGGCATGAACCTCTCTGCATTCCTCCAACCCACAAGCTTTCAGAAGTGAGGTGATCACGTAGTTATCGGGAAGAACCGAATCGTGAATCATCCGGCGATACAACGCAACTCCGTCGGCGGAACGACCAGAGGACACGAATCCATCGATCATGGCGGTGTATAGATAGACGTTAGGGTTGGTTACGTAACGAAACACGTCGTAGGCGTATTCGATAGAGTCGAGAGTGGAGCAGATACGGATGAGTTCAAAAACAACGAAAGCATCTTGTCCATGGAAGCTCCGAATGATCTTGGCGTGAATCGATGGAACTTGGGCAATGTTCTCGCAGTTTTGTAACAGAGAAATGAATGTTTTCCTCCGTGTTAGCCTGAGAGTGTTTGAATCGAGATCACGCCGGAAAACTGATGGCCCTCCGGTTGCCGCCAGGGAAGAAATCATTTCCCGCTCACAATAGAAGAAGATTCTATCAAACCCGAGCCGTACCGATATTAAAAAAAAAACGGTTTAATTCTTCACCTCACTAAACCGATCTGTATGTTCTTTCAAAATCAATCTGATCCAAGTTTAAGGATCCAAAATACAAAACACCATATAACCAAACCGAACGAGAGAAGAAAAATCAAACGTTAAGGTCAAGGAAAACGAACTGGAACTTTCAAGTTTCAATAAACCTTACTACTCACCAAGTATTAACCAAACCAAAATTCGAAGAAACCAAACAATTTCATTTCACAGTGTACAGAAAGAGTTAATTAATGTGTGTTTAGTTTCTTTCACGGTCCCTTAAGTTCAAGGCGTTTGTTGTATACAATTCTATTCAATATTGAGAAGTGCGCCCTTGATTCACTGTGCCACTGTAACCGATCCATCTTGCTTCAGCTTGATTAAGCTGCTCTCAATGTTTCTAAGCACAGGTTTGTAGCTGTAACAAATCGCAAACGAAAAATCAACAAGACGATAGAATCTCAGAAAGATTGAAGGAAGATCTCATGTGAAACTTACACGCGGACAAGCCCATTGTATGCTTGTGTTGTTTGCTGGAGTTGAGCTGAGAGTTGAAGAACTTGAGCAGATAACGATTCAGCTCTGCTCTGTTCTTTCGCAAGTTCGCCCTGAAAAAAAAGTTAAATGCTTGATTTTTCAATCACACAAGTTTAAAACTATTATAATTCTTAGATCTGCTGAAAGACCAAGACCTTGAGAGACAGAGTCTCGGTTCCATGTGACCCATTTGCCTGAACTTCTGAAGACACTTGTGAAAGAGCACCAGCTTGTTCTGTTCTTAACTTGTCCAAACCTTCACGGAGTTCTACATTTTGCTTTAGACATTCTTTCACCTACACAATTTGCTACAAAATCAACATAACGTCCAAGAAAATGTTTCTCAATCAAAAGTAATCGTCAGGAGCTTTACTTGATTCTCCCACTGCTTTGATATGTTGATTGATTCCTGATAGGAAGCCGAGAGGTTCGAGTTTTCTTCAAAAAGCTTCTCTATTTCAGATGATTGGTTGTCAATCTGAAAATAATGCATGAAATTGATATCCCAAATTAAGCCCCTTGACTATTGTATATATGTACTTTTACTAATTGCGGAAAGCTAAAAGACATTACCTCCATGAGAAGCTTTTGCCTACTACTCTCCAATCTTTCAAGTGCAACAGCCATATCATGCAACTGCTTCTCGAGTATTTCCTTATCTTCCTACATGAAAACCATCAAACCCAAAACTAAGGGATTCCATAAAAGGTTGAAGAAGGCGTATATGCTGGCAAGTGGCAATAATGGGTTAGTATCATTATCTTACCACTGTAAATACTTTTTGAATTGTATCTGCTACTTCTGCATAACAAATACCAGGGAACAGAGTTATTGATACGTATCCAACAATTCACATACAGTAAAACGATTCCCGAATGTCTCAAAAAGCATTTACTTATTAGCTATTGCATCCAAAACACCCGATGATTTTAACAGCTGAATAAGGACTAGTATTAAAACAAAGAGACTTGCATAACATCACATATTACCTGAGGCACCGCTGGATAAAACTGAACTTTTCTGCTCCAGTTCCTGCTTTTCAGACATTAGTGAAGCAACTCGGGTTTGTTCTTCAGCCAAACGCTGCTGTTCTTGATGCCTCAACATTGATTCTTTCTGTGTATGTTAAGAACATTATAATCGTAGAAACAAAGACTCTGAATGGGAACATATTGTCTCTCTCAAACACACTCGAACCTGTAATTCTAATTTTAGGTTGGCCATCTCCTTCTCTAATACTTGGTCTGGGGAAACTCCAACAAATGAATTACCCATTGCTTGCTGTTGTATCGAGTTAAGCTCTGCTCTGAGAGATGCTGCATCTTCCTCAGCCTATCAACAATGGGTAATAGTAAAGTTTAGAAAACAGTAAAAAAAAGGAAACTTAATATCTGGAAGGCATAAGACTGTCTGCATACTCGATATTGTTCCTCCTCTGCCTCTTTAACACGTTTCTTAAGTGTCCTAACTTGAGCCGAAAGATCTTCCTATAAGCAATAGCCAGAGACCAATCAAAATGCAACAAAAGGAGGAGGTTACTTTGACACCATAATAACTAAAACAGGAGTAGTCCCTACTCGTGCAACAACAGCAGCATCTTTCTCCATTGCAATTTCCTTGAGGGCTTTTCTCAGAGATGGCACTGTGTTTTGTTCCTGTCATCCATCCACGAGAGCATAAAATGTCAAGACATCTTGAAATTTTTACCAAATGTGCTGCGGAAAGTTTCAAATTGCATGCCAAGCCTCACAAAATAAAAGTTTAGCTGTTACTTACCAGCACATTCAACCGACTCTCAAGTGATTCGTTCTCGGCTTCCTTTGTTTGAAGCTGAAGCCCATGGACAAAAATCAAACATCATCAATACAGTTTCTTCAAAACAAAAACTTGGGATCTGATTTCATGCAAGTAACAAAAGTTTTTAGCCAAAATACCATTGAGGAAAATGTCTTGTTGCGCTCCTCCATTTGTGCATTTGTCTTCTGCAGCTGCTTGAGCTGAGAATATAACGCGCCAACATCTGTCTGTGGAGAAGTAATTCAGAACAAACCATTTACCAGCAACATCAATCATTTACTCAGCAAATTTGGATGAGCCCATCCTCGAACAATATGCAAAATCAAAATTCAAGCTTTCTCATTATCACGATCATCTCAATGATCCAATTAGATCAACTTCGGTTCAACATTGATATTGATAAGCTCCAGCAAACAAGATGCAGAATTCATATCAGAAATGTTACCTCGGAAAGTAGATTTCCGCTCTCAGATTTTCTGATCCCTGGGAAATCTGCAACGCATTCAAATTGAAACAACTAAGTAATCACCCAATACAAAAACAAAAATTGCAAAGCGAGGGTCAGATATAAGAGATGAAGTTACCGGCGGGATTCGGAATTTCGCTAAGATCTGGCCCTGAAGAAGCTTTGCTAAGCCTTTGAGCGGCTCTCTTTAGACGAATCTCCTCCAACTACAAGATCACAGAAAACAAAGACCGATGTAAAACACCCTCAGGGAAAGAATGAAGACGAAGACGGCGACGACGGAAATCCTTACAGTCCGGCGTCCTAAGGACGCATGGTGCGAGTCCATGGTAAGATTCCAACAACGTCCGCACCAAATGATCTACTCCCGCTTCTCCTTTCCTCGGGAATTCGAACGTCGATTTAAGTTAACGGTGAAGGAGACGCCGGCGACAAAATGGAATTGGTCCCAATTTGGGCCTTCACGAGAGGAGTTTGGCCCATGGATTTATAAAATCTCTGAGAGCTCTTTCTTCCAAAAAATTCCATTCAATAAAAATTACAAACATAAATGATAAAATAAAGGGACCCAAAAAATTATGCAAAAAACATAATCCAATAAATTTGCTTATGTTATTTACATTTTCTTAGAATCAAAGTATCAGTTAATTAAAGAAAATTATGTTAGATAAGAGAATGACTTTTAGTTATTTTGTTAAATATAAAATTAATGATAGTTTTATACTGGACAACAAAGTTAATTGACATTCCACATAATTGTTGTCAATTAAATAATTAACTAGATGTTGGACATGCGTGCCCGCGCAGGTATATGATTTTTGAAGTAAATTTTATAAATGTTTAAATTATATAGTATAAGGAGATTTATTATATATTATGTTATAAGATAGTTTGTTTTATGGTACATATGTATCATGATTTGTTTTCGAGAGAATGAATAGTCCGTTTTACATATGTGTATATAAAAGCTAATTGTCTTTTTTCTTGCTAAGAGAAAAGTTAATTGTCTTGTTGATGGATTAGCTAACTCTCCTTTTTCCCTTCCTCTAGGTGTCCAGTTCTTAGATTCGGTTTCACCTACTTTAGTTTCAATTTTCAGTTACGATAAGTCTCCCCCACCCCCCTCCTACCAAAAAAGACTATAGTTATATTAATAATAAATTATTTATTTATGTGTTATGAGGATTAAAATTAAACTTTGTAAATACAAAAATATAAATTTGAAAATAAGATAATATAAGTTACGTGCAACTAAATCAATATAGTAGACACACAAGTTGTTATTGTAAAATATGATAATATGTTATTGGTTTTACATGAAATTTATGTTTTTAATATTGTATTTAGTTTTTTTTCTTCTCCTTCTCCCTTCCTATTCTTTCTTTTTCATTTCTATTATCTGATTCTTTTTCAACAGAAAGAGAAAAAAGAATTGTTGGGGTCGGTCTCCGCTTATTGTTGTGTTTCAAACCCAACTTTTATATTTAAAGATATAATATATTACTGATTTTATATATAACTTGTGTTCTTATGTTGTAGTCGATTTTTTACAGGTTTGAATATCTAGTTGTAATTTTGTTAACCACACTATTATTTTTATTTAAAAATATTTATCTCGAATCATCGGTTTGGTATATCTTGTTGGTTTGGTCTACCTATTTGGTTCAATGGACATAAATTGTTTAATCCGTCTTTATCGATCCAACTCGTTGTTTCTGCTCGGCGGTTCGCTAGTTCGGCTTGGTGGTTTGCCAGCTCAGCTTGTCAGTCTGGCTTATTACCTCTTCGATTTGGCTAGGCTAATTTCCATTACTAACCTTTTCTTTGTTGATTTCTTCATAGTGGAGACCGACCCTAACAATTCTTTCTTCTCTTTCTGTTTCTCCTGCTTCTTCTTCTTAATCACTTCTTCTTCATCTTTTCTTCTTCTCTCCCTTCATTTATTTTTTTTCTTCTCTTTCTCCTTTTTATCCTTTATTTTTCTTTTTTTTCCTTTCTTTTTCTCCGCTTTTCTCTTTCTTCCTTTTTTTAGATTACCATAAAGTTCTGGGCCGAAGCCTACAATCTCCGCAGGCCCGAAACCACATCATGTAATATTAGTTTAATACCAAAAGTCACTCGATCATGTAATCTCTAAGCTTTGCCTAGATCATTTACCAGTCGAGCTAACGACTTTTGGTTATTCCTTCATCTTCTCCTCCATCCCTTCTTCTTCTTCTTTTTCATCTTTTCTTCTCATTCTTCTCTTTCGTTGTTCTTCCTCTCTCTCCTTCTTTTTCTTCTTCTATATATCCATATTCTTCTTCATCCATTCTTCTCCTTATTATCCTCCGTCTTCTTCTTCTCTTCCTCCTTCATGTCTTCTTCTTCTTCATCCATTCTTTTTCTTCTCCGTTCTTCTTTTCCGTTTTTTCATCTTCTCTATTGGTCTTATTCGTCATCACTTCTCCTTCTTCTTATTCATTTTTCTTTTTTTTCATCCCTTCTTATTGTCCTTTCTTTTCCTTCTTCTTTTTTATCACTTATTCTCCTTCTTCTCGTGTTCTTCTCTTTTTTTTTTCTCTTTTCTTCTTCTTTTACATCTACTCTTCTTCTCATCCATCACTTCTCTTTATTCTCCTCCTTCTTCTTCTCCTTCTTATTTGTTCTTCTTCTTCTTTGTCAAACAAAAAATGACAAATTAAAAATAACAACTATATACATAATAAACAAACTGAAACAAAATATTTAACATATAAAAAATTAATTTCGACTAAAAAATATTGATGTTTGCAAAAATATTTTTTTTTGAAAATCTAAATAGAGAAAACAATTAGCTAAAATAAATTAGAGAAAATGAGATAATGTGAGTTACTGTTTTAATTTCCCTTATAGTTTATTGAAATAATATAATAAATAGTTTTATTTTGTTAATTGTAAATTATGAAAATCTTTTATTAATTTACTAACTTATTATTAATATGTTTTTACATCTACAATAAATATTTATCAATATTTTTTGTAATATTTTTAAAAATATGCTAGAATACATATTTTTTTAGAATATGCTTTAAATTTATGCATTTACTGTTTCTTAATTCAAAAATATTTTGATTTTCTTTGAAAAGCTAGCTCCATAATTTTAGTAATCGAATATTAATAAAATATTACAAAATTGATTCATTAGATATTTTATGGAACTAAATATAATTTAAATAAAATTATATGGTTACTATCTTTTACTGTTAATTAACCATGGTTTTTTTTTAAATTTGAGATTAATCTAATCAAAATTTAATTTAATATTAGATTGCACTAAACATATAACAAATAATATATAATTAGTCATAAAAATTAGGTTCTAGTTTATTTTCCTACAAACATATGTGTTTGGTTATATTATTGCATAATAATAATAATAATATGATTTTTTGTAATAATTCTTTGCAATGTGTTTTATATTATGTAAATGTATAATTTAATTATATATATTTATATTAATTATAATTGTTATTTTCTTATATTGTTACATAATAATAAATATTTGAAAAATATTATTTTTTATTTTACGTAAAATGTTTTAAATTGTATAAATATTTACAATTTAATCTCATATTTATAGTAATTATAATTGTCATTTTTATATAAAGTTAGTTGTAATTAATTTTATGATTAATTAAAAAATTTGAAATAAATATTTATGGGAAATTCAAAATTAATTAAATGTGTTTGGTAATTGGAGTTAAACTAATCTAAAAAATATTTAAAAATTAATGTGTTTGGTAATATGAATATAAGAATTAAATAAATAAATAAATGAATAATAGTTGGTTGAATTAACAAATGACTAAACTACCATTAATGAAATTCTAAGAAAAATGTTAAAATGCAATGGCATTTCATGTAATATAACACATGAAATATGTTTAAACATTAAAGTGATCCTTAATTAATGTATGGATATATTTCTAAAGAAATCATTGGACAAATTTGACTCAATCAAACATCCAGAGACGTCAACTTTAGTTGCAAGAACCTTTTTCGCAATTTTTCTTTTATGTATATTAAACTATAAAATCCAAAGTTGGGTAGGTAATATGGTTTTAATTTTATAAATTGAGGGTTGAAAAAAAAAAATTGAGGGTTTCATTTCGAAAAGTAATTGGATTTAATCTGCATAAATGTTATGGTTCACGTAGCTTAGCTTTGGACTAATGCGACAATTTCATAAGCTTGCAAAAAATTTGCACAGCTTTAACACAAAACTTTTTACATACATACTTGTAACTTTTACAAATATCTTGGAAACAGTATGAAGCACACTACTTCATAAAAAGGAATCGTCAATGGAATTAACCTCAGAGAAAGTCTATTGCAAACATAAGTGGTGGCTGCAATGCCCAATAAAGCAACCTAGACATCATCTTACGTATTGTAATGTCTAGGTCACCATGATCATGTATGGTCTGCAAAACTATATATGTAACATCATCGAATGCCACAGACCGCACACGATACTGACTCCCCTGATATTACATTACAGATATTAGTAACTAATAGCTTTTCTCGGAAAAAGCTGATCTCAAATATAAGGATTAACACAAGCTACTCCCCTCTCAGCAACACAACTTCAAGTTCAGGCTGCTCACCTCGCTGAAGTCTAGTAGCTGTTTTTCTTAGCCGAGTAGTCGTACCTATAAATTTTGGGAGATTGAAGTTGTCATACTGAAACCACCAAACCTGTTCTCCAATCTAGAATTTTCTGGGTTTCTCTAGAATCAATTAGTGAACTAACAACATCGGTTTTCTCTTCTTGATAACCATCACAAGGTCTTGATTTTGACTTTTGAATCTTTTTGCGCTCCATGTTGCCTTTGGAAGCTGTAAAGAAAGCAGAAAAAGAAAGCAAACAAAGATTGTATATCAAGCATCAATATTATAATTAGTCGCAATTAGCAGTCATCCCTACAATCTTTTCTTTGTCATATGGAGTGCGACAAGCTGGACAACGTCCTTCTGTTTGATCTTTCTCTGCCATGTTCATTATGTGAAGCCAGCAGCAAACACATATCTGAATCACATACGCAAAATTATTAACATATCAAAAAATAATTGGTCAGCAAAAGTTGTGTACTGGTTTCTGTGAGTCATTGCTTATCCATATAATATATTTTTGTGCTTTACAAGATAACCCGCAGCAGAGACTTTTGGCTAAACCAATAAAACGAAATCTTCAACTAAGTGGTTATGCTGATTATAGCTACTAAACATGGCACTAAGCAATACGGTTCCGACTACAATTGTGAGGTTTTAAGACGAAGCGGTCACATGTAAATTAAAATTAACGTAAAATGAAGGCAATCATAATCCACGAGTACTGTTCTTAGGTATACGGTGGTTATCTACTGACGTTGGTGTTATCTTGCTTGCGCCATAAGCAAACTCATCGGAGCTAGGTTTTACAACAAAGAATCCGTGTCAGCAAGAGACAACGAATGCCACATCCTCTGCTAAAAAAAATTGAATCACCACGCATCTCGTTCTCCTAAGCTATGAATCTCTTTTGTCAAAAATCTGATCACAATAGCTATTGTTCTCTTTGGTCGCGTAATCATCATCCCCACTTTATTGATTTTAGGAATCCTATTGATCTTGTGTCCACGTGTTGTAGATCTGAATTCGGGACTTATCCTTTTTTTTTACAATCCTTGATATACTAGATCACGGGGAGTTATTACTTACATGCTAAAGATGAATCATGAGTTGTCCTTCTATCATGGCTAGCTTAGAGATGCTAAAAATTAAGACGATATATTATATAGCTCACAATCTTTTCAGAGTCCCTTTAGATATTTGAGTGGACACTTGTTGAAAATTTGCCATGCTAGCCATGTTTGTGTTGAGAATGTGACTGATGACTGATCCGAACTATATTCAGAAATTGTTTTTTTTCAAAACTAGACGAATAAAAAACCAACGTTCTACGTTACTACAGAGATCGTTGATGTATCGTCGTTTTGGTTCCCACAGTACACGTACTTAAAAGTTGAAACAAAACTCAAGCATCAGTCTACAGAGTAGGATTCTTCTGACACATCACATCATGAGCGTGTGTTAAGCACACGCGTTTCTATCGTTGTATTGTATTGGCCACATTATTGATCACAATTCATGAAGCCATATACTTATACATAATGAAAAGCTGTTATAAAAGGTAAAGAAGAGAATGTTTGTTATATTAATCAAAACAAACAACTATTTGTAATATTCTAATTCAGAGTGTTTTCATTCACAATATATATGCACACTGTAACATCTAATAAGTTTGAAAGTTTTCTTTAGAACATTAGTTTTAACATTTCGAATAATTGCATAATGGTACTAACAACACAAACCATAAAACTAATTTCTTTTGTCGCACTCGGTAACACAGTAATGATACTTACACAAACGTTGATTTAGTCAACTGATTCGATATCAGTTTTAGAATTTCGATATGATAGGTTTTACCATTTAGTGAAGAAACGACGGTAAAAAGAGGTTCACGGCTTTTTACCATTACATTACCGGTGAAAATCTCTGAAGATCTAAACCGCTTGCACAGTGACATTCCAAAAAGTCAAGCTAAAATTAAAACCCTTCGCCTTGCACCGAAGAGCAAAAAAAGTTAAAAGAAAACCCAAAAGTCGATGAAGACTCGGGACAAAAAAAAACAAAGAGAGAGAGAGAGAGAAGAAACAACTACGTGTCTCTTCGAAGATCAACCACCACAACACTTACGTTGTCAGAGCTTTGTCTAGCCAATGCAAGCCTCGTCAGCAAAATCGACGCTTCCTCACACCCTTTATCCGATATCTCTCCTCCTCCGATCACCACAGTTCCAGCGCCGGCAAGATCCCTTTCCGGTGAAGGTGATAGTCCACTTTTGACTTTTCCTCCCAAACACATTCGAACGACATTACATGCAGTCTCGTTTGAGACAACGTCCCAAAGACCGTCGCTTGCTAGTATAAGGAAATCGTCTTCGTTGACCCGGTCCGTTACGGTTACTTCCGGTTTGCTGATAACGTACGGCTTCAAATAATTATCGCCTGGAAAAGAAAAGAAAAACTAAATTCCGCGGCGAAACGAGTTTTAATTATCGAAAGTACGGAAGCTTGTGTACAGACATTAGGACAGAGACAGAGTGTTTCGTCAAGTGTAATCAATTTCACTGACCAATGGCTCGTGACATTGCAAGTACTCCAAGGACACGTGGGCCATCCCAGTAGATAACCCGACCGCCCGCTGCTTGAATCCGGTCTAGCTCGTCCGGACGATCCGGCTTATAAAACAAGAGAGAGAAAAGAGTCATAAACAAACCTAAAAGGCATTGAAAACAGTGACACGACGGATTAAAGAACGTTGAACTCAGAAACTTTATCAGATCTTTCCATCTTAAAAGTGATTTACATTCTTTATCCACCGTCCAGATGTTGCATGTCTATTGATTTTTTTTTCAAAAAATAAGATAACATTTAAAGGTTGCATTAAACAACGAGAAATAATTGGCTCAATTTTTTTTTTTTTTAAACTTAATTGGCTAAGTTTTAGAGGCGACACACGTAACGAAATTCTCGTTTCCATTTACAGTGAACCATAACCGTAGATCTAAGATAAAGATCTGACAGTGACAAGAACAATTAGAGAAGAGAGATTAACGATAAAAACCTTATGATCGGAAGACAAAGGAATGGGTTTCCCGTTACGGCAGAGAACGGCACGGGAATCGCCGCAGTTTGCCACGATGATTTTCTCCGGCGTGAGGACGGATACAACCGCGGTGGACCCCACGGCGTCACAATCCGGCCTCTGAAGCTCGCACCGGCAATTCGCCGCCCCACCGGCATTCAACGCCACGGCCTCCAGGTCCATACGCGTGAAGCTACGCGCCATTGACTTTTCCCAGTCAGCGTCAGCCTCAAACTCCTCCCGCACTAGCTCGTGTAGCCTTTCTCTACATCTCATCGCCACCTAAACAGATTTTAAACATAAACAAAAACAAAATGACAACGACGTTGTAACGGCTTAACTTTTTTATAAATAAAAACGGCGTCGTACATGGGAGCAGCCATGGCCATCGTAAACGGCACAGTAGTGAAATCCGGAGGAGTATTCCGTTTGTTGACGGAAAAGAAACGGATGTACAGCGACGGCGTCTTCCATTTCCCGTCTTCTTCCGCAGACTGAAGCGACGCCGTATTTAGGATAAGCCTCCGAATCAGGCAATGCCATCACCGTAGAACTCAGCGACTCGCATAAAACGACAACCTCCTTCGCCGTTTCAGACTTCGCCAACTCATAGAAGACGGATGAGGCTGATTCTCGTCTCCTCCTCTTCTGTACGTCGCCTTCGGCGAATACGGCGTCTTGTTCGCCGGAGACAAACTTGAACCGTCGGATCTCCATTCTCCGCCTCCTCGCGGCTTGAGAAGAGCTCCGTTCACGCCTCTTAGTCGTCACCGTCGTCTTCTTAACCACCGTGGACGTCGTTTTCGCCATCACTGACTCGCTCTCGTAACAAATCTCAGCCATGCGATCGTTCGGATTTTTTCAGCATTCAAACTCCATTACTCTCCCCCCTTGAAAAAAGCTAGAGAACTAGTAACAGAGAGACACAGGAGAAGAGAAGGAGAGAAGCTTAAACAAGGTTGCCCATGGAAGCCTCTTATAATGGAGAAGATATAAATATAAATTCCTCTTTATTTACGGGCAGCTGCCCGAGACTTTAACGGGCATATCAAAAACTCAAATGAAGAAGGAAGAAGAGAGCTTGTTGAATGGCGTGACGCATCGCTCCTCTATCTGGAAGAAGAAATCTTGACCGTTGATTTCAACCACGTGTACACGTACTTTTGCGATATGAAAGACTTACGTGCGCCAATCAGATTCTAACACCACTCAGGCCTACAGTGAATAGAACCTTTGATGACACGCATGCTATCTCTACATCTCTTTTTTGAAGATTTTTACCAAAATTTTCTATGGAAAAATTCTATACCAATTCCATTTGTTTTACTATAAACTACAACTTAATAATTTTATTTGGATTTGGGAATCAACAAATAATTCAATAAAATAGGTGGAAATAACTATTTTCTAATGCGCTGAAACTCTTTTAGCCGCCTGGTGAGCGTGACGATACGGTACATTACCATCGTTTGTAAAACATAGTGTGTTTAAGAACAAATAAATCATGGTAGAAACAATTGACCATGTGCGAAAAAATATGAGAAAAGGAAGTAATAATTATTAGAATATGTCATTGGTGTGATTGGTATATGAACTCAATAGTAGAATAACAAAATAGATAGAATAATAAATTAGCCAAAGTTATCATAAGAAAAAGCTTAACTTAAAACGTTTGAAATTGAAAATTCTTTGTAAAAAAAAACTATTTGTTTAAAATTATGATAAATGGATAAAGTTGTGTCTACACTAATTATAAATTTAAAACATATAAAATAAATTATTAATTTTTTATCCTTTTTATCATATATTTATTAAGGTATATATTTAGCAAAATCCACGATTTTAAAATATATAAAATGAATATAATTTAAACATATTAGCGCCTAAATAAATTTAAAAAACAATTTTAAAAAGTTATTTTTTGTTAAAGCAAATTTTTATTAAGAAATGATAGTTATAAAACCATTCTAATTTATTATTGCGGTATTTGTGATATTTAATTTGTTTTATTTATTTGTTTTATACTATTTTTTTCTGCATTTGTTTTATTGGCATCATCCATTTTTTCTTTTTTAATTACGCTGCAAATATTATGAACTGTAAAATGATAACATTAAATATGATATTAATTAATATTTTAAATATTACTAAGATTTTTTACCTATTTTTATAAATGACATGATGATAATGAATTCAAATGCTTAGTCATGGTTTTATAAACGTGTAATATTTGTCAGACATCAGTAGACTAATGTTATAAATGAAAACATGACCCTATCCAATGTTTCACATATCATAACTTTCTTAGTTGGAACAATTATTGTGAATTCAAATAAAACTAGATAAATTTGCACTATGTGGGGAACCAATTGATTGGTAGTTAAATTAGCAAATATTATGTTTACTATATAATAAATTACTCATGATGAAATAACATAATTTTACTGTATAATTAAAATCACAATATTATGTTTAATACATTGTGATTATTAAAATGCTTATTTATTTTTTATTTTTTTGTCAACAGTTTTAATTTTCTAACGTGTTTAATTAACCAAAAATTAAATTTATATAGTTTAAATGGTAAAAGTATTTTCGAATACTTTGTGTTATTTTATTGGCTTTTATGTTTTGCATATGTGAAATCTAAGTTATATATAAAAAAAATTACTTTCTGCTGATCTAATATTTTTCCATATATAATAAAAATACTGGCCATTTCATTGGATTAGAATGCTTAATTAATTTGATAGTTTGTTTATTTTTAATTTTGCAATATTTTGACTATTATATTTTGCAATGTTTTCATAGCAAAAGCTAAAATCAATTTTGTTTTTTTTTTAGTTTGAATGTTATAATTTTATATTAAGAACTGTTAAAAGAAATTAAAAAATGTGAAAAATGTAAAGTGTTACATGATTTATTAACAACATATATACGTATAGTGGTTCAAAATTCCAAACGAACAATATCATATTTACGATAGAGTAATACTTTGGTGTTTTTAAATTAAAAAGAAAACGAATAACCAAAACCCTATGCATTAATTTAGTCTTCAGATTATAGTTCTGTAAGAATAATCGCTATAAGCTAACACAATAAACTAACGAAAATCTATTGATAACTTTTTGAAAAATAGAACGATATTTTTTAACCAAATAATTTACAACAAATTTTTTGCTCATTCCACTACTTCAGACACTAATTAACAACAAATTTTGAGATAAATGAGCAAATATAGAATTTAATCATTTAAAATTCAAAATCAATCAACAAATGGTGTCCAATGAGATTCAAGTACGTAGATGGGTTTTGCTCCTATTGGACATCTGGGGACCACTTTCCTTTTAACATTTAACAACGTTGACCTCTCTCTCTCGCATATCTGACCTGTTTTCTTCCTCACAACTTGACACGTGTTTAGATCTTCGACTTATGTCTTGACCCCAAAAAAATTTGGTCAAGATTCATTCACTAGATGAACATAATTTTACATATTTTATATTTTTGACGCACTCTTATTATTTAATTATTTTTTTTCGTGAAATGCTAATTCGTATTTTATTGAGTTTAAGGTATTCTTTTTTTTCTTAATTTATAGTCCAATTGGACGACCAAACAAAAAAATTGTTTTTCCAAAATAACTGATTGAATCGTTGAACATTTATTAATATAATAAAACAATTAAAAAACAATTAACCTCATCTTTTGCTGAACATTCTCTACGCGTGGCGGCAAACGATAGGATGACGTGTGAGTTGATGTATAAGATAGCATCCGATGATTTTTATGGGTCCTACTCCTTCATTTACAAAACAATTATAAAAAGCTGAGATATTTAAACAGAAATACGAGGCGCGTGTGTTACAGATGCCACGTGTCCGCTAAAGCTGGATAGCAGTTGCCAGGTATTTGAAGTTGACAGTAGGCAAATACATTGCGCCACGTGAAAGGGTCTTTTTTGCTCCATCAGTTTTAATTTAATTACTATAGTGAAGTGAAGCAAAAAGAAACAAATATTTTATTTTTATAGTACTTTGTATTTAGAAACCATTTTTCCTTACATTCGTCGAGTTCTAATATCAACCATCACTTTCAAATCTTATAAAATACCAACTTTTTTTTTATTATTATCAATTTTAACAAACAAACACGGAAAATTCGTTAAAAAAATCTCAAGTTTCCTACTTCAGTTGACTATTATTCAAAATTTAAAGTTTATTGTTTTATTGTTTTGTGGGAATAGTACCAATATAATGATGAGTTGGTAAACTATATATCATCGATAGTAATAGGAGAAAGAGTAACTGAAACATGGCTAGTTACTTTAGTAGGTGGTTGGAGACCTTTCGGTAAGGAGACAAAATGGTTTTAGCAAGCTAGTTTGATTAATTATCCCATCTTTGTTTTGTAACTTTAAAATGAAAGCTTACCCATTTCTCGTTGGAATTTCCACATCAAATATTATTGTACTTTAGTAAAATACAAAAGACTTTTCTTTATATATATAATGATCGATGCCCGATCTGATAAATGTTCAGTTTGATGCTGGTTAACTATATTTATAACATATGTCTAATGGATTTGCTTTTTAATATATGTAGGCGCCACATCCCATATATTAAGTTCTTAAGCTTGTATGCTAGAAAATAAAAATAAAAAATAAAAACTATTGATTTAAGAAGTTAATATCCAATGTGGCATGTGAATTCTTAATTATCAATGTGTATTCATAAATCATACAGTAACTGTTTATTTTCTAAAACTGAAAGCTCTCTCTACTTGCAGATGGCGTGTGCAGATAACAACAAAAGTTATTAGGTAAATTATAGTATTGCATTTATATGTAGTTAGCGAATGTTTGATAAGATAATAACAGAAAGTATTAAGTAAACTATATCACAACTTGTGTATATCGTAGTTGAAATTTCATAATCTTTCTCCTTTAACATAAAAACCACAATTATATGATATAATCGTGTGATTATTATGCATGTGGATCCCTTATTAATTGAGGTCCGTATCTTCTGTAAGATTTCATATTAGGGTTACGAAACAGGATAAATCTATTATTTGTTCAAATTCACGTTCTACAAGCGCAAGTTGAATATTCAAAATTCAAAATGAGATCCACTACATTCACATAGAAATACACTATATGTATAAACGCTTAAATATTCAATTTCAAACACATTATATTTTTGAAAGAAAGGTTTGGCAATAACGAGGAACTAACGACGTGTCACATGTCCGTAACTCATAAATTAGGTTTTGGTCTAAAGTCTAGTTTTGTGGCCTAAGGAGACGCGTGTTGAACGCAAATCCCACGTTGCGGTTTAAGGTCGTTGGGTTCTTCTTTTACGCAGTTACCGAAGGAGAAGCTTCAATAATTACGTGGCAGATTTTAAGTCCAACACGTGTATCCATGGGGCAGATTTTTTCCCCTGAATCTGCATGGCCGGCAGGTTGCGTAGTGTTGGGAATTTTTATGTTACGTAGTTGCCAGTTGTCGATTTGGCACCAACTTTTTACGTTTTTACTTTTAACTCTTTTGGAAAAGTATCAAGCGCCTAAAGACTAATTTTAATTTCCCGAATTAAAGAACTAACCGTGGTTCATAGTTTTAGTTTTGGCTCTTACAATATTTTTAGTCATTTCTACTTTTGTTGTTGTTGATGAAAGAACACATTTCCATATTCTAATTCACATTACAGAGCTTAAATTAGGATTATGGCATAAGGGTAACACTTAGTAGATACTTTTCTGTGAAACGTCATGAATTTTTTTTTTTTTGATATCTGAAATATATTATATATACATCCAGAAGTTAATATTACATATACGTTTAAATTTGAGTTCTTATGTTATTATACATTTAACAAGAAATCTGTGCACCGGTTTGTCTTAACCGATACGAATTAACTTGAGCAAGCATTAGAAAAACAAAGAACGACCGAACAAAGTCGTTGAGTATTTCTCCTAACCTCGTACATTTTTAAAATAGTATGGTGAAAACAATTTCAGAATCAGGCAATATAAAATATAGCATGTGAAATTTGACCGTTGTGTTTTGGTGCGGTTGCTCATCTGAATATACGGCAATATATTAATAAAATTTAGGTCCATTACTTTAAATCTTTAATCAAAGATATGAAGTGTCCTTAATCAATGTTTGAAGATGCTATCTTTCCAGATCACCACGTGTTTATCAAACCCGACATTTTGCAAAACTATTTAAAAACCAACTATAATTTGAATTGACGCGCGACTATCCGGGGAAATAAAGAAAAGAAGAGTAGTTAAAGGGACATAAAACCAAACACATAAAATTCAATTCTCCACGAAAAAGCTTACTCGCTCATGCTTTCCGTCACGACACAAATGACACTTGTCGATCGAATAGTATAAATAAATCAATTGAATCTAATTCATAGTCAGTTATCAAAGAATGATTACGGTTATCAAATACTCCATAATCAAAAATTTATATGCTAAAGAGCACAAAATATATGGAAAAACAAAAACTTCGTATCGTGATGAGAGTTATGGAACGTATAACAATTGTTATGGATTTTTAAATAAAAGTTAAGGTACAAGTTACATATATGTAATATGTTATATATATAAAAAATGTAGACTATGCGAGTCTGTGTCATGTTTGTAATGTACTTATAAATGGCTTGTTGGCCGATTTTAGTAAACACATAAACTTTAGTATTTTGTATTGTTGGAACTCTCCCTAAAGTCTCTTTCACAAAATAGCAAAAACAGTTACTATAACCAAAAAAACATTTTATCCAAAGACAAAGGACTGTGCATGTGAATCCATTATCCATCTCGTAGTGTAAACCATAATATGTGATTTCCCAACTATTTATAAAAAGGATTTTTTTTTTGTTGATTCTATTAGTTATAAAAGGATCTTATTATATGATGAATGGGTTCTCAATTTTCTTTTTTACAATTTACATCTTAAAAAAGTGGATTCGTTGATGGCTTTTTCTTACATATACTAAAGCTAACGAAGATTTTGGCGTTTTTAAAAAACTGGTGGACGAATACTGTCCTAATTATTGACAACCATAAATTCTCGAAAAACTCATATGTTAGAGAAAGACCATTACCAACTTTGTAATCCTCAGTTTCAGAAAAGTTTTGGACCAAATCCTAATACGAAAAATTTATTGATAATAAAGTATGATATTGATGTTTTGGCTTCAAGTTAATGGTTGCAAGTATACTTAACTCGTAATTAAGTAGGCAAATGCTAACCCATCAGCTACCCTAGCAAATTTAGTATTATAAAAAATACTTGTTTAAAATAAATAAATGGCAAATATTATGTTTGGCTGCCGTTTCAATTTGGAAATTAATTATTTTATGAAGAAAAAGTTTTGATACTAACTCTGTGTAATATAATCAAAGGAAAACAATATTTGAAATAAAAACTTTAAACTTTGTTATTTTAGAAAATTGTCATTGATGTAGGTAATAAAACGAAAATTTTAAAACATTAAGTTAACCAAAAACGCTCGTCTCTTTTCAAGTATTCATCGGCCGCCTATTCATCTTCTACCCTATTCTCCCAATTGTTTGCATCTTGTGTAATTAAATGTGAAAAATCAAATACTGATCAGGAAATCCTTGGCTAGTTCCGGGCTTTGGGTTTTGTATGGGTCATCGGTTTTGAGGGGCTTCTTCCGGTTCAAGAATACACCGAGTTTTACCTAAAATCCGAACCGGATATGTCACCGAGTAATCCTTAAGATTAAACGCTAACATTAGGCATTTAGGCTTAACATTAAAGTCATTAACCGACTTTAACCCTTATTTTCCTTTTTTTTTTTCTTCTTCTTGTTGAATACCGACTTTGACCTTAATCCCACGTCTATATAAAGGATCCCAAAACCTATTTGTACTCCGAATTTTTTCAATCCTTTAGCTTTTCCCCTCCCTCTTCCTCTTCCTCTTCCTCTTCCTCCATAGTTTTCTAATCGGAAGGATCAGCTTCGTCAATATCGGAATGGACGCGAGCAAGACTAGCAACTCCTACACCTGTATCAGCGACGATGTTATCAGCAAAATTCGAAACGCTCTCGTTTACACTGGAGATCTCGAGGAGAGTGTTCTTAGCGAGCTTCAAGCGGTTAGTGAAAACCCCATTGATTTCCCCTTTTACTTTTTAGGTCATTGATCGATTCGCCACTTCGATCTGGATTTCACTTTCCTCGAATTCGTTTTTTTTGTTTATCCATCAATCTCTATACATTTAATTTCGTCTCGATTTTTTTCGTTGAGTGAGTTCGGGGTTTAGGAGGGATTTAGGGGATTTCCAAACTATTGTCTATGTAGAATTTGGAAAACGAAGATGATTCAAAGCAGTAGCATAGTTGTTTCGATTAGGGTTTAAGTGATTCAGGGGATTTCGAAACTGATTAAAAAACTATTGTATATAGACTTGGAGAAGGAAGATGATACAAGCCGGAGTCGTAAACGGAACGATAGAGAGATCTCTTGCTTCGATTCCCACACATGTGAGAGTTTTTTTTGTTTTCCTTTCAATTTTACAAAAAACTAATTTCACAAAAATAATCAGTCAGAATCTTTCTATGGTTCTGAAATCACAGACGCCTCTTCAGCCTCAGGATCAAAATCCTCCACTAGCTGGATTTGCTGAAAGTGGAACTGACTTTCCAAGATCGGATCCTTACATGGTGAGAGTTCTTGGTTCGGAAGGTCTGAGTCAGAGATGAATATGACTAATAATGTTGAGAACGTTTTCAGGGACTTGAGATGTCCGTTAAGAGTGAGTGTGACGGATTCTATATCCCTCAGAATGATGGAGCTAGCGGTGGAGATTTCGTCGCTTCTAATGGTAAGTTGAGGAGAATGGTAACCGTTTTCTCTTGAAATCTTTTCTGGTTTTCTCACTTGTGTGTGAGGGATGATGGTGATGATGTTAGATGTGGATGATGAGATCTTGAACGAGGACGACGATGATGAGGAAGATGGCATCGATGATGATGAGGACATTCCGCATTTGGTCATGTGTCAGTTTAATGATGTGAAGAAGCGTAAGAACAAGTGGGAATGCAAACTCAAAGCTGGAGTTATGCAAATAAACGACAAGAATATTCTGTTCTCAGAGGTTTGGAACCAACTTCTATACAATGGAGAACATCTTTTCCAACAAACACTTATACTCACACTTTCTCTATATTTTGTTTCTGCAGGCCAAAGGAGATTTCGTCTTCTAGACGATGCAGCAACAAAGAGAATGAGAATATCTTTGTGTGAACTCTCTTTCTCTCTAAGTAGACTTTTTACAAAATGCAAACTCTTAATGTACAGAACGTATTTTGGCTTTGTTCCAATAACTCTTTGCAAGGGAGTCACTAAATGGATTTTTGCAAAATTTGACTATTAATGAAGATTTATATGTCAAAAACGCTAAAAACTCAACAAAGATACAATACAACTAAAGTATCTGAATCCAAAATTTGGTTCTTATGCAGCACCAGCACTCTTGCTCTTCTTCTTTTGAAGCTTCTTCATGTAGAACTCGAGCTCTTTTCCTTCTAATATGTACCTGTTTCCAAATTTCACCAAAAAGAAAGATCAGTTGAGAAAACAACTGATTAAGATGTGATGATGATTTCAATCCAAAAAGTCTTGTTTTTGTTTACCCATCAGCACGGCCACATTGTCCAGGTCTTGATGAGATACACGCAAGCAACCTTCCACTGCTAAACTGTTCTTCAAGGTGCGAGTCAAGTGACCGGTCTTGTTGACGCGTCTCCAGCTTCCTTTGAACATGATTGCTTTTCTTCAATTCTTCAGCGTTTACCGCCTCTGCTTCCTGAGATTATTATAAACACCAATCAAATCCATAATATGAAAACACAACAGTAACAAAACCAAGTGATCATCATCACCAAGGACGACCAAAACCTCTCCTTCTTTCTTGGTTGCAGCAAGAGCCTTCTTCTTGCGACCAACATCGACTCCATAGTGCTGGAGATACCATTGCTTGAACGGAGCAGCATCAACTTGAACGATGGCACTCTTCACAAGAGTCTGTGTACGGACGAGCTCGTTGTTAGAAGCATTGTAAGCAACATCCTAAATCCTGGTCTTGCGGGTCACAGCTTCGCTTCCCCATTAGAAGTTTCCTGTGTCCAGCCTCAAAGCTCGCGACTTGACGTTCCCACCACGCACACGGATCATCCTGAACGTCTTGTTACTCGATAGCTTAGTGTTTGCTGGTTGCCTTCCAAGCTCATACCTTTAACACACAGCCAAATTAAGCTTATGTGATTCAATTTTGCTTCAATCAGAAGTTATCAAGAAGGATTGTTCTCCAAGGAACTTAGACACAACATTTCGCTGCAATAATGTTTGAGAGCTAACAGAAATCAAAGAACCTCTGATTCAGTGGGAAAGGAACAAAATTGAAACAGGGGAAGATCAAAGCTTACATTCTCTTCTTCCTCCAGTTCTTTTGTTTACCACCAGTGGCACGTCTCTTGTGCATTGAATCACGAGAGATACCTGCAAACGCATAATCAACATTTCGTTCAATTTCACCTCCATGGAAATAAGAAAAAAAATTCGACATTGTTGCTAAAAGATTATAATCTCGCTAGAAATCGAACGAGAAAGCATTGGAAGTTCGAAAATTTACCCATTGTCAACGATTATTAGGCTCACGTCTCTGTTTCACGAGTTTCAGAGGTTTAAGAATGGCGGAGAAAGACAAAAGAGATACTATAATAAATATGAAAGAAAACCCTACTGTATGAAAATTACAAATTTGTCCTTACTCTGTATCAGGAAAGACACAAATTACAACCACACAATAAAAAAATTTGATTATTTCTTTAAACTTAAAAAAAACTTGTAGAATCAGATTCACGAGGATGAGAGATAAGCGACCAAAATTAGCGGGAGAATCCTCAGTTGTCTCACTCCGATCATGGCTTTCGCTGTCTCGGTTCAGTCACATTTCGCCATCAAACCTTTACAACGAAACCAGTTCAAGAACTCTAGTCCTCGTACCTTCTCCAGCTCGTGCTTTAAATCCAGGCCTCACTCATCTTACCTCCGTTCCAAGGAACTTACTTTACTGGTTCCCAATCCGGGATTAGTCCCTAGACACAGACAAAAATTCCAGGTGAGGAAAATCAAATTTATGGGTTTTGATTGCTTCTGATTTTTGAATGCTTTGTTTGATTTTCCGGTTTTGGATCATTGGTAGGTCAGAATTGGGGCGGGAGGAGAGTTCGCCGACGGTGGAGAAGTAGCCGATTCGCTTGCTTCCGATGCACCTGAGTCATTCTCTTGGTCTTCTGTGATTCTACCGTGCGTATTGATTCGTCTTCCTGTTTCAATTTCAGGAAAACTATAGATTTTTTATCAATTCCTGAGTTTATAGGAGAGATTCAACAAATGTGTGTTATTTAGATAGATTGACATTTACATTGAACTGATTTTTAACAGTGGTTCTGCTCGAATCTTAGGTTTGTATTCCCGGCTTTGGGAGGGCTATTGTTCGGGTATGATATTGGGGCAACCTCTGGTGCTACTCTCTCACTTCAGGTTTACTTAAAGTTCTCTACTTTTATCTGTTAGTCTACTAAGCTCCAAAAGCCTAACATCAATCATTTGGTGTTGTTGTAACAGTCACCTGCGCTCAGCGGAACTACATGGTTTAACTTCTCACCTGTTCAGCTAGGACTTGTGGTATGCTATCTAGAGATGAATTTTCCATATTTTAAGCCATAGAATTTGCCGAAAATGATTGGTCTTTTACCGCGTCTCATTGTGTAGGTTAGTGGATCCTTATATGGAGCTCTTCTTGGTTCAACTCTTGTCTATGGGATTGCTGATTTCCTTGGTGAGTATTAGTTTTGTTTGTTGATTTCTCCTTCTTCTTAACTGGTTGAAAGTATCTCTCATTCTGGTTTTTCTTCCCTTTTTTGGTATGAAGGAAGAAGGAGGGAACTTATTATAGCTGCTGTTCTCTATCTCCTCGGGTCTCTGACTACTGGATTTGCCCCCGATCTTAATGTTCTCTTAGTTGGAAGGCTTCTCTATGGCTTGGGTATTGGTTTGGTGAGCTTGTGGAAAGCATGAATATTTATCATTTCTTAGTCACTTTCGTTGTTGGTTGTAACTGGTTTTGCTTTGATATAGGCAATGCATGGAGCTCCCCTCTATATTGCTGAGACATGCCCATCTCAAATCCGTGGAACTCTAATATCTCTCAAGGAACTCTTCATTGTATTGGGAATTCTGGTAAAATGTCAGATCTCTTCCCTGTATGATCTGTTCATGTATTCATTTCACTGAGTAGCCTTTGATTTTCCTTCTCTCGCAGTTGGGTTTCTCTGTTGGAAGCTTCCAGATTGATGTAGTTGGAGGGTGGCGATACATGTATGGATTCGGCGCGCCTGTTGCTTTGCTGATGGGACTAGGCATGTGGAGTCTCCCTGCATCTCCTCGCTGGTTGCTTCTTAGAGCCGTCCAAGGCAAAGGCGCTTTACAAGAGTACAAAGAGAAGGCCATGCTTGCCCTCAGCAAGTTACGTGGCAGACCTCCGGGTGATAAAATGTCGGAGAAGTTAATAGATGACGCCTTGTTATCCGTGAAAACGGCTTATGAAGATGAGAAATCAGGTGGAAACTTCTTGGAAGTATTCCAAGGGCCTAATTTGAAAGCTTTGACAATTGGTGGAGGTTTAGTCCTTTTCCAGCAGGTGAGTTCTTCTTTTGTCCTTGTCGTTGTCCTTTTGTGTGAATGTGAGATTACCTTTTCTTTAGTCTTAAATTTTTGCACTCTTGCATCATCGTGACAGATAACTGGACAACCAAGTGTTCTTTACTATGCGGGTTCGATCCTTCAGGTATGCTTAGCTTTAAAGCCTAGTGATTTTTAGTGCCTTGGTTGGATATTTCATGAGACTTATTGCTCACCCATGTTTTCAAAGACTGCTGGATTCTCTGCTGCTGCTGATGCAACTCGAGTCTCTGTTATCATTGGTGTTTTTAAGGTGCTCATTTTCTCTCTTTTGCTGTGTATATCTGTTATATGTTAACATACTTTAAGCTATTCACTACGTGCCTCTTCAATTGATAACGCTGTTGCAGTTGCTGATGACATGGGTGGCTGTTGCGAAAGTTGATGATCTCGGCAGACGACCCTTACTCATTGGAGGCGTCAGTGGCATTGTATGAGTTACTCTTTGTGCCTAGAGTTTCTGGCAATTTCATACTGATGTACTCTGGTTTATTTTACTGATTTTTTCTTTTGCATCTGCCAAATTTCAGGCGTTGTCTTTATTTCTACTGTCAGCATACTACAAGTTTCTCGGAGGCTTTCCCCTTGTCGCTGTTGGTGCATTGCTTCTCTATGTTGGTTGCTACCAGGTTTGTACTCTAGCTCTCTGGTAGCTGTGGTTACATAGTTTTGTCTAGATTGTTTCACATAAAACAAATTGAATTTGGGAAAACTGGAAACTTAGACTATACTAAAGTCTCAGCTTACTTCACTTAACAAGTCTTATTTTCCTCAACTGACTGTTCTTTGTTGGGAACCAGATATCATTCGGACCAATCAGCTGGCTAATGGTGTCGGAGATTTTCCCGCTTCGCACAAGAGGGAGAGGGATCAGTCTTGCAGTTCTTACAAACTTTGGCTCCAATGCTCTTGTTACCTTTGCGTTTTCACCTTTAAAGGTATCTTTCTTTTGCTCCCACTGGGTGAAATTCCCTTGAAGTTGTTTAGTAACTCGCGTGAAAACATGCATTCTCTGCAGGAATATCTTGGAGCAGAGAATCTTTTCCTTCTCTTTGGAGCCATAGCACTGGTATCACTGTTGTTTGTAGTACTAGTAGTTCCAGAGACCAAGGGTCTTAGTTTGGAAGAAATTGAATCAAAAATCTTGAAGTGAGATGTTGAAAAAACCATGTTTGCTTTTGTTAAACGTTTATGGTTTTAGCTATATACTCTTTGTAACATAACTATGTGTTTATACTATATGAGAATAAAAGCCTTTGTCGTGCTCGTTTGAGGAGTAAGTTGGATAACTTCGGTTTTGGATGGAATGTCGGAAAGTAAGCATCAAGGTTTTACCAAGCTTTAAGTCTGTTTTCTCCTCTCTCTGTTCTTCGTGACTCCATTTATGGTTTATCTTCTTTGATTCAAGAAACGTGATAAAAGATCTGTCTGCTCAGATCAATGTACCTGAACCTCCACGAGCTGGACCAAGCAACAGCACAAGGGATAGCATACCTTCTGCTCTTCGACCTAAGTAAGTAAACTACCACTTAAAAAGACACAACATTGTAGCATAAAAGGAGTAGCTATACTGGGGAACTATAAATCTCAGTATGCTTCCACAGTTTGCAAACAACACATCATAGTACAATCATTTACATCAAAAGGAACATCATTGTAGCAAAAAGAAGAAAACTTTCAAATACAATCCTTTTTTTTTTGGGCAAAACACTTTCAAATACAATCATTCACTTAAAAGACACAACATTGTAGCAAGAGAAAGAAGCTTGCTTGTAAGTTTAGCAGCCTGTGACTCAGGCTTTAACGACCGCCAAATAGGATTGTTACATCTTCAAACGAGAAATTAGCTGATGAGGAGGTTGCTGTCATTTGTGTTACCTTTTCATTGCTTATATTAGGCATACCAAATCCAGCTGTATCAAATGATATGCTTGGAACGGGGACATTCCCTTCCAGATACTGTACTATATTTCTCATGCTTGGTCTGTTTTCAGGGTTGCTCTGTGAACAGAGCATGCCTAGACTCAAAAGCAGCTTGGCCTCCTCAGCTTTAAACTCTCCTTCTAGTTTACTGTCAACAGTATCCATTAAAGTACCTCTGCTTCCACAAGTAGCAACCCACTTAAGTAAAATCATCTGCTCAAGTGGTCTCTCAGGGTCTACTGGCCTCCTCCCACAGACCACTTCTAGAATGAAAGCTCCAAAAGCATAGACATCGGTCCAAGTAGTGGTCACTCCCATTGCAGTAAGCTCTGGTGCCATGTACCCAATGGTTCCTACCACACGCGTGGCTTCTAGATTCTCTCCACGATCATGGAACCTTGCAAGCCCAAAATCTCCTAACCTTCCATTTAAGCCGGCATCTAAAAGGATGTTACTAGCTTTGATATCTCTGTGTAACACAACTTGTTCCCACTCTTCATGGAGATAGAGAAGAGCAGATGCAACTCCCTTGATTATATTCAGTCTTTGAGACCAAGTAAGATCTTTCTGATTGTTTTTGTTGAACAAGTAGTCATCAAGGCTTCCATTAGGCATGTACTCGTAGACCAAAAGCAATTCGCCTTTCCTCCTGCAGTAACCAAGTAGCTGAACCAGGTTCTTGTGCCTTAGCCTTCCCATACTAGCTATCTCTGCGACATACTGTTTCATTCCTTGTTCTGCATCATGGTAGACTCTCTTGACCGCAATTTCCGTACCAGAGGGAAGTATTCCTTTGTAAACTTTTCCAAAACCACCTGCTCCAAGTAGCTGATTCTCCCTGAAACCTTTGGTTGCTTTGTATAGGTTCTTGAAGGAGTACCTTTGGGGACTGTATTCCTTTTCCCATTGTTCAAGAACCTCTGCATACTTCTTTTTCTTGTAAAGATAGGCAATTGCTCCCAGTATTATTAGAAAACAAACTGTTCCTATAGTAATGCCAAGAACACTTTTAAGTCGATTTGTGCGTTTAGGAGGAGAGGGCGTTGGTGGTGGCGGTGGTGGAGACGTAGGTGGTGGTGGATCCAAAATCTGTGACAAGTCAAGGCTTTCTGCTACTCCGCCTTTCTTGAAACTCCATCCAAGGATGTATTGGTCACTTCTGACTGTGCCTGTGGAACCAGAGAAACCTACATACATCGTCTCGTTGAAAATTTCTGAAACATTGATGGATCTTGATAAGAGAGGCACACTCGGTTTGATGGTACTTGATAAGAGAGGTGAAAGTGGCTTCGGAGTTGGTACTGGAGCTAACGTTACAGTTAGTAGTTGCTCTGTGCCATTATAATCTATCCAGATCAGAATACTTTTTCTACTAGCAAGCATCAGGGTTATGTTCTTCTTCTCTTTATCATCAAAGTAAGTAGCATTGGCATAATCGACCGAGACTATACTGTTAATATCAATCCCCACATGGTTATTGCTTCTGTCAGATGGTTCAGGGCTGCGATTTGTGTCAAGCTCTATAGCCAGGATATGGTTATCAGTTCTGTTATTATTTGTTGAGTTGAAAATCCCTAAACCTGAAGTTTCAGTGTCGCCGTACCTGAGGTCTGTGGTAGGAGCTAGCAGAAAAGCCATACCTTGACCGTAGGAAGGAGGAGCTTGCAGTGGAAAGATTACAAAGACAAACTCTGTTGAAAATGAAAATGAACTGGGAGACGAGCCTGCTGTGAACTTCATGGGACTTTTGTGGAAAGCATGACCTGTGCTCGTTTCTGTATTATTTGTAAGATGCAATGGACCGTCGTTGGTATTTGCCATTCCATCAAGATGCAGGCCTGCTTTCCTGAAGTCATAGTGCACAAACTGAACCCGGTCTTGAGCTAACACCAAAGACATTACATGGACACTAATTATCATCCAGAAACTCGATGATCCTAGCAGTACTCCAGCCATCTGGAACATCAGTGATCTTCTCTCCCACCTTAGCTTGTGAATCTCGGATTCTTCTGCAATTTATTTTCCATTAGAAAAATTTGTGTTATATAACTGCAGAAAACTCAGAGTTGACCTTTTATATTGAAGACACTATCAAAAGAAAAGATAAGAAAAGTCTATTCCTTTTGGAATTAGTAAATCACTGCCTATGTCATCATTTATTTTGGTAGTCTTATCTTCAGGACATGTTATGGGTACATTGCTCTATTCTTTTTATTGTTCTGCATATTTGGTTGTTGCTTTCTAGCTGATGGATTATACACGAGACAAAAGGTTTGAGCTGCGATGTCATTTGTATTGACCTGAATGAGTTTTAACCATGTATGTGACAAGCATTGTTAAATGAGGGTTTTAACTTGTCAAGGTCATATTATGTTTTCAGTTTTGGATATTCTTTGTGAATCTTGGTTAGCCTTCATACGTGCACATATCCATTATTCTCAACAGCAGGATAGTGTTTTAAATAAGTTATTACAAAACATTTTCTAGATCAAGAAACACCACTTGCATATAGTTTAACTTCGTTGACTTCCTCAACAGTGATGGCACTGTTTTTCAATTATGTATATATAGTAATTCTGAATCAGCTTGCTTCTCTTTCTTCTTTGTTTTAAGCTGAACAAGTCTTCCGCAGATGACAATAGAATTCCTCTGACCATGTTTATTATTGTTAACTCCAGTGAGATAAAACGTTTATTGTTTTTGCTAATATACTCTTTGTAACATAACTAAGTTTTATACTCTATGGGAATAAAAGGAAATATATATGCATCATGTCTGCTTCCACAGTTTGCAAACCAGAACAAGACATCACAATGCAATCATTTATATCAAAAGGAAAAACGTTGTAACACAGAAAAAAACCTTTCAGATACAATCATATTCACTTAAAAGAGGCAACATTGTAGCAAGAAAAAAATAGCTTTCTTGTAAATTTAGCAGCCTGTGACTCAGGCTTCAACGACCGCCATATAGAATTGTAACATCTTCAAACGAGAAATTAGCTGATGAGGAGGTTGCTGTCATTTGTGTTACCTTTTCGTTGCTTATATTAGGCATACCAAATCCAGCTGTATCAAATGATATGCTTGGAACGGGGACATTCCCTTCCAGGTACTGTACTATATGTCTCATGCTTGGTCTGTTTTCAGGGTTACTCTGTGAACAGAGCATGCCTAGAGTCAAAATCAGCTTGGCCTCATCAGCTTTAAAGTATCCTTCTAGTTTACTGTCAACAGTATCTATTAAAGTACCTCTGCTTCCACAAGTGGTAACCCACTTGAGTAAAATCATCTGCTCAAGTGGTCTCTCAGGGTCTACTGGCCTCCTCCCACAGACCACTTCTAGAATGAAAGCTCCAAAAGCATAGACATCGGTCCAAGTAGTGGTCACTCCCATTGCAGTAAGCTCTGGTGCCATGTAGCCAATGGTTCCTACCACACGCGTGGCTTCTAGATTCTCTCCACGATCATGGAACCTTGCAAGCCCAAAATCACCTAACCTTCCATTTAGGCCGGCATCTAAAAGGATGTTACTAGCTTTGATATCTCTGTGTAGCACAACTTGTTCCCATTCTTCGTGGAGATACAGAAGAGCTGATGCAACTCCCTTGATTACATTCAATCTTTGAGACCAGGTGAGGTCTTTCTGATTGTTTTTGTTGAACAAGTAGTCATCGAGGCTTCCATTAGCCATGTACTCGTAGACCAAAAGCAACTCGCCTTTCCTCCTGCAGTAACCAAGGAGCTGAACCAAGTTCTTGTGCCTTAGCCGTCCCATACTAGCGATCTCCGCGACGTACTGTTTCATTCCTTGTTCTGCGTCATGGTAGACTCTCTTGACTGCGATTTCTGTACCAGAGGGAAGTATTCCTTTATAAACTTTTCCAAAACCTCCTGCTCCAAGTAGCTGATTCTCCCTGAAACCTTTGGTTGCTTTGTAGAGGTTCTTAAAGGAGTACCTCTGGGGACTATATTCCTTTTCCCATTGTTCAAGAACCTCTGCATACTTCTTTTTCTTGTAAAGATACGCCATTGCTCCCAGTATTACTAGAAAACAAACTATTCCTATTGTAATGACTAGAATTATAGTAACTTTAGACCCCGACTTTGATTTAGGGGGATCCGAAATCTGTGACAAGTCAAGGCTATCTGCTTTTCCACCTTTCTTGAAACTCCACCCAAGGATATATTGGTTACTTCTGGTTGAGCCTGTGGACCCAGAGAAACCTACGTACATCGTCTCGTTGAAAATTTCTGAAAGATTGATGGATCTTGATAAGAGAGGCACACTCGGTTTGATGGAGCTTGAGAGGAGAGGTGAACCTGGCTTTGGAGTTGGTACTGGAGCTAACGTTACATCTAGTAGTTGCTCTGTGCCATTATAATCTATCCAGATGATGATATTTTTTCCACTAGCAAGCAGCAGGGTTATGTTCTTCTTCTCTTTACCATTAAAGTAACTAGCATCGGCAGAATCGACCGAGATTTTACTGTTGATATCAATCCCCACATGGTTATCGTTTTTGTCAAGTGCTTCAGGGCTTTGACTAGTGTCAATCTCTACAGCCAGGATATGGTTTTCAGTTTTGTTATTATTTTCTGTACTGAAAATCCCTAAACCTGAAGTTGCAGTGGCGTTACTTGTATTATTGGTGTCTATCTTAGGAGCTACCACAAAAGCCATACCTTGACCGTAGGAAGGGGGACGTTGCACTGGAAAGATGGCAAAGACAAATTCTGTTGAAGAGTATTTACTATGTCTGTGGTAACATGAAGAAAAACAATCTGCAATTTTTACTTTAAAGTAGTTGACTTTGATATATATGATCATTGTGGTTACATGAGTTTTTAACTTTTAAATAGCCAATATGGTTGTATGATTTCAGTTGGGATATTCTATGTGAAGCTTGGCTAATCCTACTACACACGTGTGAGGTGCGCATACTTTTTTATCCTCAGCATTGGGATATAGTAGTTTGAACAAGTTCAAGTGCTAGTTGCACGTAGTTTAATTTCGTTGACTTTCTCTGCTTCGTTTCAACATTCAAATGATGATGGCACTATCAGCTTACTTGTCTTTCTTAATTGTTTTAATTTTAGCAGATGACAATGGAGCTCTGACCTGCTCTGCTTGGAGACTACCTCCTCTCTCGGACACATTAGAAAAACATATTTTTGACTAGGCACAGAGAACAGAGATTCTCTTAACGGAAGAAAACAGAAGAAATGTCTTTACACGCTTTGAAAATTGACAAGAAGACCACAAGACATGATTTTGACTTTAGGAAATTTCTGGCTGTTTTACTTATTAAATTTTGATACAGGGCTGATCTGTTATTTTATTGTTCTGCATATTTGGTTGATATCTCATTTGTATTGACCTGAATATATGACATGTCTGTGGCAAGCGTGGTTAAATGAAGGTGTTAACCAGTCAAGCTTATATGTTTTCAGTTTTGGGTATTCTATGTGAAACTTCGTTTTCCTACATACGCGCACTCTCTTATTCTCAACATTACGATAGTGTCATAGTGGTTGAAAATTTGACAAGAAGACACACAAGACAGGTTTTGAGTTGAAGTACATTTCTGGATGTTTTCATTTACGTATTGACAAAACTTTGAGGTTTCCTGTTTCCATATGGCACACCCTAATCACAGACCAGTGAGAAATTCACGTATTTTGTATGCACTATCATAAGAGCTGCGCCTTTGGCCTGATAGCTTCCCTATATTGACTGCAGCGTTAGCTTATGTTCCAAGCAACTCAAAGTCTGTATATGAACCCTTTGAAATAGCTTGGTCAGGAATTTTCTTAGTGTGTTTACTGGATCAACGTTGTTATGGCTCTTATTAAAAAGCCTGCTTAGTGATTTGTATTTGTGAGCAATTGAGTTTTAGCCCCTTTCTTTCAGAACCATAACTGAAAACTATTTTTTTCAAAAACAAAATGTATAACTAATCTAATTAAAACAATGTTTTTACAAAAAAAATGCAGCTTTCCTAGAGTTTTGAAAAGAATTTAAGCTAAGAGATGAAAAGAATACAACTCAGCCGAGTTAACAATTTTAAACGAGATCTTAATAGAACAATACTGAGCAAGATTATGAAGATCTTCAATAAGTGGTCAAGCTTCATCTGTGACTCCATGTAATGGGAGATCTTCTGGTTGACTAAAGAAAAGTTTAGCAGGGTCTTGGATCAGCTCTTCATCTTCGTCGTCATCCAATTCTATTGGTAGTGATTTGTCGCCAAGACGAGGTGGAGGAGCACTAGATTGAGAAAGAGCAGAGATTGATGGTCGTTGTTGATCATCTTCTTCTGGTATCTGTTGAACATCTTCGTTGAGAATAGCTTCGAACTCTTTGGATGTGTATCTGCCCATAAGCTCTCCAATCCAATCTTCCAACTCCGTGGTTTCTGCTTCAGCTTGTGCATTCTTCTCTGAGGATCTTTCTGGATATATCTCGATCATTGAGAGTGCATCTATTTGATGAACCATGTTTCCGTCTCCACTATGATCTATGTTTCCAGCAAAAGGCTCAGAGGAACAAGACTCAAAGTTGAGAAGTAACACTGCCGATATATTCTCCAAACCCAATTCTCACAAAGAAAATCACATTTAAACCGGGGAAAAGAGGTTACTTCTTTTCCAAGTATCCGTTTGGTGCAATTTCGACGACTTTAGGCGCATGCAAAACTCTGTTTTCTTCATTAAAAAAAATACTTTACAGATTGAAACGCTAAAAGGCCATAGTTCTCTATTGCTTTAAGAAATAATTGTGTATTTTTATTTGATGAATGAAAGTTTAATGCACACAATTGGATAACTACATATTAATTAATAATCCCACAGCTATTCAAACTATAACTGTTAATAACTACAGAATCTATAGAAATTTTCAATGCTCAGATCCCTAAAGTTTAGAGCCTTTCTTGGGGGCGGAGAGTAGCATACTGATCAAGCAAGTCCGGATCTATCCATGAAGTATTGTAATTCAGAACGTCTTGATCATCTTCTTCCACATGCAAACCCGATCCATAACCCACAAAGTCTTGGAGCCAATCTGTTTTGGCTTCTTCTTCTGATCCAAGACGAACAAGAGGAGCATTCATGTGAAGTTGATTATCCTTTTCCGATCCCAAATTCTCGCATCTTTCTAGAGGACTCTCCTCCCCGTTTGTCTCTTTCACTGCTTCATCAGTAAGAGGAGAAGTTTTGAGCACTTGATCACTCTTTTCTGATCCTACGCGCGGAATCACAGGGTCATGACGATGAGCTTCACTGATCAGCTCGGAGAAGGAATGAACTCGAACAACCGTCTTTTTTTCTTGAATCTTGCATATATTGATCGGCTGCTTCTGCGAGGAAAAAGACGCAAGATGATGATGATAAGTTGTAGCTTCGTCTTCGTCGTCATCCAATTCTATTGGTAGAGAGTTATCGCCAAGACGAGGTGGAGGAGCACTAGTTTGAGGAAGAGCGGTGATTAATGGTCGTTGTTGATCATCTTCTTCTGGTATTTGTTGAACATCGTCGTTGACAATAGCTTCCATCTCTTTGGTTGTGAATTTGTCCATCAGATCTGCAATCCAATCTTCCAACTCCGTGTCTTCAGCTTGTGCATCCTTCTCTGCTGATCTTTCTGGAAACATCTCGATCTTTGAGTCTGCATCTTTTTGATGAACCATGTTTCTCGTCGTTTCCAGGTGCGGAATCTCGGGTCCATTACCACCGCATGATAATGGCTGCTGCTGCTCTAGAGAAGACTCGTGATCAGTATTGATCGGCTGCTGCTCCGAGGAACAAGACTCAAGATGATGAGGATGGCAACAAGTTGATGCTTCATGATGATCGTCCTTCTTCTTGGACTTATTGATCTCGTGGATCTTGCACAGGACCAGTTCTTGAAACTGATCTCCTCCCGGAAGCATATACTCTGTCATAATCCAGCTGTTGTTGCTGCGTGGGACAATAGCACATGAACAAGTACCGTCTCCTCTCTTCTGCCTCTTCTTGTTTTCGTTGCTTTTAGTGAAAGTTAGGGTTTGCTTTACCCCAATGACCTTCCTTGTTTTATAGTCGATGATATTTTCTTTCGCGTTCGCCTTCCAACACCCGCGATCGTTGTCATCGTTGATCTTCCGCTTCGCCTTCTTACCACAACCGTTGTTCTTGGCAGAGACTTGAGTCCTTGTGACGAAGTAGTACCACTCGTCCTTCTTGAAAAAAGGATCCTCGGTGTGGTGCAGCAACCATGGCTCCTTGGCGTAAACGTCCATGTCCAATATGAAGGTTTCTTCGAGCGTACCTTTCAACTTGGGAATTAGATAGCTGTTGATGAGTTCGTCGTCGTAGGGATCAAAGTAAATCATATCTCCATATTCGTCCGCCATCTTCTCTTGCTTCTTAGTGTTTATGAGGGTTATGGAAAGAAAAACTTTCTTGAGAAAAGTACTCGGAGGGTTTGTGAATAATGTATAACACAACACAAAGCAATTACTCTTTACGGAAAATTAGGGATTTGTTGTGCGATTGAGGGAGAGTGAGAGAGACTGTGTTAATGATGCGATCTGTGTAGGTAATTAATGATGCGTATTTATATAACAAAAGACAGATTAATACTTTTTCGGAATAGGACTTTTATCTACCGACATCTCCCTGACTTTCCTTTTTTCCATTTTAAATCGTATATACAGTTTACTTATTTCGATTTGTTTTGTTTTTGTTTATTTTTTTCGGTAGCAACTTATTCAGATTAATTTTTTTTTGGTCTAAAAACTGATATCATCCAGATTAATTAAGAAGATAATTACAGAAGGAGATAAGGTTAATGAACCAGTGGTACTCTGCAACCTCACGTGAACATGTAAAGGGGACATATGTATATAGGTACGACTTAATTAAACAGAGGTAACTTGATTTTTATTTATATATTGAATCTTTATGAACTTTAATAAAAAAATTAAAAAAATCAGTAAACAGAATTGCAGAGTAGAATAAGCAAGCACCATATATAACCCAAACGATGACAAGGAAACTTGACTTGATAATGTGAGACCTTCAAGAAATTTTGGAGGTCTTATTATGCCTTTGACCTCATAGCCTTCCTTATATAAAGTGTACCCCTAGCTTCTGTTCCAAGCAACTCAAAATCTATCAACCCTTTTGGTAGCTTCAGCTTGGTCAATATCTGATTAATCTGTTTCTTGGGCTGCAACTTGTTCATCCTTCTGTGATGATCTTTCTGGAGCCATCTCTATCAATGAGAGTGCATTTATATGATCAACCATGTTTCCTTCTCCACTCTGATCTATGTTTCTCCCTGTTCAAAAATCCCACGTACTTATCAAAAAAAAAAAAAAAAAAAAAAAAAATCCCACGTGCGATAAGAGGCAAATGAGTCTTGCGCTAATCCTTACAAATCCCCAAGATGGAGGCTTCAAGCCTCATAATCAGTGACACTTCCTTTGTTACTCCATGGAGATAGTAACGAGATAAGGAGATTATTGCGTTTTCCACTCCTTGACCTGTCGATCCACCAAGGTCCATTGATGATAGCATCTCCAACGAGTGCATACATTGGTAAGCCGTAGGGCCACTTTTGGGCCAAGCCTAATGAGACACTGTTTTCGGCTTCCAAATTTTGGTGGCCCATTTTTAGGAATTTTTTTTATGTATATGTAAATACTGTATAGTTACATTCAGGCGATGCAGATGATATAACTAGTAAATATGTTCCTCTGCATGTAAATATATTTTATTGTCTAGGAGAAATTATCCTTACTTGTTTGATTACTAGGTTTATAACTCGTGATACGCGTGAGTTTGTATTAATTATTTAGTTAGTTCTTTTTTAGCTACTATTTTTTAATTATCAAAAGTATAAAAGATTTATAGAAATTTATTTTATATAATAGAGTTTAAAATATAGATATAGTTTTTCATATTTTGATTCATAACTCTGTCATACTCTATTATTTAAATAGAATTTTAGAATGTGTTATTCATGTATTATTAATGTTGGTTCACGTATAAATAGTGGCCATGTATAGAAATCAGACTTTACTACTCGTTAAATTTTGAATGTTAAATTACTTAGGTAGTCTTTTTCTTTGTTAGTTTGTAAATCAGAAGTACCTACTGTATTAAATTTTATATATATTAAAAATATCTTTAATTTAAAAACTCATGTAAATGTATTGCAACTTTAGATAGTTATTCATTGTTGATACCAATACTCTAGAAATCAGAAATTTTTTGAAACTAATTTCAAATAATTTCGTTTTAAATTTTTAATTTGATATTTTACATCTTTTGATAGTAATTTGATATTTTATATTAATTTATACAGTTCTGTTGTATGCTTGATCTGCCTAGGACTTATCGATTTTTTTTATTAAGTTCTTTTGTTGTTGATTTTAAAAATTGGTACTATAGACATCAAGTTTATTTATTTTACACAAATGCTTTATCAATTTTTTATATTAATTATTATTTTAGTTATAATACTGATTAGACATGCTATAATTTTTCATTTTAAATCTTATGAGGGCTTCTCTAAAAAACATATAACATCATTTATTTATTTTTGTTAAGTTTTTCTATATTGATTTACAAAAACATTAACCTAAATATCAAGTTAGATAGTTTTCATTTGTACGACTTTTTCTTAGGTTAATTTATATCTTTTAATATTGATTCCTATTTTATTTTTAAACATAAATATTTTGAAAATATTAACATTTAACATACATAATTTTTATTTTTATTTTTCTGTTAATGAAACTATATTATATTGATTTTTTAAAATAGTGAACCTAGATATCAAGTCGATTTTTCAGAAGATTTTTTTTTAATTTAATTTTCTTATATTAATTTTGAATTTTATTATATGAATTTTTTTTGAAACATAATTTACCTTTTTATATTAATTTCTTAAATAATTAGTTTAAACTTCATTTTTTTGTTAGTTAAGCTTTTCTATGTTTATTAATTTATTTTTATTTTTCTGTTACATAGAACATTTTTTATTTGTCTGTTACTTGAATTTTTTTATATTGATTTTGTAAGTTAGTATAGATATCAAGTTAGTTTCTTTTTATGCTTTTTCTTTGTTAATTTAAATTTTTTGATAGTGATTTCTATTTTAATTGCAATGTCATTTTACAAGATATAATTTTTTTTTACTTTTTATATTAATTTTTTAATAATTATCTTAAAATATTACTTTTTGTTAATTAAGTTTTTTCAAGTTAATTTTTCAAAATATTAGGCTAAATATCATGTTTTAGATGATTTTTCATTTGTTCGTTTAATATTTTTAATTTTGTTTTCTATTTTATTTTGATATAATGTTTTTTGAAGTGTTAAAATTTTTAAGACATAATTTTCTTTTTCTTTTGTTTTCTATTAGTTAGACTTATTTATATTGATTTCTTAAATAGTTAGTATAGATATTAAATTAAATTTTTGATAAAACAATTTCTATGTAAATTTAGGTTTTCGTTATTGATTTTTTTTATAAAATAAATTTAAAGAGTTAAGATATAATTAAATATTTTTTTATATGATAATTTATTTTTTTTATTGATTTTCATATCTGTTATTTTTGTTAGTTTAAATTTTCTAACATTGAGTTTTTATTTTATTTTGACATAACTTTTTATCTGTTTTTTCTCTTAATTTTCTATTATAATATAATAATTTTCTATTTTTGTATTTTAATTTATTTAAATTATTAATTATATTTAATATTTTTTGTTTAATAAATATGCTGCTTTGAATTCATCAAATTGAGTTTACAATTTTTTTTGTTGGACATAAAATAATAATTTTTTGATTATTTTTAATATTTTTTGTCTAATAAAAATATTGATTTGGACCAATTAAAACTGTGTTTCTTCATTCTAATCATATTTAACATTTTTTAATTTAATCAAAAACACTGATGTGGACCAATCAGATTGAGTTTATTTATCCTATGTAGACTTCCTCAATACACTATGCCTTCAACTTTTATATAGTATAGATTTTTAATATGAGCATAGTGAAAAAATATACAAATCAATTCAAATCATAAAATTTATTAAATTAAAAGAAAAAAACCCTTTTTCTAAATTAACATTAACAAAAGGAAATTTTGATTATAAAAGTTTGATAAACGACATACGACTTTGCATAAAATAATGTAATGTAAGAAGATTTATTTTCAAAAATATTACATTGGTTTACTTTTGTGTATAGAAATTTTTGTTTCATTTAGCATTTACTTCTATTTAAACATATTTTTATAAAAAAAAATCTTTTATTAAATTTTTAGCTTCTAGTAGTTTTTCATTTATCTCGAGTTCACAAAATTTCAGAACCGGCCCGAGCACGAAAGCCGTTGAAAGCAAAATTGGAAAGGTTTGGTGTCATATTTATTATTTACAGAAATTGTTGTGGCACAGTTAGTAACGTGTGTGTGATATTGAGTTAGAGGCTCACATTATATTTTTGATATTTTTTTTTTATAAATGTCTAAAACAATGTAGCTTTGATAGTTTATAAACGTTGCTCTACAAATGGTACAATTTATATATGGTCAAAGGTTATACTACGAATTAATTTTGATTTATTTGATTTTGACCTATATCTTATACCAGTTGAAGGTAAATTTGTAAAAATAAAGTATTAAAAAGTTTTTTTTTTTTTTGCAGAAAACTTTTGATTATTTAAGAGTAACAAATGCTACTTCCTACCAAAATAAATAATGCATTCAAACTTTTTGTTTGCAGAAAACTTTTGATTATTTAAGAGTAACAAGTGCTCTTTTTTTGGGTTCAAAAATTGGGGTACTGATATTTATTTTTAAATTGGCCAAATGGACTTTGTGCGACAAGCTTAAGTGACCCTTTGAACATTTAAGATATGGGTATCTTTTTTTTTCCTTATAAATGCGCTTTCTTTTTACTCATCTCACTTTAAACATTGAGTGGGAGAAAAAGGTGCAAGATCACATAATTCAGAAAGAAAATTGTAATTTACTTACATGCATATTTCAAAGTTGAGATATCTATTGAATGTTTATACTCAATACCCGTGTACAGTACACACGTAGCATTCCTTTATTAGCTTAAGTTGGTGCTTAATTAGTTTTCTAATTATTTTTTTGTAGTTCGCAATAAGACGACTCCTAACTACATCAACCATCAGACGTATCACACTCCAAATAAGCGCGCATCACATTTTCATGCGCATAAACTACTCAGACCACATGTGCGTAAGCTATGTGGTGACAAGACGTGAAAAAACATCACTACGCCTAAGTACTCTCATGCATACGTTAATAACATGTTATAAGAAACTAGCAAACAAAACTTGTTCCACATGCACGTGGCAGTGGCTCATACGGAAAATCGACAAATGATACAATTTAGATACTCGGTGTCCAAATGTGGTGTAATATCAACTCCTTATAAATATTACATTCACCGTCGATCGGTTAATCAAATTCAGTTACCCCAATATAATTAACTTGAATCTCCTTTGCACACTACCTAAAAGAAAAAGCGATTCCTCTTTTATCCCTTTCTTTTTTAATCTCCATCTTACTTTATTTCATTTCATCTTTTGTTTAGTTGCTTTGGTTTTGCTTATGATGAATATCCACTAAATAATAAAGGACTTTTGTCTTTCTTTACGGTGTCCCCACGAATGGTGATTTCACCTTGTTCATAATTAAGGAAGGAATTGAATTATTTTTGTTCCTGAATACAAAATTTATTGATTAAAAAAATTGGACCGAAATCGAATATTTGATTAAAAAAATTGTCAACTAGTTATCTATTATACAGTAACACGTAAACCAGCTTTTCTAGGAAAGAGTTTAACAAAAAACAACAGACATGAAAGTCTCCACGCCGTACTGTATTATACTATATATATATATACTCATCTCTGTTGCTAATAATTAGTATTAAAAAAATTTCTCCTAATATTAATTATGTGGTTAGATACCATTTCATCGTTTAACTGATTCTCTCCGTTTCATCGTCTCCAATGAGACGGTTCATCATTTCTGGTCTTTGTTCTAGATCTTTGAGATTTTGTTTCTAGCATTTATTTCAGCAACGTTAGATAAAAATATTTGGGATGTGATCTATCCATACAAGTTTTTAATGCAACATCAAATGGTAATAAAAAAAAAACCATTACATTACCATTACAAAAATGATCATCATTGTATGCTTTCTTGGAAACTACAGCCTCTGATCTTGAGCTGCGTCAGTGGACCCATTTTAATCTATGAAATCAATCCCACGATCGTCCCACCAACAGAGGACTTTATATTAATCTATACACACAAATATCATATAGTTTTCTTAACCAAGCAACACTAGGGTAAAAGAAAATTGACCACACGATTGCATTTATTTTGGTGCAGCTCGTGAATATGATATATCTAGCACCAGCCAAATACTTCCCCAATTTTTTTTTTATAATAATCTTGATTATTTTATACACCATGACCATTTTTATATAGCTAATTGTCAAGTTTAAGCGTATAATCCGATTAGGAAACTGTCGCAAGAACAACTCTCGATAGCCTTAGTTTAATTTTGTTTAATATTATGTGGGTAGTTTCAGTAACGAGTCCACTAATTAAATAGTATGTAAGCATCTTTTAAATGGAATTTGAAAAGTATAACATTGTGTTGTGCGGCACAACTTGTGACCAGATACAAATTAACAAGTTAATTGATCTAAAATATTACTACAACACAACAATCCGACGTTACTTTGTGAAATTTGTAGATTATTAGTGAGGGTTTTTTTCAAAAAAAAATTGTTGGAGTTGTATAAAACTAAAATGATTAGGTAACGTTAAAGCCGTAAAAACAAAGTAAAACAAAAATGTGATGTGAATCATGTGATTATTTTTGTTCAGATGTGAATCATGTGATGCCCAATCATGTCTTACAATTAGTATAATTATCATCTTTAAAGTATTATAACAAAGATTATAAAAAGAGAAGTATTAGTTTTAATCTATAAATGTTTATATCTTTAAGAAAAGTAATTACATTTTTGAGTGTTTTTGTGTCAGTTTACGGTAATCTTTTGCTAATACGCACACGTAAACATGTGCAGCATACACATGCGGGGACCACCTGACACGAACCATTCCCGCGCCTTCCCTGATGGCGATACGATCTGGACCGCATGAATCATCCTTCCCTTCATTCTGCACCGTCGGATCATTTTCTTTCCCAGTCACACTCTCTCTCTAAGCTTTTATGGGGATCACTTGTCTCTTTTCGGATCTTCACTTTGCTGATTCACTCTTCTTCTTCAACTGATTTTTGGCTGCTCTCTTCTTCGTCTTCTCCTTCACCGACTTGCGTCGGTTCTGCATTTTCTCTCTTTCGCCGTTTGAGGTAATTTCCCCCTTTTGTTTTCTCGGTTTTAACTATTGGATTTTCTCGGGAAAGTTTCTTTGATTTGGTAGAAACGCTGACGTTTTGCTGAGCGAAAATGAAAAAACCTCTTCTACTTGATCTACAGCAGCTTTTCTTCTAGGTTTAATGCTTTTGCTTGGATTATATCTGGAGAATCTAACTAAAGCGAATTGTTAACCTAGGAAATTTCTGTTCCGATTTCGATTCAAATCGAGCATAAAAAAAAAACTGAGAAGCTTCTCTTAGCAATTTCGGCATAATAATGTCTTCTCCGAGCTTACGATTTTGGTTGATTCGAAACTTGATTTCTCCCCCAAATTTTCGGATCCGTCAAAAAAAAATTTGAATCGAATCTGAGAAATTTGTCGTTTCTGAGTTACTCATAAATGCAAAGGACGCATCATTCAGCTGTTTCTTCGGGGAAAATGGGTCCATCCTTTGGATGTGTATTTTTAGCATTTTCTCAAGATCTTTGGATCAAATCATTATCATCCTGCATTCTTTTCTGCGTCCACGAGGACCACCTTTTCCTTCTAATTTTGTAACTTTTCCTGCTTTTTCTTTGTATGTTTTTTCTTCTCTCTTTCTTTCTGATGCCGTGAGCATTCGGGAGAAGGAGACCTATCAGAAATTCTTTCAATGTACTTTCAATGATTTTTAATGAGTTGATGTGATTTTGATTTTGGTTTTTTGTTTTGTTTTTGTTTACTCTTTATGATGCAGGAAGTCATCAAGAGCTATGTGGTAGATTCAACGGTTATAAGTGAATCAATTTTACTATCTACAAATGGAATGCCGTGATGAGCACGAGCTTGTCAAGTATATGTCGAAGCTACCGGTTTTCTTGGAGAGAGCTGAAACCCCTCAGGAGAAGCTCTTGAGCGTTGGTGTTCTTGACTGGCGCCGTTTGGAGAAGTGGCAGCTTAGTCATCATAACCGGATTCCGGTTAAGACTAGATTCCCTTCGGTTTCGCATACAGATGCTTCACTGTTTCTGCCTAGAGACGAGTCATCTGCTGGTCCGAGCAATGTGCATTATCGAATGAAACATCGTAGCTCACGGCACTCTAGTCTGATTGAAGGAGATGTAAAAGAGTGTCGAGAGATCAAAGGTACACGGAAAAAGAAACCTAAAGACCACGGATGTTACAGCATACCATATGAGAAGCTTGGTCCGAACACTGATGCGCGAGATGGATGTGAGAAGAAGGATCTGAAAGGGAAGGTCTGCCTCAAATCTGGATTGAATCCTGAGGCTGGCGTGAACGTGGAGGTCAAATCTAAGGGTGATGGTAATAGACGTAACAAGAGCGATAAGAAGTTAAGCGAAAGAAACGGAGATGGTCACGATGGGGAGCTTGGTCGGAAGAAGCAGCAGGGGGAAACCAAGCTCTGTCACTCGACAAAGAAGCTAGCTCGAGAAGAGGCTAAGACATGCAAGAGGAGTTCGACTAAAAATGACAGGGTAGTTCATGATGTTGAAGTAGATCACTGTACTCAACATTCTTGCCCCTTGCCATGTAAAGAAACTGGCTACAATGATGCGGAAGCGAACAAGGTTTCAGTTGAAATATCTCAGTGCGTGACACTCTCAACAAAAGCAAGGAATACATCTTCCAGAGGTAAAATCACAGAAGACAGAGCATCGTCTTTGTTATCTGTGAAACCTTGTATTGATGAGCCTGCCCAGAGACAAGATTCGAAGTCGCATAAAGAGGTATCTGAAAAGGGGAGAAGTATATCGCCTTTTCAGAGGCTTAGCTTCAGTATGGGTAAGACCAGCAAAACTAACAGAGAAGGAGTTTATGTTCACACAACGCAGCCAGACTCAAAGGCTAACTCCACAAAGATTGGTTCACAGAACTTGGCTCTTTTATCTGACTTCGACGGCTCAGACTGCAAAAAGCCCAGCGAAAAAGATACAACCACAAGCAGCCATTTGAGAAGGTTTCTAGAACCTCTACTTAAGCCAAGAGCAACTCACTCTGGTAATTCCGTGGAGGGGCTTAGAGGTCAAGGCGTTCAAAGAATAAAATTGGGTATCACGGGTTGCAAAACAGTAAACGTCAATGATTCAGCTCACGAGAAGAAGCTAGGATCATCCATGGTTCGAGCTGTTCTGCGGGTAACGGTTAAGAACAATCAGCCACTCTTTACATTTGCAGTGAACAAAGAGACCGACATCATTGCGGCCACCCAAAAGAAAATGGGAAGCTCGGATGAGGGAGAATGTACGAGTGTGTATACTTTCTTCTCTATCAAAGACCATAAGAGAAACAGTGCATGGTTAAACCAAAGAGGCAGAGGCCAAACGCATGGTATCATCTCTAACGTTGTTGCTCAGATGCGGGTCTCGAGCTCTCTGCCATCTGGTTCCATCAGAGAGTTTGTTCTCTTCTCTGTAGAACTCGATCAAGAGAGCACGGAAAAGTCTGACCTGCAGTTGAAAAACGAGCTGGCTGCGATCATCGTGAAGATGCCGAGATGGTTTAACAGGAGGGCATCACAAAACATGGTTCATGATCACAATGCAGTCGACAAAGAACTTGAGGATCACATCAAAGACAGGGTTTTTGACCAAGACATTAGTGCTACTGTCATACTTCAAAGCGGTGTTCATAGTATGCCTCACAAAGGAGGGCCATCGTCTTTGATCCAGCGATGGAGAACAGGTGGGTCCTGCGACTGTGGAGGTTGGGATATGGGCTGCAATCTCAGAATACTTACGAATCAGCACAACTTCTCCTGCAAGAATTCAACAACGTCAAACTCACCACCTTCTTCAAACCCATTCGAGCTTTTCTTTCTGGTACATATACTTAGTTTCATTTTCTTTTTGTCTTCCACATCAAAACATAAAGGTCTCATCATCACTTTTCTACATTTTATTTTTCAGGGAGAAGAAGCGGAAGAACATCCGTTCTTGAGCTTTAAACCAATCAAGGAAGGGATATATTCAGTTGTGTATGATACATCCCTTACACAACTACAAGCTTTCTCCATATGTATGGCACTTGCAGAGAGTAGGAAAATGTCAGAGATCAGCCTTGAGCGCAAAAGCTCTTGTGATGAACATAAAGCTCAAGATCTAAAGCCTAATGACAATACCGTTGGGTATCAACGGCCCATCTCGCCTGTCGGGCGGGTCTGAAGTTTTTATTTTTACTTCAAACCCAATTTTTACTTACAGGTAATGTGATCATATTATTAGTGAGTTAGTGTTTTAGCCTAAGGTAAAAACTGTTGCAGGAAATAAGGAAGCAGCTAGATCTCTCTTTAAAGTAGTTAGTCTAATGGTGTATCCAGCAAAGAAATGATCTTCCCAAATCTTTTAAGTGTGAATATTATTATAGCTTATATCTATATATATAATGTTGATCTGCTTTCAAGCCGTGAAAATCTTTGGTTTCTGAAACTTTAAAAGCCGGAATCTGATAGTCGAAAAGAGTTTTTCTTTTTTTTATGGTGCCATGTGATACATTGTTATGATGAATATCTTTCTTTTGAGGTAGCTAAATCGGAATTGGATTCATCAAGAACATATGTTTTTGAACCAAACTCAGCTGATCAGACAAGATTGATTATTTAAAAACACTCCACGTAAAAATTATAGACAAATAGATAGGTCTTAGTTTTGCATAAATTTTGAGTTTTTGTTTAGTATCACTTTTTCAACTTTAGTCTTCTAAAGTCAAAAAGATTCTTAGTTATAAGAAAACAATAAAAATGTTCCCATCGTTCACGTGAAGTTGTTGTTTTTGTTGTCACAAAGACAGTGAGAAACAGAGTGGATTTTATAGCTTTATGCACTTTGAACTCACAACAAGCAACATGGTAGACCCATCGATATCCAATTTGCCATATGCCAAGAAAAAAGGTCTATAATTCCCATAATTGAGAAGATCATCCGAGATTTCACCAAATGATCCTTTCTTTGTCTAAATGATTATTTGGATATTCATTTTGATTAATATATTATTGGATCAAAGTTAACATTTGTTAAAAAAACATCTATTTATTTTATTATAAGTTTATGTTTATGATCTAAAAACAAAAAATAATGAAACTTACTACAATTAATGGTCGATATTTGTTAAAATGATAGTTCTGATCAGTGTGATCTAAAACTGTTAAAGAACAAAAAAATATTTATTTGTACCATAATAATTGTGCCAAATTATTCATTTGGCCAGCTTGTTATTAGTTTTTTACATAGAGATCCTACAAACTCCATCATTACATGTATTTTCATATATATGCTCATTATGTGCTTATAAAAGATCTTTCAGATATTTTCTTCTAAATCAGACTACTGTATTATTGTAATCACACTATAATCCATTTCTACGTCGCTGCAATTGTTCGGTACAAAGCGGATAGTTTGTTAGTGGTTAAGAACAAGTAATGTGTTCGTTACTCGACAATGAGTGGACCAACAATATCTTATATCCACCTATGTTATACATTTATCTTTTTTAAGATATAATTACAAACGTCTTATACACTATTCGTTTTTTTGGGGGTCTAATGTATTTTTCTGTGTAAAAATGGGTTTCTTAAGTTCAGTTGCGTGAGAAGAATATATAAGTTAGACCAATAATCCGCTGTACAAAATATATCATCGGGATTGAATGGTATACAGCTTATTCATGTTCACGTTTTGAAACGCATGATTCCATTAAATACATATAATTCATAATATTAAGCACTGAATGATAAAACGTGAAAATTAATACGTTATTTTTCAATTTATCCCGCACGTTTTAAATTTATAACTAGTTTTAAGAAAAATATATTCATCTAATACATACTCCCTCTGTTTCATAATAAGTGTCATTTTGAGAAAATGTATCTGCATTATAACTGGATGTATTAACCTCAAAATACATCCAAATACATCCAGTTATAATGCAGATACATTTTTCCAAAATGACATTTATTATGAAACAGAGGAAGTACTAATTTTTTAGCGTTTTGAGTTTATTCAGTTTTCAGTTTATCCACTCTATTGATTCCGCTAGTTTATTATTCAATTATTATGCTATTCAGCTATTAAGTTGACATACCAGTCAACTCCGTTTTACTGAAAGCTCATTTTCAATTTTTAGGTTTTTGTTGCATATATATAATAATACAATAAAGTTGCCAAAAAATTGTGATTGGCTTGTATATTTTCTTGAGCCAAGAGTCGAAGCGAGTTTTTAAACACATGCAATGCGTACGCTCCAAAGTATCAACACTCCATTGTTTAGAAATCATCCATTATAATTTGCTTATAGTGGTCCTGACTTTGGTCACTTAAGAGCATCTTAATTTAGGCTAAAATGTGTTCCCCAAAGGACAACAAACATCACCTTGGCACACCCGTGAAGTCATCTTCTACTACTACTTTCTTTACCATATTTATCACTAAGATCCTCTTTGTCTCCACCAACCAACATTAATTGTTCTTATAAATATAGAATTCTTTTAAACAAACAGAAAGTATACATATATAATAGAGAAACTTGGCAAACATAAATTTATTGGGAAAAAAATGGGCTTTGCGGTGTATATAATACATTTATGCATACACTATGATGATAATTGATAGTATATGTCCTTAGAAAAGCTTTTGACTTGCATATAAAATGCTTCATGGACCTCTTTTCGTTTCGTTGGGTCACACCAGTCTTTCGTCATTTTAGCTGGAAAGTTCTTGCTTGTGTGTTCAAATGCACATATATAATAGATAAATGAAAAAAGTGAAACTGTAACGTTGTTTCATCAAAAAATAAAATCGTTTGTTGGCCAATGCCCGGATTTTAAAAACTGCTTAGTGTGTAGAATACGTACTTAGTTAAACACAAATCATTTGTATTTTTTTTTTCAGAGTGAATGTATTACAATATAATTATTAATCTGTAGTTTAGGCTACTCCAAGATTAATCACCCATTGGCAATACGAGTTACATTCTGTGAAGAAAAAGCTGGATTATATATTCGATCAAGTTGGGAAAATACCACTTAAATGCAACTTCGCTTAAACTATAGTTACTAATGTATATATTCACACCCACACGCATGCACACATGGCTTTGACTTTGACCATTCAGTTTACGATTTTGTCCCTCGTTTATTAATTTCACATCATTATTATAGTTTTTACAACTTCCGCACTATTGTTTTATATTTCCTCCTTTTAAATAGAAACATTTTTAAATTATATTTTCTGCTAACCAATTGAAACATAATACCGTATTTAGCGGTATCAGACTGTAGTTCAAAAACTTCAGTTCAAATCTAGTTTGAAATAAACATTCCATATTTAGGAAAAGGCCTTTAGAGAAAGTGAAAAAACGAGAAAATGTTAGATATTTTCTGAAAAACCAAAGTATAAACAGAAGGAGACAAGAGAGAGAGAAACATTGGATCCACAAGCAAAACATTTATTTATTTTTCAAGTTTAATTTTTAATGAGAGGCTTAATAATACAACTCTGCTTTTTTCACCAGTGTCTTCTCCACTACGTGCGCTACTATAAATGTTCTCCCTCATTTTTCTCGCAGATTCCTTTCTCCTCGAGATAAAAAAACAAAAAACATAAACAAAATCCCTTTTTTTTTCTCTTTCTCTCTCGAATTCTCTTAATCTCTCAGAAAGTGACTCAGACTCAGGAAAAAAAGGGTTTTTGCTTTTCGGGTTTAGCGAAGAAATCTTTCATCTTCCTTAAAACCTTGATCGAAGCTTTGAAACCCAAATGGGAGCTCGCTGCTCTAAACTATCCCTCTGTTGGTGGCCAACACATCTGAAATCAACTCTTAACGACGCCTCTGATCTAGGTAGATACTTCAAAAAGTCTTAAGCTTTCCGGCATTTTCATTCTCTCAGCTAAAAATAAGTTGAGGTTTTTCAATTTTTTGGGTTTTTGTTGCTGTTGTTGTTTTTTTCCGACAGAAAATGGAACGGACGATTTGCCGTCGTTCACTGAGTTCAGTTTCGACCAGCTACGAGCTGCTACTTCGGGTTTCTCTACGGACAGCATCGTCTCCGAACACGGCGTTAAAGCTCCTAATGTCGTGTATAAAGGCAGGCTCGAAGATGACAGATGGATCGCTGTTAAACGCTTCAACAGATCCGCTTGGCCCGATACTCGTCAATTTCTGGTACGAACTCTCATAAATGTGGTTCCTTTGCTCATTTCAGTTGATAGGTCTATCATTTACAGTCCGGAATCGACTTTAAAGCTCTGCATTTGGTGGGGATACTGTTTTTTCTTGGGGGGTTTATTTTGTTGTTTACTGTTCCATTTGGTTCATGTTTAGGAGGAAGCAAAAGCTGTGGGGCAGTTGAGGAATGAGAGGTTGGCGAACTTGATTGGATTCTGTTGTGAAGGAGATGAGAGATTGCTCGTTGCCGAGTTTATGCCCTTCGAAACTCTCTCTAAGCATCTCTTCCACTGTAAGGCTTTTCACCATTTTTAAGAGATGTGCAAAAGTTTTACTTGTTTGTTTTGATTCCCTATCTGCTTTAGAAGATTTAGTTGAAGTTTCTGTTTTTGGTTCTATCCTTTTTAGTAGAAGATAAAAAAAAGAATCATCTTTCGTTGCTATCGGTATGAGAGTTTCCAAAATTGACTAAAAATGTGTGAGGATATATGCAGGGGATAGCCAGCCAATGAAGTGGGCAATGAGGGTGAGAGTGGCTTTGTATCTTGCACAAGCACTCGAGTATTGCAGCAGTAAAGGCCGCGCCTTGTACCATGATCTCAATGCTTACAGGATCTTGTTTGACCAGGTCCACTCTCAAGCCTACTTATCATCTCTGATCTCTCTCTCTCTCTTTCTCTGTCTTATGTGATTAGATACATGTTTCGGTGACGTGTTACTGGAGAATTGTATTCTAAACAATGTTCTATACTATGGACTACAGGATGGTAACCCGAGATTATCTTGCTTCGGTCTTATGAAGAATAGTAGGGATGGGAAGAGTTACAGTACAAATTTGGCTTTCACACCTCCTGAGTACCTAAGAACAGGTCAGTAACTGGACATAAGATGCAATGGCGTCAAGTTATGTGTTTGTTGTTTGACCATGTTATCATATTGATCTGATGAATCGTCGTGTGTTTATTGACATCTTACAGGGAGAGTGATTCCGGAGAGTGTGGTTTACAGCTTCGGAACGCTGTTGTTAGATCTTCTAAGTGGCAAACACATACCGCCAAGCCATGTAAGTGCACACCTTTCTAAGCACCTAAAGAAGTTCTCGATCTATTAGTTTCTTTTTCTTATAACCGAAATAGAAATGTAGATAAGATTCAATATGCTCTACCATTGTTCTGCAGGCGCTTGATCTGATTCGTGGGAAGAACTTCCTGATGCTAATGGACTCAGCTCTTGACGGCCATTTCTCTAACGATGATGGAACCGACCTGGTTCGTTTAGCTTCCCGTTGTTTGCAGTATGAAGCTCGTGAAAGGCCAAATGTGAAATCTCTCGTGAGCTCACTCGCTCCTCTTCAGAAGGAAACTGATGTATGAGCTTACTAAACCACCTTCCTTTTATGTATCAACCATTCAAGTCTTGCGACTCCTCTTCTTATTCTGCATCTTTGTTTTTTTTTCTTCAGGTTCCGTCTTATGTTTTAATGGGGATTCCACATGGAGCTGCTTCTCCAAAGGAAACAACTTTGCTGACTCCTCTTGGTGACGCTTGTTCAAGACTTGATCTCACTGCAATACATGAAATTCTCGAGAAGGTTGGATACAAAGACGACGAGGGCATAGCGAATGAGGTATGTACATGAACACGAAGCTTCTTCATCTTCTATGAGATCGATAACCTTAAAGTGTAGAACTTTGTTTCAGAATAAAAAATCTTCATCTTTAATTGTCTGATGAAAGTAGAGAGCTGATCATTGTTTCATTTGCAATACAGCTGTCGTTTCAAGTGTGGACCGACCAGATTCAGGAGACCCTAAACTCCAAGAAAAAAGGAGATGCTGCGTTTAAAGGCAAAGACTTTGTCACTACCATCGAATGTTACACGCAGGTAAGGAATAAAAATTCGGTTAAAATGAAAATTTGGAAAAAAGTCGGTTACTTTCTTGAAACCTAGAAACATAATTCCCCAAAAACTAAACTCAATCTGTGTATCTGTGTTCTCTAATTGTATTGTTCTGCAGTTCATTGAAGATGGCACAATGGTATCGCCAACGGTTTTTGCAAGGAGGTGTTTGTGTTATCTGATGAGCAACATGCCTCAAGAGGCTCTTGGTGATGCAATGCAGGCGCAAGTAGTGTCTCCTGAGTGGCCAACGGCTTTCTATCTTCAGGCCGCTGCTCTCTTCAGCCTTGGAATGGATAAAGACGCTTGCGAAACCCTAAAAGACGGGACTTCCTTGGAAGTCAAGAAACAGAACAACAGAAACTGAAAACTCCAAGTGTATAGGTTTCTTTCCTCTTTTGTCTTCTTCGTTTTCTGATTGGATTCTGGTAAAAAGCCTCATTGTCTTTTGAATTCTTTTAAAAGCATTTGAGCTCTGCTCATGCTAGATTTGTGGTTTCCATTTTGAAGAGAGGATTCAAAATTCATATGTGATTTGAATCAAGAAAAAGAAGGATCTTTCTCATTTATGTTCAAGATCCTTATATATCTGCTAATGATTTCTTCTTTGAACATAATTTAACAAGTATCTTCCAGTATTTGTCTTCAAAGCCAAAGATGTTTGTGTCTGAAACCAAAAGAGGCAAGACCCACTTGGTTTCACCAAGCCGGAGTAGAGATGAATATTATACAAGACGTAAAAGCTCACAAGTTACACAACAGCAATCTAAAAACTACCAAGTTTTTACAGCTACAAAACGTGTGAATAATCATCAAGCAACAGGAGGGATTTTGATTCAGCGATCGCAAGCGGCTCAAGGACAGGAGAAGAGTGAGCGCGTGCGTGCGAAAGAGAGGAAGACAGAGAGAGAGAGAGATAGAGAGATGGGAACCGTTTCACTTGAGGACTTTGAAGTGAAAGAGCCAAGAAACAATGAAGGCGAAGACCATAGCGGCAAGTAAGAAGTTCATGACACGGCGACCATGCCAGATTCCCCGTGGCTCTGTCTGAATCTGAGTTTGTCCTGTAGTTGCTTGTGAATGCGCAGAGACAGTGCTCTCCGGGTTTGACTGTTCGCCAGCCACGTTCATAGCCATTGCGCCGCATATCTCACATGTCCTGCTCAGATTCATAGAACACAATTGATAAATGCTAATCAATACACAAGAAGAAGATCTAACTCCAAACGGTTTCTGTTGCCTTTACACGAAAAACAGAGGCTAGACAGGATCTATTAGTATAACTATGATTGGTAAGAATCAAACTATCTCAGCTAAAGGGGCTGCAAGATTCTCAGTGCAGCTGAAAAATCAAGCCTTTAAAGCCAAATCACTGAAACCGTCTTTTAAAAGAGAGATTTGAGACAACAAACAATCAAATTCAAATGTGCAGGAAAATAAGAACATGAGGCACAAGTTGACAAACATAGGAACATAAACTGAACAGTTCAACAAAAATTGGTGGCCATAAAACTGTAGATTCCAGCTTTCACTAGACAATTTTTCTGAGAAGTAATCATATGGATCTCTAGAAATCAGAGGACAAAAAAAGAATGTAAAAAAAAAAAAACTCAAAGTACGCAAAACAAATAATTCTGTTTCCTTATTAAAGCTTCATCCTTTTACTATTTGTTTTTTTTCACAGAATCTGTAGAATTTTCCAGAAAATAAAAAAATTTAAAGTCACTTGAGAAAAATTGAGGAAACTTACATGTTTCCTTTGATCTTGAACCAAGTTTCAGCACACTTACTGTGAGCTACACCCAAATCACCTTTGCAAGAGCAACCCAATTGCAAAGGCAAACCATAATACTCTTCTTCCTCGTCTTCTCTTGCTTCATCCTCTTCTTCATCATCTTCTTGCTCATCAGAATCATCATCTTCTTCATCTTCTTTGTTACTCTCTAAAGGCAGATGGCAGATCCTGCAATCTCTACAGCTTTTCTTCTTCTTCTTCTTCCTCTTCCTTCTCCTCCTCGTCCTCCTCTTCTTACCACAGGAATGTAGCTGCTTCGCTGGCACCGTCACGACGCCGCTCTCTAAATCGACCTCCGACAAGGAATCCAAGTCGGAGGAGTCGCCGTCGACGCTAATTTCGACGGAGTACGGCGAGTCTTCAGGATTCGCCAAATGGTGATGAGATCCAAAAGCAAAAGAAGGCATTTTTTTTTTCCCTTGAGGATTAAAGCAAAGAGGTCATGGGTTTTACGAGGAAACAAAAGAAAGAAAAATTAAGCAAAAAAACAAAAAAGAAAAAGCTAATTTTGTCTTGGAGGGTTTAATGCAATTTTTGTTTATTTTGTGTTTTGGTTTTTTTTTTTTTTTTTTCACTTGCAGAGAGAGAAGTAATGTTGGAGAAAGAGAAAGGAGTAGCTTTGGACAAAAGAGCAGCTTCTGTTCTGTTCTCTTTAATTATTAATTTTTTTTTGTCTAAAAACAAAAATTTACTTGTTGTTTTTGTCTCCCTCGAGTTTGGAAGATATTTCAAACCGAGTGCTTTTTTAACATTGTTAGATCCCGTGGTACGGATTCATAATTCATGATGATTCTACATTGAATTTCCACTTAATTTGCGTCTATTTTGAACTATCTCATGAATTATTTTTTCTCTTCTCTTCTTTTCCTGAGTAAGAGTGGAATAACTTGTTCATATTAATTAAAAAAAATTAAAAGTAACTCTTTTTTTAGGTAACTCTGTTGAAGTATAACTGTAATTGAAAGTAAGTATGTAGTAGTATAGAATTAGAATTATCACCTACCTCAGTTATATTGAATGCTCGATTTGTCAGATCTATGTTGATAACTTGATCTTGTATTTGTATTTGTAACTTTAAGTTATTATTATTACTGGTAGATGGTAAATTACCGTTTCTGGATTATTAAGATCAATTGAACCAAAAAAATGTTATACATTTAGGATTGTGAGTTTCGAAGATAAAGTACAAACCCACGTTTCAAAATTTAATTGGACGGAAAAAACGTTTAAGAATTCTTTAGTACATTTCCTTGATTTCTTCAATAAGTTAAGTTATTTTATCTAGTACTTTACTTCTAGGTTACTTCTATAAAGCTTCATTCTAATTTAGTACATTGCTTTAATCAAGTGGATCCACTGCACCATATTATGTAGACTTTTAAACAATTGACTAAAGGGGGAGAGTTTCTCCATTTAAATTCTTATTTTGATTTGAAGTTTGTTAGAAAATGTAAACAGGAGGTCAAATAGAAATTTTTAAGAAGTCGAGGGGCACTGATGAAACAAGACATAGATATCACTGTCAATGTCAGTGGCTGTGTCTGGATGTAAACAATGTTGGCTAAGAGGAAACTCACCGTTTCTTTAATAATTGTTCGAAAGAAAAATAAAAGAACACCACAATGTGAAACTGAAAAGTTATTTTATAAGATTTGTATACAGTACTTGGGGTTAAAATGTAATTATTTTGGTTAACTTATTGTATTCTATTAGATTTGAAATTACATATGTTTTTCTTTTGTAACTATATGAACTGAGTATGTAAACTCGATTTGCACTTCTTAATTAATTTAAAGCTGATGAAAACAAAAAAAAACTATATGAACTGAGTAGTTTAAAATTCTCCTGATTTTTTGTTTTGCTTTATATACTTGATGAAACATTTTTTTTGTAAAGTAAATAATTATAAGAAAAACTACGGTTCAATATGGATGCAATAAAATTAATATTATTTAATTTCTGTACGACATTTAATTATATAAACATGATTATTGACATTGTTTAGAAAATCTCACAAATGTTCCTAAGTCATGTTTTTGTTCTTCTATAATCAACACAACAATATAAACTAAAGTCTCTCCATGCCTTGACACCTCAGCTTTTTGAAGCTTTATAAACATGACATTTCAGCAAAAATAATCACCAATCAAAACATTTTATTAATACATCTCAAACACTTATTTTAATTTTTAAACTTAAATCCATTAAAAATCCAAATATTCTTTCTATTAATTTTTGTTTTATTTTTTACCAAACTCAAGTCTAAATAATTAATAACAGCAATAAAAATTTCATTATTTTATTTTTTTACCAAATCCAAACCCAAATAATAAATAAAAACAAATAAAAAAATTAAATCATTATTTTTTTTTTGCCAAAACCAAATCCAATTAATAAATAATAATAAATAAATAATTAAAAAAATTCTAGCTATCTGTTTGTTTGACATAGACATATATGATTGAAAAAGTGTAGGCTCAACATCAACTATGCTTCCATGACAACAACGCAAAAAGCCTTATGTTATAAGAAGCTCACACATCAGCAAAAATTTGAACTGATAAAAACATAACAATTTCTTAGTTTTTGCGGAAAAACACAATTTCACGGAGATAATGCAATTTTTGGTTTTTGCGAGAAATTGTAGTTTATTTGTTTTTGTAGGAAAGCGTGATTCTGGGCTTGAAGAGAAATTTTTTTTTTTTTTTGTTTTGGCAGAAGTAGACGATTTCTCAGTTTTCGCAGGAAAAATAAAATTTTCGATTTTGGCTGGAAAATACAATTTTTTTTGGTTTTTGCAGGAAGATGATTTTTTTTTGTTTTTGTGAAAAAAACGTAATTTCTCAGCTTTGGTGAAAAAAACACAGGTTCTTGCGGGAAAATAAAATTTTAGATTTTAGGTTTGACGAGAAAATGAAGTTTTTGGTTTTGGCGGGAATATGCGATTTCTTAGTTTAATGGGAAAATGAAGTTTTTTTGTTTTGATGGGAAATACGATTTCTCAATTTTTGTAAGAAGATGAAATTTTTTTGTGCTAAATTTTCAAGTTAAAGTATGTTTACAGTAACCAAAATTTAATTATTTAATTTTAACTAAAACGATATTTTAAGAGTTCAAACATAATTTTCTATTTAGTTCCAAAGCAATAACAATGGTTTTGATATGATGTTATTGATTATAGTTTGATAGTTTTAGAAACATATGTTTATAATAAAATATTTGATAAATAAATAATTTTATAATTCAAAATAATCATATTAATTAATAAATCTTTTTTTAAATGACATTTTGTTTTATATAATTACAAAGGAGGATCAAGTGGTAATTTATTGGAGAAAATAGATTACATTTGCCGTTAGCATGTATATACTAAAAATGTATTGCTTTATTCTTATATATTTTATTCCTATACATACATTTATAATTAGTTAGCTATCTAAATTTAATAGCAAATTATAAATTTAAAAAACAAAAAAAAAATATATAATGTTTATTCAGATTTAAAACATATAAATACATAACTGATAAAAAAATATAATACTCATTTACATTATAAAAATAATTTTATTATATTAAAAGTATATACAAAATTTAGAAAAATATCTCGCAGCATAGCGCGGATAAATACCTAGTACAATTTAAAACTATAAGCTAAAAATTATTCCAAGATCAACAAATAGAACTCAATAGCTGTAAAATAAATTCAATTTTACCAAAAATACTACACTTTCTTTGAATATCTATTTCCGGACACCAGTAACCAGCTTTGATCTTTACTTTCGGTAGATGTTGTGTTAGAGAGGAGACAACAAATCATACTGTATCTTTTTTTCAAAAGTCCTCCTGCTCCTAGCGACATGGAGGGTTTCAAATATTGGAAATGTAGAATTTGGTTCGACCTTCACAAAGTTTGGAAGAAAATGTTAATAATTGAGTATAAAATATCCAGATATATCAACTGACATAACAACACCTTCTAACGTGTCGTATGGTAAGGAGATTATGGAAGTCAAGAAGCGAGTCAACCTTTTCCAACACAAGATTCAGCGAAAGCCTTTGATGGACACAAATAAAATGTTGACAGCGCAAGAAGACGAAGAAGAAGGACCCGGAAAAAGACTGAAGCATGTGGTGAGACAAGCAAGCATTGGAGTCGACCATAGAAGGGTTGGGTCAAGATAAATACAGATTTTCTGCTTTAGCTGTGGTCCGGCGAAGCTTACTAGACATAGAACTTTCTCTCTCAATTATGTCGGATTACTTATTTGATACCTAGACTTTGACATGGAACTAAAGAATATACTGAAAACAGATATTTCTTGATTGATCGGTTCTCAAATGACAAACAAAAAGCCTTGGGGATACAAACCAAAACCTACAACTGGTAACTGAGGTCTTCCAAAGGAAAGGAAACAGATATATCGAGAAGTACCCACACAACAACGAGAGTGAACAACAGAAGATCATGCGGCTTGGACTTCAGGGGTTGCAGAGTTTGTTGCAGTTGCGGCGGTCTTTGAGAGGTTTGGGATGTACTTCCAGCATCGTTTGTGAACTCCGCTTATCTTCTTCGGAGCTTCCGCAGCTCTCAAGCCTGCATTTCAGTGTATGTTAAGTCTCATGGAAGACTCATACCACAATAACTTAGAGAGTGGACTAAGAAGCAGCTCCATACAAAAAGAAACCTTTCTCGTAACTCAGAATCTTAATCACCAATGCAATTTAAGACCATCGAGTTTCAGATATATTTACTTGATATACATGACGAAAAGGCTAGACATTTCGTCATCTCTTGGAATCATTTTCAACTGTGTGATCAAATAGCATTACTAAAAACCTAAAAGACTTTGAGCAAACGAAGATGAATCATTTTCCTGATAAACATTTTGAATAAGAAAAAAAAACAGATGATAGAATCAAAAAAACTCACCATCTTTGTGAACAATTCCCCACGCTTTCCCATGCCTACCATCCTGCATTTTGAATCCCGAATCAAACAAAATCCCAAATTTAGCTAAAGAAGCCCGAATGATTTGGTGATGCAAACGTTTTCTCAGCATACGGAAATTGAAATGCCCAGATGTAGAAATCTTCTATCAAACTCAATACCATTTCCATGGCGGATACAAGTAAAGAGAAAGATAGAGAGAGAGAAAGAGAGAACCTTATAGAGATTGATCTTTGTGATTTCATAAGAGATTCCGTTCCAGTGAGCTTTGGCCATGTGGTATCCGATTCCCCAATTGGGTAAGAACTGAGCGACCTCGATTAGGTTCTTCTTCTTCTTTCGTTTAGGTTTAACCGGATCGGAGCTAGGGTTTTCGATCGGCGGAGATGCCTGCGCAGAGAAATTTCTCAGGAGATTGAGCGAGAGTCTGAAAGCACCGATGGTTTCGGTTCTAGAGACTGCTCTGTTCATAAGTGTCGCCGCCATTCTCTCTCTCTCTCTCTCTCTCTTGTTCCGTCACTGTTGGGTTTCTGGCCGATCGGCGGCGACTGAGAGGTTTTAGGAGAAGGAGAGCCCCCAGAAGTTTCGGTTTATTCAGTAACAGTACCAATAATATTTAACAAATTACAATCCGACCCGTTACTTCTGCATTTTGACAATCTTTGCCTATTTTGGACTCTCTTTGCCGTTGTGTTAGCTACGAGTTTAAACCTCTTCTTGCATCCAAATTATTTGCATACAAATATTCAAATATTATTTATTAAAATATTTTTAAATTAGTATTTGAATATTGTACCTTGATGCAAAATAATATTTTTTAAAAATTAGATATTTAAGATGTTAGAAAAAAGTAGAGTTTGGATAACATTTGCATTTAAAAATCAAAAGACTAAAATACTCTTTAATATAATAAAAATAAATTTAATTTAATTTATATTTATTACTTTTTTGTTAAAATATAAATAAAATCACATTTTTATCAAAATTATAAAATTATTTTTTTCGTCAGAACTGCAAAATCATAAAATTATATTTCACACAAAACATCATTTTTGTTGTTAAAGTCGCAAAACTGAATTGTCATACCAAAATTGTATTTACCGTCAAAATTATTTTTTATCGAATTTTATTTTCACAGAAATTTATAATTTTTTTTATCTGTAAAAAATAATTTTAATTATAGAAAAATCAATAAATTCAAATATATATCATTTTAATCATTTGAAATACTTTGAGATTGAATGGTATGTAGTTTTTTCACGTTTTCATGTTTTAAAAAGTTGATTCCACTAAATGCATATCATTCATAATATTAAGCATTGAATGATAAAAAGTAAAAATTAACACGCTATTTTTCAATTCATCCTGCACGTTTTAAATTTATAACTAGTTTTGAAAAAAAAAATATTCATCTAATAGATACTAGCTTTTTAGTGTTTTGAATTTATTCAGTTTTCAATTTACCCATCCTATTGATTCTGCTAGTTTATTATTCAGCTAGTATACTATTCAACTATTAAATTGACATATCAGTCAAATTGCATCTAGATTTTTCTATAGATAAAAAAACAAACAATCTTGCATTAAATGGTATATCCAAATACAAAATTTTATTTTAAAAACAAACAATATATAAATGATGTATCTGAAAGTTGTATCTAGATATGCTAAATCTAAATGCAACATCTAGATCAATAAAGGAACGAGCCCTAAGTAAGCCACATAATATAATGCAATGCAGCCGAAAAATATGAAGGAAAATCCTTAATTTTACTCGATAGTTATGACACCATGAACAGGTCTACCAAACTGCATATTTATGGAGCATACAAGAAAGGAAAAGCTTATAAAAAAACTGCATAAACTCTGAAAACATATGAGGTTCTGGAAAACACATAACCAAGTCTCTCGTTTCAACAGCCGTCCAAAATGATTTGAGTTTGGCTTAGTACTCACGTTTTATAAATGCATAATGAAAATGGTCTTCCTCTTTTCTATCTTAAGCCTCTGGATCTGCTTTCATCTTTTTATTGGGCACCGATGGAGAAGAATCCGCATGAGCTCTACCATATATTATCAAAACAAACAAAAAAACAGGTCAACAACTTTGACGTGTATGATACAAATCTGAGCTGAAGTCTGATGATGAAGAACAGCTTGAAGAAACTTACGTTTTACGTTTATTTGCATTCGGCTGGACCACGGAGACCGTATCCATTGGCAGCTGTTGGTTCTTATTGGTCTCAGAGTTCAAATTTAAACCTTCAGCAGGCCTTTCCGCCACTTTTCCAGAACTTGGCAAAGGTCCCACGTCTCCCTAAAGAGCAGAGAAAACAAACACACAAAGAGAAGACGTGAGTAAAAAGCAAGCTCAAGATATCCGGTAATGTTAGAGAGACAATATAACATATGAAGAAGGCAAAATTGAATTGAAACAAAATTTATCTTAACTGGAGATGATGCATCATCTCTGCGAAATTCTTCCAAGGCACGTATACATCTCGATCCAATAAAATCTCGAAACGGAAGAGTGGCCATCCCAACTCCAGTACGTTCTCCTTCTTCTTCCAAATCAATGATACGTTGAGCTAAAGTTGAACCATCCCTAAATCTTCTAACACCACCAGTGCGTGCGTGAAGATTCTTGAGGTAAGTCTTGTGAGGAATGTTGATCCGTCCAAGTCCAGTTGGCTCTAATGAGGCAGGGTTCAGTGGAGCACCATTCGGAGAAGGACCATCTCCGGTGCCCTTCTTCTCAGTTATAGGACTCCTCCACAGATTTCCCAAGCAACTTTTTCTTTCATTGCCCACCGCAACGGTGCTGGATCTCTGGTCAGGTTTAGTTTCGGTTGCTGCATCACCTTGTGTCCCAATTGTAAGATTCAGATCAGGTACCTGGTTTTGAGTCCTCTGCAAGATTGGCTCAGCCTTAGACGAGCCTCCAAGCAACGCAGTAGCAAACCCTAAGGGGGGTGAATGAGGCTGCAGAGGGATATGTGGATTAAAGGAAGGGCCTCCGTGTTGCGTAAGTGGCCTTTGAGAGGCTAATAAGGCTTCTCGGTAACTATGCACCGGAGGCTTCGCGTTCTGAGCCTTTGTTATCTGACTTAGTAACGACAGCTGATTTGTCTGCGCCGTAGCAAAGCGAGGTGGGGGAATATGCGGCCCCAGTGGGTAGCTGTGATTCTGCATCACCTGACGAGGACGTTCATCAGTGCCAGCTTGAGGATGGTACATGGGGATGTTGCTTGAGGGAAATCCCACATGTTTAGGTGTTGGATACGCACGTGGCTGGTATGGACGTGACATAGGAGCACGTTGTTGATGCATGAAGCATTCGGCAAAGTTCTGGTAGAACTGATAATAGTTTCGCATATGTTCTTGGGGTTCCTGAAAAAAAAAAAAAGGCATTTTGACAAGAATTAAGAAAGCAAAGCAAAAGTTATGTATTAATTATTCTTTTAGGCATATAAAAATATGGTTTAACAGACTCACAGTACAAACTTGATAATGCTGCGTCAGTTGACGATGCATAATTGGATTTTTGCACCATCTGCACGGAACAAGGCAGCTACCGAAAGCACATCGTGAGCGATGCGATGAGCTTTCAGAGAGAAGGCCACGCCAGTTGCATCCACTCGTTTGGTATAAACAATGCACCACGATTTTGCCAATGTCATCAGCAAGCGATTTATCCGACTCCACGAGTGGCTGAAAACCAAAAGACGACGGCTTGGCTTTGATGAGTAAACAGAAGAGAGACAAAGAGAGGAACTCACGCAAGAAAAAAACGTATTTTGAAAGAAGAAGAAGAAGAAGAAAACCTTGGCATGAGCTTCTGTCACCAACCAACCATCAAAAGGGCACATCTTATTGGTGCTTGCGACGAAAGCTAAACATGGTTTACAGTACACGTGAGAGCAAATAGACTGGAGAGATTCGTTCGGGTCAAGAAGAAGCTTGCAAACAGTACAGAAGTACTCCCCGCGAAGCGTTCGATTGTTCGGTAAGCTTATGCAGTTGATGTCGTAACCCATTTCAATCAAGGGTTTTCGTCGATCGTCACCTAATCACAAAGCAAAATCAAAGAAAGTCTATAACATCAACGAAAAATAAGATCTCGTTTGCATGAAACCCATGGAGATTTCAAAAGGATCTAAGCTTCGTACCAGACAGATCTCACAACAAAACAATCACGCAATACTAAAAGTTTTCTCTAGCTTTCCCATAATCAATTGTGAGAGCAGAAAAGAAATGGGATTTAATTACAAGATGTGCAGTTTATGGATTACACTAACGAAAGCAAACAATGGAGATCGATAAGCGCTATGATGGAAGTTGGGGGAAACTTACGAATGAAACAAAAACTGAGGATCTCTGGAAAAAAGACAGAAAGCGGACTTGAGAGCCGGAGACAAGATAAGACAATATTTGAGAGGTTTTGTTGTCTTTAAAATTGTGTTTGAAACTGAGATAAACTTTTAATACACAATTAAAGCTCTTTCCTTAGATTTTCTTTAATGTTGAATAACCATTATAAACACTTTTTAAACCACACATTTTCTGCAATTACACATCTAATGAAATCTAGCAATCCAATCAAATTCCACAATAAATAGATAAGTTTCTAGATTTCATGGATTACAAGCTATATATGAATGATTATATACTAATAAATTAATTAAAAGATAAAATATTTATTAACGAGAAAAATTATGTTTGAACTTGTTTTTAGTATATCTTGTGTTTTTATGATTTTCAATCAGATTTTTTTTTTTATAATTTGATAATTATTTGTTATCTATTGCAAATATATTTTCCCTTCCCGTAAGTTTTTTCTGTAAATAAATAAAAACTAAAATTAATAGTTGTGGTATTTCTAAAGTTGATATTATTTTTTTCTTAAAAGAAGAATAAGGTCAAATGTACACTTTAAACTTCTAAAAACCTCAAACCAGTATTCAGTTTGACTAAAGAAAAAAAGGAAACAGAAGAAAGAGAGATTCGTTGTATTTATATATACCAAAGACAGGAAAAAAAAAGAAAAGAAATCCAAAAATCTCCAAAATTAGAAATCTGAGTGAGGAAAATCAAAACCAAATTGAGAAGGACACATCATCATCATACATATGCAATTTTTTGGTCAAATTTGTTTGACAAAAGAAAAAAAAGGAAACAAGAGAAAAACAATTATAAATTCATTGTATTTATATATACCAAAGAAAGGGAAAAAAAGAAAGGAAATCCAAAAATCTAAACTACAAAATTAGAAATCCGAGTGACAGAAATCAAAACCAAATTGAGAAGGACACATCATCATCAATACATATGCAATTTTTTTTTGTCAAATTTGTTTAACAAAAGAAAAAAGGAAACAAAATAAAAACAATTAGAAATTCATTGTATTTATATATACCAAAGAAAGGGAAAAAAAGAAAGGAAATCCAAAAAATTAGAAATCTGAGTGACAGAAATCAAAACCAAATTTTGTTTGAAGGACACATATGAAAGTAGGCAGCTTTTACCTGTCCGCAACCTAAACGAAACAAACATGTTTTTATTTTTCTTTGAAAAGACAAACGTTTTTTTGAAACGAACAAAAATGTTGCGCATTAACAATCCTCTGAATCTCTTTTGATTCAATACTCCCCAAAACGAAAGTTTTACTCGACAATGACACCATTAACAGAAGTCGACCGAACTACATATTACGGAGCATACAAGAAAGGAAAAGATTATAATTTAAATAGCATGAAATATGAAAAGATATGAGGTTCTGGAAAATACATAACCAAGTCTCTCGCGTCAAAGGCCGTCCAAAATGATTTGAGTTTGGCTTAGTACTCACATTTTATAAATGCATAATGAAAATGATCTTCCCTTTTTTTTTTATCCTGAGCCTCTGAAATGCATAACTGGGTCTCCTCCGTACGTTTGCACCAGATGCCTCAAGTACTGAGTCCTTGTTAGTTGACTTGCTAATGGAGGCTGATGTGTTTGCATCGTAGCAAGAGAGTGAGGTGGGGGAACATGCGGCACCTGTTGAGGGAAGTGATTCTGCACCACCTGAGGAGGAGGTTGAGTTCCAACTTGATGATCATGCACGGGCATATTGTATGAGGGAAGTCCCGCATTGCTTGGTTGTGGATACGCATGTGGCTGGTGTGGCTGACTGCTTTGAGCAACGTTGGCCTGAGGATGCATCACATTCTGTATATGAAAGTGATAATGGAACTGTTGATTTGGAGGGTCTTGTGGAAGAGCTGCTGTTGGGGGATACACATGAGCTTGATGGTGATGGAGACCTTGAGAAGCTAGCCCTTGAACCGGAGGTGGTGGGGAAAGAGGATGAGGTTGATGCAGATATTGGAACTGTGGTTGAGGTTGCACTTGAGGGTGAGTTTGAGCCACATACCCATATCCTGGTGCCGCATAAGGTACTTGATGTTGACCAGAATAGTGGGGATCAGCTAAACCAGCTCGAGGATGAAATTGCTGTGGTGAATGTGACATAGGAGCATGTTGTTGATGCATGTCGTATCCGGCATCGTTCTGGTAGTTCTGATCATAGTGTTGTTTATAAAATTCATCGATTCCCTGAAAAAAAAAGCATTTACAAGAATTAAGAAGCAAAGCAAGTTATCTATTCTTTTGACATATGAATATGGTTAACAGACTCACAGGACAAATTTTAAGATGCTCATTCACATGACGAAGCGCACATATGCTTCCGCACGCTTTGCAAGTACCAAGAAAGTCACCGAAAGCACATCCTGAGCAATGCAATGAGCTCTCAGAGAGAAAGCCGAACCATTCGCATCCACTCACTTGGTACAGACAATGCACCACGACATTGTCAATAGTATCAGCAAGCACTCTATCTGATTCCAGGAGTGGCTGAAAAAAAAGGAAAAGACGGTTTGGCTTTGATGAGTAAAACATAAGACCAGAGACAAAGAGGGGCACCAAGAAAAACATAAACCTTTGCATCAGCTTCTGTCACCAAGGAACCATCTCTAGGGCACGCCCTAGTGGTGCTTACGACATAAGCTAAACATGGTTTACAGTACAAGTGAGAGCACACAGACTGAAGAGCTTCGGTTGGGTAGACAAGAAGGTCGCAAACAGCACAGAAATACTCCTTGGGAAGCAAGTGAATGTTTGGTATGCAGTCAGAGTCGTAACCCATTGCTACTGAGTTCATATTTCAAGGGTTTTCGTCGTCACCTAATCACAAAGCAAAGTTAAAGAATGTCTATATGAGCTCTCATTTGTATGGAAATTCATGGAGATTTTCGAAGGCATTCAGCTTCGTACCAGATTGATCTAACAACCTAACTATTCCACAATACTAAAGATTCCCACCAGTGTGATTTCACCAAACATAAGAGACTATAGACTAACAGAGATTAAAAAAAAAAAAACATTTCTAATCCATTCAATGTCCCCCCATCATTTATCTGATTATACAAATACTTTCTCCAGCTTTCTCACAATCAATTAGAGTTGCAAAAAGAAATGGAATTCAATCACAAAGGAAAGGACGAGTGAGATGCAGTTTATGGATTAACACTTTACGAAAGCAAACAATGGAGATCAATAAGCATCGTTGATGGAAGTTGTGGGAAACTTACAAATGAGAAAATTGATGATCTCTGAGAAAAGACAGAGAGGGGACTTCAGAGGAGAGTCGGAGAGCCAGAGACAGGATGAAACAATGTTTGAGCGGTTTTGTTGGGTTTTCAACTTTTCTTTTAAATATTGAAGAAGCAGTATAAACAGTAAACACTCAAAGCTTTTTCTTTAGATTTTCTTTTTTTTTATTGAAGAAGCAGTATATACACTTTCTAATCCACACATTCACTGCAATTACAAATCAATGAAATCTAGTAATCCAATCAAATTCTACAATAACTAGATAAGTTTCTAGATTTCATAGATAACCAGTCATTGTAGATAAAATGTATGAAATCTACAATGACTTTTATTTTAAATTAAATAGTAATTTTTAAAAGTGCATTTAAAAAAAAAGTTAGTCAAACTTTTAAATAATACTCTTTTTAAGTTATTACTTAATTTTATGCATTTAATTATTCATGAAAATTTTTGACCAGAAAAAAACTACTAATGAAATTATCATGTAAATTTAATCATATATAAAACATGAATTATTTACTATGAAAAAATCAATGTTTTTTTCTTTTATGATTTCCGACCTAATCTCAAAAATTTAAGAATTATCGAAGATGATCAAATCAGTGTTCTAAAACTCACACAGATTGTCTAAACTGATATATGCATTTGTTATTGTAAGATATTTGCCCTCATGTTAGATTCGTATACCAAATTCTTCGAATAGCTACAAAACTAAGTTTGAAAGTTGTGATAAATTTTAAAAGTTGATTTTTTTTTTCATAAAACAAAAGGTCAAATGTACCATTTTACTTAGGGGGTGGTATTGGATGATTTAATTTGATAGAATGTACAAGAATTCAAAAATAATTAATTTTTAAGTAATTTAAAGTATTTTGTAAGAATTTAAACCGATTCTATCAAAATCCTAGTATAAATGGTAGGAATTGGTTATTAACAATTTTTAGGTGAGATTCTATTAAATTCCTTCCAAATGATAATACAATCAAAACAATTACAAAATTGAATAACACAGATATTTAATAGAATTAAAAAATTAGTATATTGAATAACAATGATATTTAAAGGATTTTGAAAGAATTAATGAAAACACTTAATCCAATAACACAAGTATTTAAAGGAATTGATAAAATATATCATTGAATAACATTGATATTTAATGGAAACTTAAATTCTTTTCAATTCAATCCAAATTCTAAATCCAATACCCCTACCTTAGTAATTAATTCTTGATCAAATGAAAAATAATTATTAATAATATTATTATATAAATTTTATCATATATAAATTACTTTTTTCTAACTAGATAAATTTGTGGTGTTCCAGTATTCACATTGATAATCTGAAAGCAGTTGTTATCTATTGCAAAGAGAATCAATAGATTTTCAATTTGACAAAAAAAAAAGGGAAACAGAAGGATTGTATGATATTATATTAAATAAAGGAAACAAAAAAAAACCACCAAAAATATGAACTTCAAAATTAGAAGTCAAAACCGAATTGAGGAGGACACATATGCTAAACAGCTAAATTTTGGTAGTTGCGGTATTTCTAAAGTTGATATTTTCTTCTTCTTGAAATCAGAGAATAAGGCCAAATGTACACTTTGAAAACCATGTTCTTATCCTACAATAAATTACCTTAAACCAGTTTTCAATTTGACAGAAAAAAATATAAAGGAAACAGAAGAAAAATAATCCAAAAATCTAAACTTCAAAATTAAAGAAATCGAGTGAGAGATGTCAAAACCGAATTGAGAGGACACATAATAAGCTAAACAGCTGAAATTGGGCAGCTTTTCCTTGTCCGCAACCTAAACGAAATAAAAATGTTCCGCACGCTTTACTCTTTACTTGCTTGCGACTCTGATCGCTCTTCCCACTTTTCCTCCTGAAAAAGAAAAACCGAAACTTTAAATGAGCATTAAAATCCTCTGAATCTCTTTTGCTTCATAGCATTCACATCGATTAGTTTCTCTCAACTCCTGCAAATGGGTCGCGTTCCGTAATAGCGGTTAGTGTGTTCATCAGCTTAAAGTATACTTGCGTGTTTTTCGTAAAATTACGAATTGATTGCTCATCAATCTTCCTATTATAGCGATTTACTGATCCGAATGTTTCTATTTTTAGGGGGAGAAACATTATATTTTCGTGTGAAAGCAGCGAGCTTTCTTGAGTTCTAGCTGAATCAGATGATTTGCTTGCTGAATGTAATGATGAGTCTCTCCGAGTACATCTTATTTGAAGGATCACAAATCTTCATGAATGTCCTGTCTCTTACAGAGCTAGTTTGCTCATGAGCCATTCTCTTTGTAAGGAAACAAAATATGTGCTCTACATATGTCATATGATTGATACTTACATTAGGCTAAAGACGGAAATCTTTTTCCTTGTAGAGGTAAAAGGACTCATTTTTAACTTCGTTCACTACAGATAGGGTTTTTGAAGTCAGTGAATGAATAAATGTGAGCTTTTTAAATGTCAATGATGTGTTAGTTTCTCCATATAAGGCTTGCGATACTTCTTGTTCTTCTCCACGTTGGATATGTTCATGGGTTTTATAATTGAGAGTATGAAACATGTGTGTGTATGTGTGTTGTTTACGTTGCTAAGCTTCTTAAGGTTTGACAAATAAAAAAAATGGGAAAGAGCTGATTACTCCCCCGTGTAGGGTGTGAAGATGACGCGGCGGTCTGTGTCTATGCACTTCACTTTGTTCTTGCTATTTCTGCTGAAGACCAAATGTGTATCCTCAGATTCCGGTTATCTAATAGGTCTTGGAAGCTATGACATTACCGGACCTGCAGCTGATGTCAACATGATGGGATATGCTAACATGGAGCAAGTAACATCAGGTGTTCACTTCAGGCTCAGGGCTCGTGGCTGAGCCAAACATGAAAAGGATTGCTTTTGTTAATCTTGATGCTGGTATGGCCTCACAGATTGTGACAATCAAAGTAGTTGAAAGATTGAAACAATGGTAGGTAGGTATTTGTAACAACATTCTGTTCATCTCTATTTTGATTTACTTGAAGGTACGGTGAGCTTTATACGGAGGAAAATGTTGCAATCAGTGGAACTCATACTCATGCCGGTCCTGGGGGTTATCTACAATACATTCTGTACTTAGTTACATCTCTCGGGTTTGTTCATCAATCATTCAATGCTCTTGTGGACGGTATAGAGCAAAGTATCATACAAGCCCGTGAAAATCTCCGTCCCGGGTCTATTTTGATCAACAAAGGTGAGGGATTCAACATGTTGCATACTTTTTATGGTTCTTTTATATGTTGCCTTCTCTTAAAACATATCTTTTGGAGCTGAACTTTCAGGGGAGCTCTTGGATGCTGGTGTGAACCGTAGTCCCAGTGCATATCTTAACAATCCGGCAGATGAACGTAGTTGATATGAATATGATGTTGATAAAGAGATGACACTTGTCAAGTTTGATGATGATCAATGGGGTCCTGTGGGTAGTTTCAACTGGTTTGCAACTCATGGCACATCGATGAGCCGTACAAACTCTTTGATCAGCGGGGACAACAAAGGCACTGCAGCACGTATCATGGAAGACTGGTTTGAACGAGAAGACTTCCGCGTATCATATGATGTTGAATCTCATAGAAGAGTCTCAAGCATAATCACAGATCCTCATGGTAGCCTGAGTAACTTCTTGATATGGTGTGTTGTTGTAAAACCATCTTCTTGTTGCTTTCGTTTCAGATCAAGATTTGCTGGAAAGGGCGTCCTGTTTATTGTTTACAGGCGGCAAAACCGTTACAAGGATGTCAATATCAGATATAGTAACCAAATCATCATTTACGCCTCACATATCTCCTCTAACATTAACATATTATTCCTTTCCATATTGTATAGCTTGACTCTTGTATAAAGGTTACTCATGCCTCTCTCAATAGAATTATCTAATTCTATATCTCAATATGGTATCAGAGCTTTAACGGATAGCAATCCCACGATTCTCTCAATTTTCTCATTCTTTTTCATATCATCTTTCTTTCTCATCTTCTTCTTCTCTCCGTCGTTTAAACTTTCCGGCGATCATGTCCGCTAATGAAACATCTTCTGCCGAAAACACTACGGTGTTCAATACCAACAACCCCTCCAGCACCTTAATCTCAATCAATATGGCAAACATCACGAAACTCACGGATCTCAACTATGTGATGTGGAGTCGACAAATCCAAGCTCTCTTTGAAAGTTATGAACTTCATGGATTTCTAGATGCATCACTTCAAGCACCACCGCAGACAATTACCGTGGATGGCCTTACGTCTCCAAATCCGGCATTCGCTCCATGGAGAAGACAAGATCGCCTTCTTTACAGTGCCTTGATTGGTGCGATTTCTCTCCCAGTGCAATCAGTAGTATCCACGGCTACAACAACATCGGAGATCTGGGCTACCTTACTCTCCACGTTTGGAAAACCCACCAGAGGACACATCCGCCAACTGAAGTATCAAATCAAAACATGTGTTAAGGGAACTAAATCCATCAGTGAATATCTACGCATCATCAAAAAAAAGGCTGACGATCTCGTCTTACTTGGGAAGCCCGTCGATCCGGAGGATCTTACAGAGCAAATTCTTGCTGGGTTGAATGAAGATTATAAACCAGAGATTGACGCGGTTAATGACAGGGATGCCCCGATTTCTTTTGCAGAGCTTCATGAACGTCTCCTCAATAGAGAGGCAATGATTCTTTACAAAGAAGACATCGTACCTGCTTCACCAATCACATCAAATGTCGACGATATTAAGACACGCCAACAACCACATAACAACTGGAAGAATAACAACCACAACAATCGAAACTCCAACACCACTCACTACCGACCAAGCAATAACTACAACAACAATCAACGTGGATCACGTCCTTATCTTGAGCGTTGCCAAGCATGCGGTATACAAGGCCACAACGCAAAGTACTGTCCAGAGTACCGTATCGTTCGAGGATCTTCCTCCAACCAATGGTCATCTTTGCATCCAAACCAACCCTGGCAACCGAGGGCCAATGTTGCTCTCGCCCCATCATCGGACTCTTCTACATGGCTGGTAGATTCAGGA